CCAAGCATTCTACGTACTCCAGACTATCTATTGTTATCTCACTAGTCCTAGCATCGATAGCATCTCTCTACATGACCTTGCAGACGTCTCGTCACTAAAATGACTTGTTACTCCTATCGGCTCTCCTTCGCTATCACAAGGCGTGCATCTGCCCTTCTCTTCCTCTTCCACTCTATCTTCCCTCAGTTGCGTCGCTACGGCTTCGTACGTATCTAGCCGTCTCTCCGCCACGACTTTGTGCGACCCGCTATATCGTCCTCTCTCATAATCGCACCTCATGGCGTCATACACCTCCACTACATATGTCTCTCGAAACACCTCTCGTGTAACCTAGCAACTTCAATATTCACGTATACCCCCGGTGACCCGCTGTCTCCCGGCCTCTTAACTATCTCCTACCGTGACGTTCCCCGGGGGGGGGGGGGGGGGGGGGTGGGAGGGGTTGAGGAGTTGGAATATTTGCTACTCGGCTTAGTTTTTCCTTTAGTGTGTTCCGATCTCCTTTCCTTTTGTTTTTGTCTTTCCTCACTCGACGTTCCCTCAGCAGGGAGACGCCGTCACGCACGCCTCCTTGCCCGAGCGCGTCCGCGACGGCGGTCTTTCTCTCCGGACGGAGTATGTTTGAAGCCTGTTGCATACGTTGCGTGGGGCGGAGAGGACATGTTCTCTAAGATACTGTAGGCATGTTTCTCGCCTTCGCGGGAGGGGGTGTGGGGGGAGGGATGCAGGAAGTCAGAAACGAATATCAACCCTCTTTTGGTCTTCTAGAACCCTGGTTTGCCCAACGCGGGTGACGCGCTCGTATCGTAATGCAGTGGTTGTGACATGTCGTTTCCTCCTGCTATCGCCACGGGTTGTCCTGGCCAACCAACAGCACCAGTCGAGCTTTGGGGCTTGGCAACGACAGCGCGGTCTTCGACCCCTGGGTTTCTCCATCGGCCACCCTCCCCGTTCATGAGAAGAATATCCCCCGAGCTGGTCGTGGGGGGCAGGGGACAGGGGGGAATAACAGACGAGCGAATCCGCAAAGTCAGGCATCCCAATCGGGCATGTGTTGGTTCCGTGGACTTGGTAGCGAATGCACCAAAATTGGTGTTTGCGAAACTACTATGTAAGACATGCTCTTCTAATACTTCCACGGAGCCCCTCCCACCCTCGAGCGCGCGACAAGTTTCAAGAAACTCGTTGCAGGGAGCGGGTTGATCCGGCGGGGCGATCGACTCCGAGTGCCTGGGACGGGGGGAAACCGAGAGTTTCCGGGCGTGGAGGCTCATGGTGATTTCCTAGACTCTCTTACACACTACCTTGGTGTACCATGTTACGCGCGCGCGCGCGCGCGTGTGTGTATGTATGTTTGTGTCTTTGACTCAAGTTACTTGATTCACATCGAGGCGCGAGGCCTAGCGTGGCAGGACTCGTTAACTCACCGCGCCAAGCCATGGCATCCCGGAATCTCAAATGCATGAACCCTTCCTCCCGTATGTCTAGGCTGACAAAGGAGAGACTACTCATTAAATCAGGAAGAGGGTGAGTGGAACCCGGACCTCACGCAGCCCTCCGATATACTTTCTTCTCAGATTCAGTTGTTGACGCGGCGTCTGAGCATCCCACACACACACACACACACACACAAAAGCATACACATACGCATTAACCCGCACACCAACAGCATGGCACACTCGGCCCCCTCCCGCCCGCTTTCGGAAATCGCCTCGGGCAGCCGGGTGCCTGACGAGGTCTGACACGCATCTCATCGATGGGCCAGTCCGTGTGGTAGGCGAGGTATAGAGGAGTGTCCGAGGGGACCTTGATTTGGGAGGGTGAGGGGTCGACGCGTGTTCCCACATCCGCAAGCCCTCTCCGTTCCGCCTGCCAGGACCGCGACCCCGGGCAATACGAGGCTTCGAGGCTGGCCCGAAACTGCCCGTTAACTGGCCATTCGTTGGGTGTTTCGCGACCCTTCGGACGTTCTGCCCTGCCCCATGTCTGCTCGGAACACTAGGTAGTCCTCTCCTCCGCAAAGAGTCAACCATGTCCGAGCCCTCGGGTGCGCCTCGGGTTTTTGCAAGTGTCAGACTCCCGACAGTACGGATAGCTTGCTACAATGTGAGTCAATTTGGTGGATGCAAAGCCCGATGACGTTAGGCCAGACCCCGGTCATCACCTTGGAGGCTTTTCATGGTATGAAATATCAGATGTTCATTAAACGCCTTCCTTGCCCATGACCATTAAGTGGAAACACTCCCAACGTAAGAAACAGAAATGAGCGTGCAATGTGTGCAACATTCCCGTGCAAGCAACTTCTCACCGGCGCAGTCGTCCATCCAGTAAGGGGTAGCCGGGCCGGTCGTGGCTCGGCTGGTACTTTCGCCAAAAATAAGGCATCTAAGGGAAGGGTTACCCCAAACAAGCAAAAAGCAGTCTACATTCTCCAAGTCTCCCAACCAACAATTTGTTGACGGTTCAAACCAAGAACAGCCATACACACAACCCGAAGCACCGTCCGATTTTCAACTGCACCTCGCTCGCCATCGCCATCACGCAACATTTAAAAGATGCTGTTGACAATGTTGGAACCGATGGTGGCGCCGGCACCAAAGATGGCTGCGTTTCCGAGCTTCTTGCCGAACTTCTTTCCCATCTCGGCGCCCTTGCTGTCCTTGCCGCCGGTGCCCTGCTCAGCGACGGCCTGGGGCGGCACGTCGGCGTTGTACGGGTTCTGCTGAGGCGGCGGGCCCTGGGGCTGGGCGTACTGCGGCTGTGGCGTGGCGTACTGCGGCTGAGGAGCCCACTGGTTCTGTTGAGGCGCATACTGAGGCTGGGCGGGCGGCGGCGCGAAGGCTCCCTTGGCCGAGTCCTGCTCAACCATGACATACGTCTTAGGGAAGATACCCTCCTGGCCGGTGCGGAGGTTGCGGCCCATCCACCAGTCGGCGTTCATGTACTCGTGGATGGCGATGCGGTCGTCGCGCTCGAAGGCCACGTCGCGGGCGTCGGCGCCGGCGTATCGGTAAAGGGCGCGGGCGTGGGCAATGACGGGCTTCTCGTTGGCGCGCGCCGGCAGAGATGGGGGCCCCGTCTGAGCGTAGGACGGTGGCGCCGGGGTCGGGTTGACATTCAGGGCTGCCATGGCCTCGGTGGGGGGAGGCGACGTGGGGTTATTGTTCTGGACGGGGGTCGCAGCATTGTTTGCGGCACGGGATGCGGCGCCGTGAAGGGGGGTCTCAGCGGGAAGAGTGGCGTGAATGTTGTCGTAGGCAGCTTCCGAGATGACGCCCTTCTCGAGGAGATTCTCGAGTTCCTGGGATTGTTGTCAGGCATGTCTCTACGGTTCCGCGGATTCGTCGGGCGGGTGTCGAGAAGAGTTGGGTTGGGCTTGATCCAAGTCGATCCGTCCGCCCGCCTCGTACCCGGCACCGTTGACGAACTGGCGAGAATGAACTCACATTTTTGATGGTGCGCAGCGACCGGTTGGTCTCGATGATGGTTTGCCTGTCCATTTTGTCTGCTGAAAGATCTACCCCACTATTAAGGTTTGGACTGGGTATCGAAAGTCACTCGTACGGCACGGGAATGGCGGCTATCGTCGAAACTAGGTCAAAAAAGAAAGAAAAAACCAAGGGCTCTCTCTGTTGTCGAGCAAAAGAGGGAATCGGGCGTTGAAATTCAAGGAGGCGACGTTGTTTCCAGAACAAACAAAGACGAGAGACGGAGGGTAGTCAATGTCCGACCAGGAGACCGACACGGAGTAAAGTGGCGCCTTGGTGGAGGGCCAAGAGCACCAAGACGACTGGGCAGTGCGGCTTAGGTAACCCATCCATCCTCCTGCTGTGTGGTTCCTGATGGTAGCATTGGAAAACGGATAGTGTCTGGCCTAGGAAACCCAAAACAGTCAGCGAACCGAACTAACCGTCCCCCCACCCGTTACAGGAGAAAACACCCACCAAAGCTCCACTGAACGAACCCGCCCAGACTCCAGCTCAGAAAATGGGGCTTGGCGATCACCAGGCTTACGAAAGAGCCGACCATTCCCCAATTAAACCCCGGGAGGCGGTGTCCTCTAGTTGCACTTGTCCGAATCGGGACGGGGGCCGCCTATGTGCAGGGACTCGTCAGTGGCAAGTTGTTGGTGTGTCGCTGTGACCGGACAATACTCGTATTGCCAACCCCTCATGCCTGTCTTTTCAGAAGCAACCGTCCCCGGGTGTACTGACCGGTCATGTTGCACACCACCCGGATCACGGAGATTCGTCACACCAAAGATGATGGAGCGTTGGAGGAGCGCCAATATACTATCCTGTCAGATTTCCGTTTCTAAATTTGGTAAAAACACAACATCTATAGTATCCAGCCTTTTCCTTGTTTCATTCTTCAAGCGCCTAGACAAACTTGCTGTCCTTGACGACGTAGAGGTCAACATACTCGTCGACGGGAGTTGCCTCCAGCTCCTTGGGGTTCAGGCCAAGGTCGACGAGGTGCTTGACCTTGCCGGCATCGAAGTGGGGCTCCAAATGTCTCTTGTACTTCTTCAGGATCTCGGGCTTGGCCTCCTCTCTCCTCAGGCGGTGACCAAGAGGTGCCTCGACGACGACCTCCTCCAGCACGGTCCCGTCGTTCAACTCGACTGTCAGGGCGTTGGAGATGGTACGCAGGGCGGGGTCGTGGTAGTCTTTGGTGAACTGCGGGTCCTCGACGCACTTGAACTTCTGGCGCAGGGACTCGACGAGGGGCGAGGTCGCGGCCTCGCTGCCGTCGACGTAGTCGGTGGCCTCGAGGCGGCCGAAGACAAGCATGGTCGCGGCCATGTACTGGATGCAGTGGTCACGGTCGGCGAAGTTGTCCATGGGCTTGAACTGCTTGTCGATGATGCGGATGCAGGCCTCGTGCGTGCGGCAGGTGACACCCTTGATGTCGGCCGCCGACTTGCCCATCTCCTTGAGCTTCTGGTGGATCTTGGACGACGCCTCGACGGCGGTCTGGGAGTGGAACTCGGCTACCTTTTGTCAGTCAAGTGGCCTCCAAGCATTGATCGTTAACCTTACCAGGGTAGGAGACCTTGAAGAGGACGTTCTCCATGACGTAGCTGCCGTAGGGGCGCTGGAACTCGAACTTTTTGCCCTTGAACAGGACATCGTAGAAGCCCCATACGGGGGCAGAGAGAACGGTGGGGATGCCCTGCTCGCCCTTCATGACCTTCAGAGCCAGGTTAACGGCGCGCTGGCAGGCATCGCCGGCGGCCCACGACTTGCGTGACATGGTGTTGGGGGAGTGGCGGTAGGTTCTCAAGCTCTGGCCGTCGACCCAGGCCTGGGTGACGGCATCGGCGATCTGCTTCTCGCTAAGGCCGAGCATCTTGGAAACAACAGCAGTGCTAGCAACCTTGACCAAGACAACGTGGTCCAGGCCAACCTTGTTGTACGAGTTCAGGAGAGCCAGGCAGCCCTGGATCTCGTGGGCCTTGATCATGCCCTCGAGGACATCGCGGATGGTGAACTGCTTGCCGCCGGCAATGTTACCGCCGGCCTTGTTGGTACGAGTGATCCAGTCAGCCACAGCGAGGATGGCGCCCAGGTTGTCGGAAGGGTGACCCCATTCAGCAGCGAGCCAGCAGTCGTTGTAGTCGAGCCAGCGAATCATGGCACCGATGTTGAAGGCGGCGTTGACGGGGTCCAGCTGGAAGTCGGTACCCGGGACCTTGGGACCATTGGGAACGACGGTACCAGGGACAATGGGGCCCAGTAGCTTGCTGCACTCCTTGAAGCGAAGGCCCTCAAGACCGCAGCCCAGAGTGTCGAGGAAAACCCATCGTGCCGTGTCGAACTATTCTCATGGGAATGGCGGTTAGCGGCGGTGATCTGGCCGTGACGCGGGGTAAAACGTGGGCGGGTCACCCAGGTTGCCAGCCGAGAGAGCTGGACAAGCAAGGGAAGAAAGACGAAGGGAGAAGATGGAAGAATAGAAAAGGAAAACCTACAGCAAGGTCGGAATCGACTTTGTAGTTCTGGACGTAGTTTGCGATGTCCCTGATCTCGGGATCGTACTCTCTCGCCTCGGATGCCATGGCTGGTGCTGCACTCTGTCTGGCAGATGCGGTTGAAAAGGTGTGGGATTGTTGAGGTGCGGAGCGAGTCGCAGAAGAGGCGGCAAAGTTAGTGGAGGCGACTACGGCGCGGAGAGGAGTAGCCAAGCGGACACTTCGCGATTGGAAACGCAACGAACGGGAAGCTGTCCTAAGACCTCGGTTGATGGCCGCAGACATGACCGCGAGGACTATCCAGGCCAATTGAATGGGAGGAGAGATGGAAAAGGGTGGTGTAAGAGCAGACAGCAGCACAAAAAGAATGGGGGAGATGGCCCTAGGTATCAATAGTCTCTCTCTTTCTCTCTCTCTCTCTCTCTCTCTCTCTCGTGTCTTTCAATTTCAATCTCGGGTTTCCGGACACTCCAATAAAGAGGAGGAATAAGAGAGGAAGATGAAGAGAAGAAATGAAACACAGGCTTGCAGAATTATTTGATTTTAGCCCGTAGCGAAGCTGGAGCTTGTCTCGCTCAGGCGGAAGGGCAGAACTGGGAATGCCGCGGGCTGCCGAAGTTTGCGTGGCTGTTTGATCCGAGGTTGTCTGCGCTTACCCCTGGCGGGGGCCACGATAGCACTGAGGGGGCGGCCCGGAGAGGGGACGAGGGAGAGGAGAAGCAGTTGGCGGGTGACGGCGGGGAAGCTTTGACATCAACATGGGCGAGGTTGGGGGAGGAATGTGGAGAGCCGTGGTTCTGCTGCAACCCCCCCCCCCCCGATTCAGCGCAGTTCCCCTCCCCCTGCGCTGTTGAGCCTACCTACCTAAGTACGGATACTATGGAGTGTATCCGTACTAGTCGCCGTAACCCGTCCCGTTTGAATTGGAGGAATGAATTGGCGATGCATCAAAGCTTTCTGTTTAATTGAAGGCCCAATTAATCGATAGAACTAATTTGTGAGAGGGTGATGATAGTCCGTCTGACGAGGAAACCTGCCAAGGTCAAGCGGGCATGCAAAGGCCATGCTGAGAACCACCAATGTCACAGACATGCCCAGCCCTTTCCGTACCGCCGAGCCAAACCCGCAAGGCGCCTCGGCTAGCGGCGGCCATTGGATAAGGATAAGCTCGATCCTTATCGTGGAGTCCCAAGGCGGTAGGCCATAATAGTAGGTAGGCACACCCTCCTCCTCCTCCATTCTATCCTCTATGTCTAGTGGTCCCATGAATGACGAGGATGTCTCAGACTACTTAGTTGTACAGCAATTGAATATGGTCCGCTTCAAAGGAGACAGATAAATCGAAAGACAAGAAGGAAGAATATCCTGACGGAAACGATATGCGAGCGACACGCTGATTGACATGCTTGTTTGTACTCTACAGTTCGAGCTCACATTGAACGGAGGTTGATGCCGAGTTCGTCTTTTCTGGCTCGCGAGGCACGTGGATGAATAATTACATCAGTGTAGTCACGCTCATCTAGGTATAGGGTCTAGGATGGTTCTACGGCATATCGGTCAAGAGCAGGATATACATAGTACTGCTACCTCGGGGTGGGAATGCGGGGGCGCGTTGCATCCAGAGGCTAAGTTTAAGTGGAATTCTGATGGCAGAAGCTCCTATTTAAAAACACTGGTTATTGATCAGTCTCATCCGGCCATATAACGGATGCACAATACCATGCTCCTGGTGGCAGGCGTATCTCTCTGCAACCTCGTTGTTGTGCCGCTGAATAAGGCGCCCGGGCGTCGGCCTGGTTCTCAGTCACTGGATGTGGCTGTGGAGCGAACTCTACTTTGGTGTAGTGAATGGAAACAAATGGGCTAATTAAGCGACGACATCCCCCCCCTCTCATCATTTCCTCAACAGCAGAGCCTGTGCTATCTACAACTTTGCAGCTCGACATCAACGCCAGCAAGGGGCAAAACGTCTGTCACAGTTCCCTTGAATAAAGGAAGAATAAAGAAGAAGAAGGGGAAAACCCTTCCCCGTCAACCGATCGTCCGTTACTGTGTCCTCTCACTGACTCCGGCGCCCCTCTTCTCTCTCGCTCGACGGCTGGACCCCTGGTCAACCAACGTTCATCCAAAGCAGTGTAACCCACCTGCGGTCTCGCCCTTCCCGCCTGGCACAGCGTGGCACAGCGCAGCGCAGCACAGCACGCGCATCCGCCTGTGCGGAATAATCCCAAAGGTGCAGGCGACTTTAGCGGGACCACAACGGCTACGTCTCAAAGGGAGCCGATCCCCAGCCTACCCAATCCGCCAGCATCCAACGCTGTAGCTTACCACCCTACAAGGCCATCTCTCTCCACTTCGCATCAACGATCATCGGCCAGTCGTCTGTCTCCCTTCCTCTACTCTCTGTTCCTCACGTCGTCCTCGACCTCTTCTCGTGCCGCGACGGCCACCACCATGTCGGCTCTTCGCCCAAATCACAGGGAAAAGGCGGCTCCCAAGTCAGGTGCCGTCAACGGCCTTATCGACCCGACCAAGACGGGTAAATATCCCGTCATCCTGAGCGACACTCTCCTCGGCCGCACCCAGAAAGAGGTCTTTACCGCCGTACGATGTAGGCATCTATCTAACTCCCCAGGTCACTTTGGTTATGACCAGCCACGACACAGCAGACTGACCTTTTGCGCAAATATCACAGATAACCACAAGCCAGAACTCACCTCCGAACCAGGCACCGCCAGGTTAAAGCCAGAGACTCCCGGCAGCAAGTCCGACTTCGACCTCTCGTTTCCTGACGGCAACAATGGCATGTACGGCTACGCAGGCACCCGGACCATGGACGATAACCAGTACGTCCTTTATTTCGACCCCGCCCGCAAGGCCTTCATCCTGGACAAGGTCGACTCGACTTTCCATATGAACGTCACTCGTACCCCGTCCAATGACAACCCCGAGTCCCTGCGCCAGCAGTTCGAGCAGCTCGATACCTCCATAACCGCCACACCCGAGGTCCGCAAACCTGCCGCCGCCGCCGCCGCCGCCGCCGACAGCAAAGACAAACCCTCCACAAAACCTGCCGCAAAGGCTTCGTCGGGACCAAAGAGGCCCTCGGCCAGCAGCAACAAGGCCGCCGCCAAGCCGCGCAAGCCCGCGGCAGCTAAGAAGAGCGAGCCTATCCACCTCGCCCTCCCAACCAACGACGCACCGCCCGCGCCCGCGAAGCCCACCGCGCCGGCCAAGAAGAAGGAGACGACACGCAAGGCAGCCGGCTCCGACGACGAGGAAGACGACGACGACGACGATTTCGGACTGACGATAGAGTACCCTGACGAACACAAGAACAAAAAGGCCGACTTCTCACCCGCATTCGCTCCCAATATCCAGGTCCGCAGCTTCTCTGACTTCTTGCGTGACTCTGAGGCCGACGACGCAGATGGCGAGTCGGACTTGGAGGAGCGCGATTTCGCAAACTTCAACCTGCCGAGCCCGATGAACGGCCAGGCGCAGCAGCAGGAGCAGCAGCACCAGCACCATTTCCACAACGATCAATACCACGACCAGGACGACGATGCCGAGCAGGGGGAGGTTGATTCCGAGCCCGATTTCGAGGATGCCTTGGAAGACGATCTGGAGGCGGAACTCGAGAAGGAGCTAGAGGCCGCAAACAGCGGCGACGCCGAGGAGAGTGAGGTGAGCGAGGAAGACTAAGCAAAGACCTTTGTGTTGGACATTATGAAAGGCAAAGGTGAGAAATTATCGTGGATTTGAAACCGAAGACTCAGCACCCGTTAAAGTGGGATGCTGCCTGACAGGGACATCACGACGGCGTTACTACCAGGATCAAAAGGAGTTTGGATGTACATTTTGTTGGTTTTCACACGCGCTCGGAGTGGCTGCCCTCCATGAGCCCAGTCCAATAGGTACAGCGGTATACCAGGCAGGATTTCTTGCAGTTCAGATGCGATTCGTTTGCTATATACACAGCGTCCGACCGACAGTTGTCCACCATGACGGCTTTCCCCACCAAATTCCTCCTCAGTCCTTGTACAAGATGACGCCGTGCCGCGTGCCCCTCGCCAGCTTCTTCCCGCCCAGCATCCCGTCCGTGATGTCCGCGACTTCGTCGGTGCACCACACATGCCTACTAGCACAGACAAGGGCCCTCTCAAACCCCTCGCCCCGTCTCGTTGCCGGGGAGGAACGACATGGCGGACATTGCGACGCTGTAGAGGGACAGGAAGAGGGAGCCCGTATTGTAGCGGCACCGCTGTTGCGTTAGTCGGAGGGGGGAGGGGCTGCGGCTGCTACGAAGTCGTGGGACGGTGGGAGATCGACGCGGAGGCGGCCGCCTGTGATGGAGGCCGGCGTCGGGAGGGCCTCGGTCGCCATGGTGTAGGCATTATGGTAAAGGTTATCAATAGAGGGCAAATGTGTCGCAGCCCAACTCATATAGATGGTATTTAGATGATGGACGAGAAAAGGGGCAATCAGGCGGGTTAGGAGTACGAGTTTCTTTTGGTAGTCTAATTGGGTATCTCATGCCCTCCACCCTTCATCTCTGATCCTCCTCCGGTCCGCCCACACCGCCTCTGGTGCTTGCGACCCTCGTTGATCGGCGGCGCCTTTGCGACGACGTCCCCCGTTCAGCCCGCTGCGATTGGCGTTGACGCCAAGTGTGCGGGAGCCAGCAAGCAAATGCGAGAGCCTCCCCTGTTGCATCGCGCAGCTAGTTGAGCGTCTGGTACGTCACACGGCCCTGCGGGCTGCAGTGGAAGCCGCCGATCGCGCTGCAGCTGGGCGAGCATGTCCATGCCCTCCGATCATGCGAGTCGCGGGTACGCTACCCGCCATAACCCACGATTCCTACACCCAGCTATCCACCCTCGGCGTCTGGTCATAAGTTGTCGCCGACATGGCAGCGGCCAGAGAGCTTTAGACAGCCTCCCAACGCGCGATCCATCCGACGCTCTCCCCGGCGTTGCGCACAATACACAGCGTGCCCTCCCTCCCCCGCCCGCCGTCCTCCATCGCTTGCGCAGCCCTTTCGGCGGAAAGACACCCGATGGCAGTCGCCCGTCCCTCGCTCAGGGAATACGCCCCCGTCGTGACGAACCCGATCAGGTCTGCCTCGTCCGGCACGAGCGGATGGCCGTTCATGTCGGTCTGGTTCGGCTTCGGGGGCGGATATGCCTCAACGGGCGCCGCGATAAGCGTCTTGGCCAGCATCTGCTTGCGGGTCTGCAGGTCGGCGTTCGCCGGCAGGCGCATCTGCTGCTTCGACTTGCCGCTGTTCCCGCACGGCGGCCGGCCAGGCAATGTCGCAAGCCACTGCTCACGAAGATTGGCGGGCAAACCATCGAGGGTCTTGGGAGGTGGCGGGGCCGTTGCGGGGACTTCGGCCGAGGAGGCCGGATGGACGGGAGCCGGACGCGACGGGAGGCGGTAGATCCTCGCGCAGGCTGTCGCAACGCCGCGGTTGAGGATGGCGATTTTGACGTTGATCACGGAGCGGGGCCGTAAAGGGTTAGGGTTAGATGCTGGCGCGGAAGTGTGCGCGTAGAATGCGTCCTTTCGGACTTGATGGAGCGTCTTGAGAAAGTTTCCTGGTGTCGACGTGGGATCCGAAGCCTTCTCCTTCTCTGGCGAGGGCTTGTCCACGTCCATTGCATCTGGGGGCGGTGAAGTCAGACCCTCATCCGTCTTGTTCTGGAATAAGACCTCCATATCGCACGCCCATCCGCTACCGACCTCTCCCTTGCGACCGGCGCCCAAGTCCAAAGACTCCCACGCCACCCGCTTGCTCTTCGGCCGGCGTTCCCACTCCTGCTTGCGCTTGGTCCGCTGCTCCAGCTCCCATTCGGCGCCGGCGTCTGTGCCAAGGAAGTCGAAGGGGAAGCACGGCAGGTTGCGCTCGAACGCAACCTGCCTCATCTCGTCGAGGCCTGAGAAGCGTGGATTGCCACCCGAGCTCAGGGGGGAATGGACGAGGCTGTGCCACAGCGGCTGGATGCATCGCCACGGGGCGAGGACCGTCCAGTTGCCCTGGGCCTGCGAAGCTTTCGAGCGTGATGCGAGCAAGAGGACGGGGATCGGTGGGTCCGCGTCGGAGACGTCGAGGACCGTTCCTGGGCGCTTCGCTCCCTTCCGTTTGTCAATTGACTTTTGCGACGGTAATCGGGTCGCCGAAGCGCGGGCATCTCGTTGGAAGAGGTCATATGGCTTCAGGCCTACGTCCGCCGGCCAGTTCGCCAGCAGCTCCATCGACCTGTTTTGTTCTGCTTCGTCATCCGGATTCGGTTGACTGACTTTTCTTGGGGGATATCGAAGACGCGGGTCCATAATGGAGAATCCCAGGACGGCATTCAGGGGAAGCATTGCGGGGCTCGTAACACTGGTCAGACCCCCGAAGATCTCCGCATGCTGTTCTCTGGACCCTTCTTTGACGTGGTAGGGGTGAAGGATTCCCAGGAGAGCCTCTGTTGATGCAGGGCCGGTAAGTTCAATACTGCCGACCTCAAACCGCAGATCCTCGATATAGGGTCTGGGGGTCTGCATTTTCACCAGCCGGAGGAGCTCGTTGAAGATTTCGAGAAATGCGGAAGGGTGCACCCTGATATAGACCTGCTTTTGGCTCTTGCTCGTCTGCATTCCCTCTTCATCCCCGGCTTGCTCCGCGACCGTCTCCGGGTTCCAGATAATCGTCGCTGGACAGACATCTCGCTTCACACCCTTGACCTCTTTGCTCAGGAACCCAGTCCAGTGTCGCGTGCCTGCTCTCCATTTGACTCCCCTGTCGTTCCAACAGCCTTCCTGTGTGACACCAAGCCTGCGCAGAGCTTGCTCCACGCCCTTGGCCCCGCCGTAGAGCCCGATCGTGCTCATATAGCTCGTATCCCAAACAACGACACCCTTCTCGCCCTGGGATCGATGCGTCGCTCGGTACGTCTTCTCGTTGGGCGTCAAGGGTATCGCGAACCGCCACAGAGGGTTCTTCGGCTCGGTCATTCGCGCTCTCTTTGCGTGCCATAGGTGCGTCGGTAGCCATGTTTTGTTAACCTGGCGCCTCCTGAACTTGGACTTGCGCTGTGGAGGGTCGTTGAGCTGGTTCCGCCGGATTTTGGGCCTCGGTGGCCGGGTCGAGACTGTTATCTTGCTCTTGTCCGGAACCTCCTCTTGCGCCTCGCCGTCCTTGGCCTTGGACTTGGCAGCCTTCATCTGCCTCCTCCGCTTCTTCTCCGCGAGGATGCCCAACCTCTTGGCCGTCTCGGCGCGGATCCGCGCTCTCGTTGTCTTGGGCTTGCGCTTCTTCGACACCACCACGGGCGTGTTGTCCTCGGCCATCTCCTTGAGAGCGCGCCTACGCAGCCGCTTGGGCACCCTCTTCGCGTTGTGGCTCGCCGTGCGCCGGCGCATGCCGCGGGGTACTTGCTGGAAGGCGCGGCTCGTGGCCTCGGCCTTGGTGTGCCGCATGCTCTCTTCGAGGGCCCTAATCTCGAATTCGCGCGCGTTTAAGAACGCCTGGAGGTCGAGCTCGCCGTCTTTAAGGGCCGCGTCGGAGGGCTGTGCCGCTATTTCTCTGTCGTTGCGGATCTTGACTCGCTTCTGCGCCCAGCCTCCGCCGCCGCCGCCGCCATTTCCTCCATCGCGGCCGTTGCTCGGCCGTGAGCCATTGTCGCCGGAGGGGCCCTGTTTTCGCTTATTTGGCTTATTTGCAAAGGCAGACTTCAAGGGTTTTGAACCAGGACCTGCTGCCGACATCGCGGGTCATGGTGCGTATGCAAGGGTGTGGAATAATTGTCTTCAGAGGGCTTCGTCGCGTGGCGACTCTCCAACTTTTCGTGCATCGAAACTGGGGTCTCAGGGTGGTCCTTGTCGGCTTAGTCAGCACTATCACTCTTGCTCAGGCCCTATATATCCCGTCTCGGCATCTGAGCGCGCTGACAACATTCACAAGGTCTACATACAAAGACAAGAAGTGGCGATGTGACGAACGGCTCTCCCGCCCTAACAGCTGAGTTTTTCGAGCCGTCTGGAGGATACGCATTTGCGTATCATTGGCTTGTTATCCGTACATGACTTCAAAATCGGCACAAGGTCTGGGATAGTCAATGCAAATGAAGCGAGGCACATCTTGTATCTGCAAAATCTAATTGGCACTTTAGTGACCCTAACTTGGGGCTTGACTTGTCCGCTGTCTTGGGAAAACGGCGACTGTGTAACTTCAGCTACCTTGTGTACGGTCTGAATCCTTCGGCGGAACTTAGTACTTCCCTGACCGGTCCTTCAAAGTGACTCACTGGATCGATGAGTCTTCCATGAACGGTCTAGGTTACACCTGCTATAGCCGGCACCTCGTAACTGTCATTCGGTCTGTGGAACGGCTTGATATCTCGTTCTCTCATGCCGCATGCAAGGCTTTCCCCCACGTGCTTACTTCCCATGGTCTTGCTCTAATTCCACCATGCAATCGCAATCCTCCAAGCCAGACTTCTGGCTAGAGCCCCTCAATGAAAAACATCTCCAGGACTTCCACGAACTTTACTCAGACGAGCAAGCTGATGCTTGGAGGTGAGGGCCCTTACTTTCCACCTAATATCCGCCATCCGTGACTCACATCCCGTCTCAGCTGCCAGCGCTCCACAGCCACCCCCGAAGCATCAGCGGTTCTGCTAACCCGAGCGTCCACGAATGATGCAGGGAAACCGTGGCGCGTCAGCTGTGCCATCATGTCGTCAAACCACCCGCCCCCGGGCGCCCACGACGCCACCCCGGCGACGGCAACGACGAAAATGATCGGCGTGGTCAAGACGACTCAGGCATCAGCCTGGGGTTTGATGATCGGCTACAAGCTGAGGTCGAACTGCTGGGGCAGGGGGTACGCCACGCGTGCCGTGTGTGCGTTTCTGAACATCTATTGGAGCCAGTCACGCCGGGCGCCGAGGGGAGAGGTTTTCGTTCAGCAGACCCCGAACATCCATGAAGCCAGCTCTCATGTGTCGAGAGATGGGGCGTCGACGCGAGACGGAAGTACGATGACGAGAGTTGCGGGGTTAGGCGGGGACGCTGACGAGGTTGAGATCACGCATCTCGTGGCCCAGGTGGACCCGGACAACCTGGGCAGCATGCGAGTGGCAGAGAAGTGCGGTGGGAGGCTTGTCACCGTCGCCAAGGAGAGTGTCAAAGTATGGCGGTTTCCCGAGAAGAGAGACATGGCTGTGTGGAGGTTGGATAAGCCTTCTGCCAGCGCCGGATCAGTTTGAGCGGATGGTAGGTTTTCATGTAATGAAGAGCTTGTTAGAGCGAACCACTAGAGGTTGAGTGTATTGTCCAACTGCACAAAAGAGCAGCGGAGTAACCGCAATGACATTGAATCTAATTAGTTTCAGAACATGTTTACAGCGTTCCTTTTTGAAGAGAAGACGGCCTAGGGACCGGGGCAGACTAATGAGTTCAACTTCTGAAACATGATGATCAATACAAAGAATGAATATCAAGTTTACACCCCGATCGATCTCTTGGTCACCTTAGTCACGCAGTTAATATCAAGAAGACCGGTGTCGAGGTTAACGCACAACCACTGAGGGTTCGCGCCAGTCGGGGTCTCGATGTCAATCTTTGATGCGTTGATGTTAAGGCATTTCTGCTACAGCATCAGTGACTTGTTCTTTTTGCAGATCCGAGGAATAAGAGAGTATTACCGCTGGGCTGCTGCAGACGAGAGTGCCCACGCGGGGGCTGTACTTGGAGGAGGTCGTGCCGTCAAAGTTCTTGAAGTAGATGTCACTGATGGTCAAGTTGGACTAAAGAGTGTCAGCAAACTTGTATGTCAACATTGTTTTCACGGTGGAATGAGAGTACCTACAGGATACTGGTTGCAGAGAGTCTGGTTCTTCTGGCCGTAGCACTGGTCGATGGTGATGACGTTGTCGTTGTTGGAGTTGTGGAATCCGTCGTAAGTCACGTTCCTGACGTATCCGGAGCCGCCGCCACCGGAAAGCGAAGGCTGGAAAGGCGTGTCGATGCCGGGCCAGACCTTGATGCGGGCGGCGTCGGAGGCGTTGGACATGGTGGTGTTGTAGACGTAGAGGTTCTCGACGACGTCGAACGTGCCGACGTACTGGCCGAGGGAGCCGACCGAGATGCCGTGGGATCCGTTGCAGACGAGGTTCTGGACGACAATGTTTGTCGAGTTGGGCTTAAAGGAGACGCAGTCGTCACCGTTGTCGATGTGCGAGTTCTGGATGACGACCGAGTCGGAGCGGTACGTGTCACAACCGTCCGTGTTCTTGGCCGGGTTCTTGGAGATCGAGCCGACCTTGATGGTGATGTCGGAGACGAGCACATTGCTGCTGTTGGCGATGAGGTTAAACCACTGCGCGGAGGTTAGTGAGAGTCATGTTTTGGGGGAAGGGATATCCGGAATCTCGGTGTTTTTGGACCATACCTGAGGCGAGTTGACCATGTTCAGGCCGGTAATGGAGCCGCCGTGAAGGCCATCGGTGACAAGCAAGATGGGTCTCTGGAGGGTGGCGTTGAAGGCGAATCGGTCGTACCACTTCTGGCCGTTTCCATTGAGCGTACCGGCGCCGTTGCCGTAGATGTTCACATCCGTGCCACCAATCTTCCACATGGACGAGGACAGCTGGAATGTGTACTTAAACGTTCGTGGCAGCCAATGGTCAATGTCATCGCAAAAGTTGACAGTGCCAGTGATGGCGGCGTCGACGGATTGCAAGAAAGTCAAGTCCAGGGGCGAGCAGATTTGTAGGTCGAGTCGAGGACCACGGTGCCGCCGTGGTTGCAGTCCGTGAAGGCCTTGAGGATGGCGGGGGCGTCATCGGTGCCGGCGGCGCCGGCCTCCACGATGCATGTCTTAGTCCTCGGGGCCGAGGTGGAGAAGGCGGGACCCGGATGGAAGGGCGCAGGCTTGATGTCTGGGCGCACGGGGGCGGCGGATGAGGACCCGGCAGCATGGGTAAGGGGAACCAAGGCGGCGGCCAGGAGACCACTGAAGAGGGGTTGGTGCGACCATGACAAGGGTACGTAACAGCAGACTACCTAGGTCGTAAACGAATGTAGGTAGTGGTGGCTGGCAACGGTACGGGTTTCTGCGCCAAGTGTCTGCCGAGCGATGCTGTGCTGCAGTACTCTTCCTCGAGACTGGCGGTAATTGCTACCCAAGGAGGAGCAGGACTTATATCATAAGGTAGTCATGCCATGGTTCGTCTCGAGGGAGCTTAGGATGCATCCTTCTGGTAGGTATCCACCACCAATGCCATCGAAGGAAGGGATCCAGGTCGCTAGAGGTGAAATATGGCACTGGGATGGGAGTCTAGCGAGATAAGCTCATGGCATAGGATGGGGTTTTCCGGTCCATATGATGGGTGGGCGGACAAAAAGTCCTGAGAGGGTTTTAATTGGAGTGAACCATCATGATTCATAGGTCATCAATCATAGTTTCGGCTAGCGCTAATTACCTAGCGTACAGAGGGCTGATCTCTCCATCGACAAGCATCAGGATGATCGGTAGGCCGGCTCCAGGGACGGGACCTCTCTCGGCTCGCGCTGTGGTTCGTGGAAACCTTCGTCTCAAGTTCTTCCATCCGCGGAGCCCCAAAGTTTGGGCCGACCTCCTCATCTTCCGCTCTACCCCCGTTTTTTCCATGCTGCCGAGTGCTCCTAGGAGTCCTAGGTACGCATATTTTGCGTCTAGACTCACAGCACGACACGGCATATCCACACGCTTCCCCATGGGCCGTCACGATCCTGTGCCGAGGACGAAGGGTTTCTGGGGTAACCTCTCCGTCCCCTTACCCCGCGTTGACCTGCGAGTCCTCCATTCTGGCATCAATGCCGCTCGCGCCCGCGCTTCTACTGCATAGGTGCCGGAAAAGATATCCCTGGAAGCTGGGGATGAGGTCTTTGCCGGGTAATCCGTCAGGAAAACTCGGGTGCGCTGGGTAGCAATGGACAGCGGGAAGCTACGTGGTATATATCAACAACCAATTCTCCGGGTCCAGAGTTGGATCTGGATGCTCCTCAACCCTCCTCCAGTCCGGCCCGGCAGCACTTGTCTTTTAGTATCTGGTCCACGCGAAGCTGTATCACAATGAAGACTTCGGTTTCTCTCACCCTGCTTTCGGGGGCCCTTGTCTCATGGGCCTCCCTCATCGCCGCCGCCTTGGACCCGGCAAAGACATACGCCTCATGCCAGAAGAAGACGTCAAACCCTCTCGCGGGCTGCCCCCCAAACACCCTCTTCGTCAGCAAGAACTCGACCCGCGCAGACTTCACCTCCATTCAGGCCGCCATCGCCTCTCTCCCCAACAACACAACCCCCTACACCATCCTCATCGCCCCCGGGAGCTACACGGAGCAGCTCAATGTCACCCGCTTTGGGCCCTTGACCCTGCTGGGCATGTCGGATCGCCCCGCCTCGGGCGACCTCTACGCGGACGTGACGCTCAACACCACTGACTCCAATGCCAACGACGTCCAGGTGTGGTGGAACGCCGCGAACCACAACGTCGCGTTCCCGGACAACGTCTACACGAGCGTGCTGACCGTCGGCCCTAACCTCAACGCCACCCTCACCGGCACGGGGCCCACCGGCTTCCCCGTCCCCGAGGATACGCCCTTCGGCTGCGTCGACTTCCGGGCGTACAACATCGACTTCCGCAACGACGAGTACCCCTTCGCCAACGGGCCCGCGCATGCCGTCGGCGTCAGCAGGGCCAACGCCGGCTTCTACTCCTGCGGCTTGTACAGCTACCAGGACACCCTGTATGTCGGCAAGCTGGGCAACGCCTACTTTTTCGATAACGTGATTGCGGGGCAGGTGGACTTCCTGTACGGTTTTGGCACAGCGTACATTGAGAAGTCGACGCTCTCGCTCCGCAACTGCGGAGGCGGCATCACTGCCTGGAAGGGTAAGCTTCTTTCGTTCCCCCGTTCCCGTGCGCCTGAGGCCCCGGACCTTGACTGACACCTTCTCCCAGGCACAAACACAACCTTTGAGAATAAGTATGGCGTTTACATCTCCGACTCACAGGCCATCGCCGCAAACGCCTCCATCGCCCAGACGATCCGCGGTGACTGCCCCCTCGGTCGGCCTTGGAACGCCCAGCACCGCTCTATCTTCATGGATACCTACTTTGACGCGAGCATCAAGCCGCAGGGTTACATCCCCTGGCTCACGACAGAACCGCGCATTAACAACTACACCTTCATGGCCGTCTTCAACGACCGCGGCCCGGGCTGGACGCCTGAGCAGATGGCGGCAAGCAACGTCACCAAGGTGCTCGATGATGCGGCTGTCAAGCCCTACAGAAACCCCTCCGACGTGTTCCAGACGGCCGAGGGCGAGTTTGGTTTCGTCTCGTGGATCGATCAGAGCGTATTGAGAACGGCATGATGTCATTCTGAAGGAGACATTGGTGGACGGGCCAAGAGCAGGTACAGATGATGGAATGATTCTAGACAATAGAAAACTAACGGTGTATCGTTCCTGATACAAGAAGATATCCTCTTACCCGAGCTACGTGAGGGAACACAATGAATCCACGTATCCACCTATCAGACCATCGCTTTTCATGCCGTCTCCGGGAGCCATCATCCAGTCGTATCAACAAAACCAAGCGAGCAAATTTTATTTCATAATCCATGGTTCCGTCAACATCCATTTCAAGAAGCGCATGTCTGAGTGCCTCTTTAGTCAAACATAATGGGCGAGTCTTTGCTGCCAACAGCTGGCGTGGGGCTGGGTGTAGCCCCGAATGATAAGGTTCTTGATCGTGACCGCGAGCGAGGTGTGTACGGCGTGTCTGGGGTGTTTGGCGTATTCGGTGCGTCAAAAGTACCGGGAGTGTTAGGAGCTTCGGGCACGTCGGTCATATCGACATCAAAAACCTCGTCATACTTGATATCGACCTGCATTCCATCATCATCGTCCAGCATGATAGCGTCTTCATGAGAGCCTCCTAATTCTCCACCGACAGGCACGGGCGCGGACGGAGGCGTCTCACGGCATGGACCTTCCGATACGAAGACCAACTCTCGGCCACCAACGCTGCCTCGCAGCTCTCGCGCCGGGGCAAGACCGTCCTCCACGAGCAGCCAGTTCTTGAGGTGCTCGTACAGAAGTCTCACGACGCAAGCTGGGAATGCGTTTCCAATCTGCTTCTTCAGGGCCGACTTGGGTGCATCGGCAAACTGGTGCCAGACGGGGAACCCCTGGAGGCTGGCGAATTCGCGGACCGTGTATGATCTGGTGTTAGACCAGTGCATATTTTGCCCGCCTGAGCAGGTCACGCATCTGCGGAGAATCTGATCAGGGTCGCTGATGACGGACCCGAGTGGGAGTGTGTCCTTGACCTCCTCTTCCGGGTTGTGAAAGGTGGACGTGACATTGATCTTGGCCAGTGCCTGGCGGATCGTAACATACTTCGACAAGCCCCTTCCACCAGTCTCCGAATGAGTAGCCGAAGGGAAAGGAGGTAACTTCTCACCAGGGCATGCTCCAATCATGATTAGTCTTTTCCGGGTTTGAGGCAGGCCCCAGTTTTGAAGATGAACAATCTTCCAGGTGACCGAGTACCCAAACTCAGTGAACCCTCCAACGAGAGAGCAGAAGAAGGGATCGAAACAGGGCTGCATGATGCCGAAGGTCTGTTCCAAGGTGAAGATGCGAGGACGTACTTTCTCAACAAGACTTCGGCAGGCGAATAAAGCGGCAATGTTCGCCTCGTCGTTGGCACCTGGAACGGTGTGCGCTGGAGACCATGTCTGACAGGGAGGTGACAGATGCAGGATATCGGTACGCAACTCAGTTTCTTTTTGAGACCGCATAAGCTCATCGACAGACGTTTCGAAGAGGTTAGTGTTCGGAAAGTTGAGGCGATAGGTTGCGCAAGCTTTCTCACAGTTATCGACGGCATATCTAACATGCAGCCCAGCGCGCTCTGCCCCGCGAGAAAATCCACCGGCACCACAGAACGAGTCGAAGACGGTGTATTGCTGTTTGGATGCAGTGAGGCTGGAGGATGAAACAAATCCTCCAGTCTCGGGCGTTTTGGAGCCACCTGGAATCGTCTGGCCTCTCCAGTCCTCTTTGAGAACCTCCTCAGGAACTCTGAACTCGTCCCGTATGACCTCGTGGGCTCTAATACGCTCAAGAGACCAGTGGTTTGCCTTGCGCTCCCTCTTCTTGCTGGAGTCGCGATAATGTACGTAAAACTTCCAGCGGCAGACCAGAGGGCCCTCTTGTTCGACTGCCGCGCGATGCCCAAAAATCTTTCGATCAAAACGATGCTCAGGGAAAGGCGCGTTGGTCAGGTGTAGGGACCGGGGTCTGAGAAGCGCAGAGACTGTGACTTCGATAGATGCTTGATCCTCTGGTGTGCGGTCATCCCCCTCCTCCATCTCATAGAGTGCAAAAACCTCGTTGAGCTTTCGGGGAAGTTTTGCCATCAATGTCCGGGACCTGGTGAACGGCAAGCCTCGGACTGCATACTCGTGTGTCCAGAGATTCTCATATATTCCGGTAACCAGAATGAAGTGGTTTTCAATTGCTGACTTTTGTGTATGCTCAGGGCTCAGCTCGTAGAGCGTATTCAGCTTAATCGAGAGGCCTCCTGCAATCTTGACCTTCTCATGCTTGCGCTCAGGAGCTCGCGGGGTAGGGTCACGGCGGCGCCTTTGGGATCGAACCGTAACGACCGGATCATCGTCTACAGTAAGGTCGATGAAGTTGGCAAGCTCCTCGCTGGCAATTTCTTCCTCCGTTTGCTCATCGAAGCCGCTGATATCAGTGCGGAGCGAGCTATTTCTGGGCTTAGGGCGGTACGCATGAATCTGACGCTCGATGTCGACGACACGCTGTTCTCCTAATGAGAAGACGGGTTCGTCAAAATCAAGGTCAATGGCATACTGAGGACTCTCCCCCGAAGGTTGAAAGGTTGCCATCTATAGATCCTGGAAAATTAATTCGACCTGTAGAGTTAGAGGAGAAAAGATAATTGCAGTTGATGCGTTACTCACTCGGCTGCCCGGAGAGAACAGATGATTGAGTCCGAGGAATTCATATGAGAAGCAAGTTCTCAGTCACCTCTTCCATCCAACCTGTTTGCTGAAGACTCAAGTTGATGAGGGAAGAATGCACTTCAGGTTCGATTGAAAGTGAGAGTTATGGCTGATCTGAGAAGGTAAGTGGGACAATCTCATATGAAGTAGAAAAAATGGATGAGATTGAGAACCTACCTAGGCAGTCAAAAGTGGTTGTGGACGAAGTGAAGCCAATTGAGTTGATGGAAAAGGGAAGGAGCAACACCTATTCCTTCCGGTTATGTCTTCAGGCTTCAACACGTTATCGGAAGGTGCACAGTATGACCAGAAAATCTCTCGCTCTTTCAAGGCTGCGTGGTCGGTCACCGTATTCTGCAAAATTCCAACAAACATATAATAACTTGTGGCAATGTGTAGAGTCCGTCATGGTGATAACGAGGCAGGCAAAAGGTGCAAAGCAAACTGCCCAGGACAAGCAGAAAGACTTTGACAACACTAAAGACGATATTTGCCTCGTTACTTTTACCATATCATAACTCCAATCTTTGGAAATAAAGCCTGCATTTGATTGTGAACAACAAGCTAGTCAAAGATTGCAGGGAAACGTAGCACAAATGCTAGATGAAAGAGAATCTTGCGCCCAGGACAACATCCCTAGACATCACACAGCCTTTTACTATTCTGCTGGCTAGTTCCTTACTACTGGCGATTCAATACATGGCGGCTGGTGACAAGCAGGATCGGCATGTGTGGCCCCAGGCCCTCCTTCCCAGCCGACCTCCTTGTTTCCTAGGTGCCTTCCATACATTCAGATTCTTCTGGCCTGAACATGCCCACAGTGTTTGTACACTTAACAGCAACCCAACTACCGACCTAGGTACCAAGGGCTCATCAATGGTCGTCCTTTCCTTCCCTTTCATTCACTCTCTCTACAGGCGTGATTAACGCCCCCAGACGTGTGTCAAAGTGACTGCAGCTCAAAACAACAGAACATTGACAGCTCAGCCCTTCCGTTCTTCTCGGGGTATAAAAATCTCTCTTCCTTGGTCAAAAACAATTTGTCGCCGACTTTTGATACGAGATCAGCAACCAGGTATCAGGTGTTCAGTGCAAGTTAAATAATCAAGCCTGCCACAGCGGTTTCTAGAAGGGACCAGAGTACTGAGAAAAAGGCAGCGGAAATTAAAGACATAGCTCTGGTAAGAGAATAACAGATACCTTGACAGCATCTGCTTCTCCTAGAACGGAAACAATCTCGCGGAATACTCGCAAAGAGGCTAGTACTGCCACTATACAACCAAGCAGAGGACCAGAAAAGTTTCCTTTTACCCATCGGAGCATGCAGTTGTAAGCCGAAACCTAATATCTTGCAGACGGCACTGGCTAACTGCTCTCCAGGAGCTTTTCGCACACTTCGTGAAACAATGCCTCAAACCCGTAGCGCCGCAAAGCGGGCTGCAGGAGCAGCTCTCCTATCTGATGACTCCACCGAGCCAGGAAATAAGAGACCTGCAAGCATCAATCAGACTCAAGAAAAGACACATCGTACCAAGCGCGCAAAGAAGCAGTCCCGTTACTCTGTTTCGCCAGCACAGCCGAATACTGTAGTCCTCCCTCACGGTCTGGGAGCCGTCCAACAGCCAGCAACCCTCAACAGTGATGACCGCAAGCCTTTTTACAGCTTCAATACCACCGCCCCAGGCATAAAGAAGATGGCACTAGAGGAGCTCAAGAAGGCAGCAAGGCCTCGGGGCTTGCCTAAGGAAACACCCAACAACAAGTACCGCTTGATGCCCGGATCAACTCCATTCCCTGACTGGTCCAGGCCCACTCCAGAGGAATGCCAAGCCGTTTATGACATTTTGGTAGAGGAATATGAAGAAAAACAGAAAGCCAGGAAGGAAACGGCCACGCAGTCCGAGAAATATGCGCCACTCAGCTTCACCCCTCCGGCAAAGATCCAACCACCTTCCACTACCGTTGCTGGATGTGGAGAAGTACCTGATTTGGTGGACGCCATGATGAGAACCCTCATAAGTCAATCAGTAACGCGAGACAGTGCCAACATGGTCGTGGAAAGAATTATTGCGAGATTCGGCCAACTTGACCCCCAAGGAATCGGCGCCGCCAGCATCGACTGGAATGCAGTACGTCTGGCCCCCCCTGAAGATGTCATACAGACCCTCCACAAGGGTGGACTGCAAAACAGGAAATACGAAGGCATAAGAGGATGCCTCGACATGATTTACACGGATAATCAAGTCAGAAGATCTGCGTATATGGATGAAAAGGAGACAGGAAAGGTTGCCAATGTGCCAGGCGCAGCTGAAATGACTACGGGCCAAAAAGAGCACCAACTGAAAAAGATTGAAGCTGGAATCCTCACTCTAGACCACATTCGAGCCATGCCATCAGACGATGTCATGATGGCACTCACCAAATATCCCCATATTGGAGTCAAGACGGCAGCTTGCCTTCTTCTCTTCTGCCTGCAGATGCCCAGCTTTGCTGTGGACACCCACGTTTATCGCATGTGCAAGTGGCTGTACTGGGTTCCCGGCACAGAAAATGAGAATTACGTCTACATGCATTGCGACCTACGAGTTCCGGACCATCTCAAGTACGGCCTCCATCAGCTGTTCATTGAGCACGGGAGTGGATGCCACCGCTGCAAAGGCAACACCTCAAAGGGAACTACAGAGTGGGACAAGGCGGTTTGTCCACTTGAGCATTTGCTGGATCGCTACGGCAAGAAGGAGAGTAAGTCAAAGGCAGCAAATGCTGTCGGCATTGAGAATAATGGTGCTGAAGCGCATGAGACTCATGAGGGCCTTTTCCAGTCTGATGCTGCTATCAAACAAGAGACATCTCTGTCAATAACTAACAATGAGGAGGGGAGTGGCTGTCACTGTGTCAAGGAGCCCCTCATCAACTCTACAGCAGACCAGGCAGATTCCGGATTTCTCTCAGAAGCATAAGGCGATGCTCACACCTGACATTGTGCTATGTGTATCGTATGGTGTTTTTTGAACCCACCTATTCGGGCTCCACTTGGGGAACAGGGCGCGCTCTTTGCCTTTTCCGGCACTTGACTGAACAGCTGAGGGTATTATTTTGGGGCTTTTCTGTGGGTGTGGGCATTCCTAGAGTTGTCATGGTTGCGGCAGCGTATGTTTGTAGATGACTTGCTTGAAAACTACCATAGAGTAAAAAGGGCTTAATGCTAGCAGTATAGGGCTAACTCCTGTCCATGGCATCCAGAAAGAAGTGGGTTATATATTAACTGTGTTTGACTTTGTCAATTCTGTGTTTGGCATCGTGGGCTGGCTTTGATCAATGATTTGGGTGTTCTGTTGGCCAAGAGTCATGTCCAATGATTTCGTGTGAAAAAGGTGTTGAATGTAAAAATGGAAACAGGAATGATGAAACCCAATGCCACATCAGAGAGAAGAATCCAAGCCAAAAGACTAGAATGAAAGGTGAAGGAAGATGAGAGATGGATGATGGATGGTCTGAAGCTGCAGTGGGATTTAAGGTATGGTCCGTGCACAGACAGCCCAAGCCTTTGCAATACCTGTGCTAGGTACCTAGATTCTGCACAATTAGGAGTACTTCTGTACGGAGTAGCCTGCAAGACTCAAGAGGCTCACTCAGATCAGCGACGGCTCCATTCACACGCACTCTTACCCCTGTCGACACGGTTTGATGCTTTAATGGATTTTTGGACGCCTGACCGCGTCCTAGCCGAGCCGGAGCGTGTCACTACACTTTTTGCAGCCCACTCTTGCCTCTGCTTTTTTCTGCCAGCATCCAAACACCCAAAAACTTCGTGGGTTTTCTTTTCCTCCTCCCACGCCGCCCTTTCCACACCAACCTTGCCTTCTTCTCGATTGAGGGCCTTTCGATTTCCTAATTGCTTCCTTGGGTGACGGGGCCAGTTTGTCTTACATTGCCCTTACAAACGTCGCCCTGCCGCAGCGACCGACAAACACTAGGCTCCACGAGAATCGGCAATCGACTCGACTCGATTCCACGACGAGACTTGTCCCCTGTTCTTTCCACGATACAGTGTGTTTTCTCAGCACAGATACATTCGACTGCACTCGTTCTTTCGTTCTTTCTGGCTGTGCTCAGCTTGCAGCTAGCGATCCCCATCTTTCGTGTTCGCCCCCGTCGTCCTCGGCGAATATTTCTTGCCAACTCCACATTGCCGAAGCTCCTTATCTCACCTCACGTTTCGACCTCCGCATCACAGCCTCGTCGAACCGACCCTTCGTCTTTGTAGCCTCTACATTTCTCACGATATGCCTCGACGGGCTTGTTCACTGCAGTAAAATGTCGTCACAACCAGTCGAGGATATCCTCGAAGAGAGCTATCGCAAGTTCACCCACATTTCTCCGGACCTTCACCTTCTCTGCCCCAAGGTAGACGAAGATGACTTCGAGGATTACGATGACCTGAACACTGCCGGCGAAAGCATCACAGCCCTTGAGAAGAAGGAGAGGGTGGAGAAATGGAAGGAACGGCTCGACATTGCCTACTGGACCAGTCTTCTGCTCGCGTACGGCAAGGACAAGGCTGGTGTTTGGCTCGAGCAATGGGGCGCGCGCATGGCCATCAACCTCCATAACTGCGACAAATGCGTTCTGAACTGGCACATGCACCGGAAGAAGTACATCCAGGTCTTTTCCGAGTAAGCTCTCATTCCGCTCTAAACGATACAGCCAGCAATCACCATCGGTGCTAACTGGACCACAGGAAATGGCCGGAAGAGGCTGTTGCCGGAATCGAAAATTGTCTCCACCGATTTGACTTTGACCGGATTGATAAGGGTCTCCAATGGGCCAAGGACATCATAGAGCAGGTCGAAAGCCAAGGCCGCGTCTTTCAAAGAGCTGACCTTGGCGAGGACCAGGGCGCAGTGCTTCTCACCGTCTACGAGGCCCTCTGCTGTATGCCATACCTCAGTTTGCCCGAGAAACGAAACCTCTTTCAGTTTGTTTTCGTCCGCCTTTCGGGTAAGAAGCCTTTGAAGCTGGGCGAAAACATTCTACTCCCTGCCATGACCCAGTTCCTATTCGGAGAGGACAAGACAAGGCTGCAGTTTGCAGAGAAGTCCTGGGAGCGCCTCCGACAGAAGTCGCTGACCGAGGCGCAATTCAACTGGGCCGTTCATGATAATCTGGTGGAGGCGATTCAGTCAGTCGCTCAACGTAACCCCAGGAACCCCATTGACATTCCGGAAATCGAGCGGTTTTGGAAAGCCGTTAACTGGATCATCAAGACCATGGATGACAAGCTCTTGCTGCATGGTCTTCGGAGTATGGAAGTCAAGCCAAGCCTCTACGACCTGCTTTTTGTTCACATGCAATGCGAGTCCGAAGCAATCCTTTTGCTCATCATTCAAGCTTTGACCGTCCTCTTGGAGACGTCTCCTCAGGCTTTCTGGGACACGATAGGTGACGCGCGGCCATTTGTTGTTGTCGAGCAACTCCTTTCTCAGCGGCTCTTCAAACAACTGCTCGCTCAATCACTGACATTCGCCATACCCTACGACGATGGCAGCGGCAGCAACGACTCGGTTGAGTCAATCACGACTTCGTGGATCAACACGTGGATCCAGTCTCTCAAGCGCCAACAAAAGAGCGACGCCTGCGAGCAGCTGCTCCATTTGCTTTTCGAACAAATCGTTCATGATGCAAGCATTGGGGAGCAGGGCAGAGCTGCGTGCATCCGTGCTGGCCTAGATGCCTTGGACCATGTGTTAAGGTCGTTTCTGGATCCGTCAGTCAATACCGTTTCTAGTACCACATCTGTTTACATCAACTCGATTCTCAACGTCACCTTGAAGCACAAGGATGTCATCAATGATGCTGCGGATACCAAGAGTAAAGAGCAGCACACCCTGGGCGTGCCCAAAGCAGCCATGAGGGTCATCAGCGCTGCCATGAGCCTGGATTCTAGGGCGACTTCCGAAGAGCATCTCGAACTCCGTAAGAACGAAAACGCGGTTATCCAGACGGCGGTCACCCGCAGATCGGCAGACTTGTGGGACGGGTTTCTGGAAAACCTCTTCGCCGGGAAGCTCCTGCTAGCTAGGACAATGCTCATGGCCATGACCCCTCTAATCAACGTCGAGAGATTTCGTGGTCCACGTAAGGAGCCGGACAACCTCACCCCGGCGAAGAAGAGCTTCAACAACCACTTCATCAAGGTTGCAGAGGCACTTGGGCGAGTACTACAACGCATGTGCGAGTTCACATCACCACAACTCAACGAGCTGTGTCTCGTGGGCCAGAGCATTCGTCCCATCATTGCTTTCACTGTACACGGCGAGGACGAAATTAGTAGCGCAAGTGCTGAGCTCATCAAGTCTATCACCGAACAACCTGTCAAGTCGGAAGCCATCACAGCGTTGCTTGACCGCCACCTCAGCATCACCCTGTCTTCCATGATTTTCGCAACACGGAGGATCATGGAGCCATCCAGTGTGGCATGGGGTCCAGCACGGCACATTATCAACACCGCCAAAGATGTACTCAAGAGTCTCAGCGACCTGTCGTCTGGAATCCTCAGATCCAAGACGTTGGAAAATGGCGAACAGATCGCTGTCACTGGTTGGTGGGTTGCTCACTGGAAATACATCGAGGTTGCTTTTCAATGCACAGCCACTTGGTCTCACCAGGCAGAAATCAACGTAATGCAAGACTTCTGTCGAGATGTCATTGAGCTAGCCGACGGCATGCTGGCTCAGGATGGCCTTTTTGCCTCAGCACTGCAGGCCACCAACGTGCAGGCACAGCCGCAAGATCTGTCCAAGATGCAGCAGCTTCTGAAAGACCCTCAGCGCCATCTGACTGGCATTGTGAGGATGCTTCGGCTGAGAGATCTTTATCTAGTGGAAGTCACTGTCAAAGTCGTCGCTAAGCTACTCTTAAGACTTCGCGAGAATCAACTCGACATACCTGATGAACCGAAGGCCTTTGTCCAAGATTCTTGCGTCAAGTCACCGGCCACCGGCAAGTACCCTATCAGCACCAACTTGAGCGATCAGCAACGAGCGGAACTTCTCAAAGCCCTCGGCGAAGACGATGATGTGGAAATCATTCAAATCCGGCCAGTCCCCAAAACTGAGAAGCCAAAGAAGCAAAGCCTCATCGACGCTTGGTCCAAATCTGGCTCCTTAACTTCCACTTCCCAAACCAGCCGAACGAACAAGGACGATGTTCTCGAGCTCAGTAGCTCTGTCGATAAGAAACGCTCGATTCTAGAGCAGATGGCTTCTCGGCAGAAGGCGTCCCCCCTCTCAAGCGTGTCCAAACTGCCGCCACCGAAGCCTATACTTGAGCCTGTAGTTTCGCAAGCCTCAAAAAACGCGCTCATTGAGTCGCGAAAGAAGGCAAAGTTGGAACGTGCCAAGAGAGATGCCGATATGGTCAAGAAAGCACAAGCTCTCAGAGATGCTGCCAACGTCGGCGAGGGTTCAGGACTGAAGGGCCTCAGTGGTGTCGTCGGTAAAGATCTCGCACCGCAGAAGAGTCAAATTTTGGTTGACAGTGATGAGGAAGAAGAGGATGACTCTGAAGATGAGGATCTCGACAACCTTATCAACAAGGGCCAGCAGGGTCAGAAGGCCGTTGACGAAGCCAGAAGGCGTCGCGAACGAGCGCTGCTCGAGAAGACCCGTGGCCCAGTCAAGAAGGTAAAGGTACAACGCTCAGCCAAGGACATGCGTGCTCGTTTGATCCCGCCGATGGACCAGCTCCACCAGGCCATCTTGGAATGGGACATCTTCCATGAGGGCAATGACCCACCATCGACCTCAGCCTCCTTGGTCATTACAAGGGTTGCAAGCACGTACGCCCACCCCCAGGAGTACAAGCAGACCTTCTTGGGCCTCTTGATATCCGAAGCATGGAGATCTTTCGTGACTGCCAAGGATGAGACAACATCCAAACCCTATGGCCTCAAGATTGCCTCTCGTATGAACGTTGATAAGTTTCTTGAAGTGACTGCCAGCATTCCCAGCGCTGAGAATAAAGAGAGAATGCTGTCGGAGGGTGACATCGTGCTTGTGTCCAAAGGAAATAGCCCGCTCACGGACAACTCTGAAGCCCATGCTTTGGCACGAATCTGGAAAACCACCTACAAGAAAGAAAGGCTGGAAGTGACATACCGCCTGAACAGCAAGAATAATCCACTGCTTGCTACCAATGCTCTCGGTGTTGGCTCTGAACTTCAAGCCGTAAAGATCACTAACATGACGACCATTGAACGAGAGTACGCGGCTCTCGAGAGTTTGCAGTACTACGACCTGATGCTTGAAGTCCTCAAAGCCGAACCTTCACCTATCTTGAAATATGGCGAGGAGGCTGTCAATGGCGTCATGCAGAATTACCAGTTGAATCCTGGTCAAGCCAAGGCGATTCTCGGTGCCAGAGACAATGATGGCTTCACCTTGATTCAAGGGTGAGAACAAATAGACACCCGCTTCCTAGTTTCAGTGCTAACACATTGTAGTCCTCCTGGCACGGGCAAAACGAAGACTATCATAGCTATGGTTGGCTCGTTGCTCACGGGTAACATCCAACCTCCTGGAACGGCCATCAAGCCTAAACTTGTGGGCCAGGCAGCCCAGAACTCCATGCCGAAGAAGCTTCTGGTCTGCGCTCCCAGTAACACCGCTGTGGACGAGCTTGTCTTGCGTCTGAAACAGGGTGTAAAGACGATGAACGGGTCTTTCCACAAGATCAACGTTCTTCGTTTGGGTAGAAGCGATGCCATCAATGCCGCCGTCCGAGATGTCACCCTCGATGAACTCGTCAAACAGAAGCTCCAAGGCGACACCACGCAAAGCAAGGCAAAGGAGGAACGAGATAAGATGCACAACGATGCAGCTAAGATCCGAGACGAATTGGCAGAGATTCGACCGAAACTGGACGAAGCCCGCGCGGCTGGCGACCGAAACCTATCGCAAGCTTTGCAGCGGTCCTTCGATCAGTTGAAGCGTGCCCAGATCAACATTGGCGCCAAGATTGATGAGGATAAGGCAAGCGGCAACACTGCCAGTCGTGAGGCCGAAATTCGCCGACGACAGATCCAGCAGGAGATACTTGATGGAGCGCAAGTCCTCTGCGCCACGCTCAGTGGTAGTGGCCACGAGATGTTCAAGAACCTCAATGTTGAGTTCGAGACTGTCATCATCGATGAGGCTGCGCAATGTGTGGAGCTCAGTGCCTTGATTCCTTTGAAGTACGGCTGCACCAAGTGCATCCTTGTTGGAGACCCGAAGCAGTTGCCCCCGACGGTGCTTTCTCAGTCTGCTGCCAGATTTGGTTACGACCAGAGTTTGTTCGTCCGCATGCAGCAGAACCATCCCGACTACGTCCACCTTCTCGATCGTCAATACCGTATGCACCCAGAGATCAGTCTGTTCCCCAGCATGGAATTCTACGAGGGCAAGCTTGTTGATGGCGAGGACATGAGCGCACTGCGCTGCCAGCCCTGGCATGCCACCGCCCTCCTTGGCCCGTACCGATTCTTCGATGTCGAGGGTACCCAGTCGAAGGGCAGCAAGGGCCGTTCGCTGGTGAACCACGCGGAGTTGAAGGTTGCTATGCAGCTCTATGAACGATTCAAGGCAGACTTTGGACGAAACTACGACATTAAGGGCAAGATCGGCATCATCACCCCATACAAGGCCCAACTGCAAGAGCTCAAGTGGCAGTTTTCGCGTCAGTTTGGAGATAACATTACTGATGACATTGAGTTCAACACAACGGACGCTTTTCAGGGCCGTGAGTGTGAGATCATCATCTTTTCTTGCGTTCGAGCTGATCCTACCGGCGGTATTGGTTTTGTCAAGGACATCAGACGTATGAACGTTGGTCTGACCCGTGCCAAGTCGTCTCTGTGGATTCTGGGAGATTCAAGAGCATTGGTACAGGGTGAGTTCTGGAATAAGCTCATCGACAACGCGAAGCAGAGATCTCTCTACACAAAGGGGGATATCATGTCAATGCTGCGGAAGCCCAGTGTTATTATGAAGTCACTGCCGCCGCTACCTACGCCGCAGGGCGACTTTGGCATTGAGAGGCCGGTGCAATCACAAGCTGAAGAAATTGACATGACAGATGCGCCGACGGCGCCGCCACGAAAAGCAATCCAGCTTCCTCAGCAGCCACCGACGAATTACACAGTCGCAGAGCGCCGCCCGGGTTGGGAGGGCAACAATCGCATCGAGCAGCTCAACGAGAGAGGCGAACTGCAGCCCGCCGTCGCCCGTAGCTCTGACCGACCCCCCGTCATTCAGTCGTCGACACCAAAGCAGGAGTCCAAGAAGAGAGCATCCGATGCCAACGATGGGCCGCAACATGGCTCTAAGCGGGTATGTAAAGACGAATTAAGCAAAGATGCAACCATAAAGGTTTTCACCCTTGTGCCTAACACGACAACTACAGATGGCGACCGAACAGAACCGACCTCCCAGCAGACCGCCACCAACGGGACCCAGGTCAATGGGCAACGCTCCGAAGGAGCCGAAGAAGGCGAAGGACCCGTCTGCCATGGTAGCCCTCGGTCTGACACCAGCTGCACGACCGCCGGCGATGGAGACGACATCGATTTCGAGGACCTTGCCTTCAGGTTCTACCTTGCCACAAAACCGCAACATACCCTCTAGAGTAAGTGGATATGAGATTGCCAAATTTTGGAGCATTTTGGGACACTGCTAACGTACCTGCTAGCCTCCGGCTCCGGGGCAGAATGGGCAGAACGGCCCCGTCATCCACAGGAAGAAGCCCAAGGCGGATCCCTTCATTCAGCGAAAGCCTCCCAGACGCTAAGGGAGCCAGCCAACTCGAACACGATGGTTGATTGATTTTGTAGATTAGACTCTATACAGGACCGGGCTTGAGCAAAGGCTTTTGCATCACTGAGGGGACATTCGAGCCTCTGGCGTTACAGGTCCAGTCAGGCAAAGGGCGTAGCACCCAGCATCTTTTTTTTATATTCTTTTTGCAACAGAGCGGAAGGATGTTGTTGCCTTCTTAAGTTTGGCCTAGCAGTGGATGGCATCGGCGCAGGCAATAGGCAGGACGCATCTATGGGCTGGGAAACTAGCAATGGTGGGAGAGGGGAAACCTGGTTTCCTGCACGGGACTAGCCCTGAGATGGAGCTGACGTAGATCGCCGCAGCATGGCATGAATATGGGATTCTCTGCGCGGCTGTGTGAACGCTAGGACGGGGTGATTAAGGCAGCGGTAGCATGGCACTGCATGGTGGTGAAAGGGTGAGAGTGAACAACGAAGACGACGAGAGGCGCGACTTGCGTTATGCAGGGGCTGGGGATAATGTCCTTCGTCCTTCCTGAGTAGTACGAGAGCGGCCTTGGGCTGCCTGATGAGATGACGATCGATAGTGGGCTGCTTGAGGCCCAAAGGTTATGACATTGGTGAGGATGTGCATGCATCATGGTTTCCAAGAATGGGAACGATGAAGATAGATTATGCAATGCCACGACGATGTGCCGATGATGTGCGAGGGGAAAGCGGAAAGTCACCACGGATCATGACGAGCCTGACCAGCCCAGACGCAGGCACAGACACATACACAGACAGACACACATGCACACAGACAAACCCTCTCTCTGCCCCGGCCCTTTTTTGTCTGGCTTTTTTGCATACTAGGTCGCATAATAGGAGCTTCCGAGCAGCGTCCGGGCGCGCAGGAGAAGCTCCTCGCCAACTCTCGTTGTTAATCACTTGGTCTCAATCATGGCCAAGGAGAGTGAGCACGGGTTCCCGGCCGGAAATCCGAGACATGCAGAGAGCGCGACGCGCATCGGGGTTCACGTTCCGTCACAAATCGTGTTGCGTGGCTTATTATTGACCGCTGGAAAGAGATTGAGGGAAGGGTGCAGCAGGACGAGTGGCAGGAAAAGGTGTGACGGTCTTTTTCGACAACTAGCTGTTGTACGCTTACACTTAGGCTTGGTGCACCGAAGCCATAGACGCCCCAAAAAAGTTAGTTACGCGTGTTCCCCGTACGAACGGGATGGCTGGTGAGACGAGGGGCTAATGGGCAGCGTCATTTTGCAAGTCTCGGGCTATGGCGGCGGCGGTTTTGCTACCGTGGCGGGAAGGCTTACCAGAACCGCACCACTCAGGCCGGTCGCGCGCCGTGCGCGGGCGCGGGCGCGGGTGGTGGAGGAATAGACTATAGGCGGCCGGCGCTTTTGTGCGCCAGTCAGGTTCGGGCCATGGGGATGTGACGGTTAGATATATGGTTAGCAGAGGAGCTCTTGGTGGTGCCGGACGCTTGATGGCTATGGCGTAAGTCGTCGGTCGTATTATGTGTGTGTCCGAGTAGCAGCTAATGTTACGCACGGGGACCGGGGTGGATTCTCTTGCCTGTGTTCCTCACTACGTAAGGTCGCGCTTGGCGACAGAAGAAAACCTTGTGCGGTGTGTGGGAAGAAGAAAGAAAATAGACCAACCGGACGAAACAAAGAAAGGAGGGGGAAACGTGGTCGGCAGCGGGAAACCACATGGCGAGCTCGGCGGCATGTCTTTGACGATGGCGAAGACGGGGTTTCGAGGCTTGACGACAAGACAAGACGTCAGGGTCTCGCCGTTGGGGCAAACCCTTGGGGGGAGGGAAATGGAAGCGGAATGGACTGGCGGCGCCCGCAGCGAAGACAAGAGACAGGAGAACCAAGCCCCGGGCCACCGTGGTGTTTCTTTTCATCTCAGGGCCTGGGTCTGGACTCTTCTTCTTCTTCTTCTTGCTCTCCCTCTTCTTTTTTTCCTTTTTTTTTTCCGTCTCATGCTTTCTTATTCTCGTAGAGGGTTTCTAGACCTTCGGTCAGACCTAGCCGTAGCCCTCAGTGGCTCGAGACTTGATGAACCATAGGCTATGATGTATCCGTACACACTGAGCAAGAGAGGAACATTATGTGGAACGCCGGCGAGGCGCCAAGGACGAGGGGGGTGACCGACTGGGATGGCACGGAGAGTATTGCGACCAAGAGGGGCAGACACCTGTCATTCGATCGCCTGCAGGTTTGGACGGGAGTTACACCATGGATTCATGGGACGGATGATAGAGGGGCAGGCGGGGGAAGGGGGTAAGGGTCCCCCTGCCGGGGGTGGGGAGAGAGGATGGGTGTGATTCCCTGTCCAGGTGGCGAACCATAGCCTCTATCAAAGGTGGTTGCCCTCCTACCTACTCCTTGTGTGTGTCTCTTGGCGATTGAAGACGCTTCTGGCCCAGGCCAGCTGGGCTTCTTGGGTGTTTGGGTCTCGCTCGTGTCGGACAGCATTCGGTACGGGGCGCGAGCGGGGCTTACGTGCGTTTTTCTTGTTTCTGGAGGCGTTTGTTTCTGTTTCGGCTGTCATGGTGATGGGGAGGGAGTATCAGCCGGAAGCGACGAAAGGGAAGGAGTGACGGAGGGGCCAAGCGGAAGTGTTGAGCGGACCGGGGTCTGACGAAGGGCAAGGGGATCTCTACGGAGGGGATGCCGTAAGATGACTAGGTTAGCTCACGATCTTAACGCACAAGGGTACCTGTGATGAATTGTAGGTGGATCGGGTCCGGGAGCGGAGCAAGGGAGAGGAGAGAGAGAGAGAGAGAGAAAGAGTTTGAAGCCGGAAGTTTAGTGTAGACGGACAGGTTTGGCAGTGGAGTACGGATACGCTTCTATGGATACCACCTTACATTACCTTACATGACCTTGCTTTACCTCGCTCTACCTTGCTCTACCTTACGGTACCTGGCATCATGAACCAGCATCGATGCGGGTGTTGTTGGGGGTCGGCAGGACATGTCAGGGATGTACGCGATGTTGACGATGTACGAAGTCGATTGGGAGCAATATGATTGGAAGCAACATTGGGAAGGTGATGCTGGGGACGCGCAGCTGGGGGGGGGGGGGGGGGAGAGGGATCTCAGGACAGGGGATGGACAAGAGCAGGGGGGTGGGTGCACGAGAGGCCGGTCCTATAGCGTGGCGTCAGTGCGAGATTCAAAACGCCCGGAGAGTCACCACGTCAGTGGATGCGTAGTCACCGGCGATTGCTCACGAGGTGAGCTAGGCTCTATCCGCGTCACGTTTATCACAGGCGTACGCCGCAGGTCCGAGGGTGACACGTTGAAAGATAATGACACATTCGAGCCGGAGTGGGGAACTTCAGGGAACGAGTAGTGATGGTCTCCAAAAGCGCCCAGTGGAATCCTTGTCGCTTACTCGCCTCAGCCTTGTGGTCGTGTCCGACTGGGAGTAATGTCTTATTCTTGGCAAATTCTAGTGTCTGCCGTCTTGTAGACGCAACGAGTTGGCGAACTCAGTGATAGGTGACACTGTATAGTCAACGCAGCGTCCAATGCGGCCGTGGCTGCTAGGATTCGTATCGCGATTATGGTCGAAACGATGTGCTCGGCCGCCGTTCGAATGAGGCTGAAAATCGATCTATACCACTAGCTAATGTAGCTAGGGCACGCGGCTTGAGCACAAGAGTCCCGACACCGGGTATGGGCATAATTACGGACGATCTACGGGGGACACGGATTAACACACTACAATTACGTTCAGTGCAGGTGCAGAGGATGTCATCAACAGCGCAGTGATATAACTAGTACCTTTGATCTGAATCGGTCATTCAAGTTAGCCCATTAACATGGCACACACGGTTAACCCGAAGCTGGTAGCCCAATCTGCCTGGCGGGAAATCTGTCTCTAAAGTCATCGGTCTTTGCCAGGACGGGGGGGGAGAAGGTGCGGATACTGATAGAATCGGTCCCCCATAGGATCGCACAAGTACCTACACAAAATGACAACCATACACAGTCGTATAAGTTGCTTAGTTTACACGCGTACGAAGAATGGAGACCACATGCAGAGATGAAGATGCTGGGATAAGTTTAGCGAGAGGGATGTGCACCTGGGTGCGTGATGGACCATGGTTGTTTCTGCATGGATCGCCCGAGATGCAGTGCCGATCTGCCGCAGTGGGCAGCATGACATCGGGGGACCGCTTATGACAAACATTGCGTTGCATTGCAGTGGTTCGTGCCTGCGCATAAGCAAGCGTGCGTACGGGTGTATTATAACGAGAGTGCTCGTCGGTTGAGGCTGTGCTCGCCATGATCGGGTGAATGAATGGGAGCTCGTTGCCAGCCGGAGTTGGCAAAGCACCGTAGTATCTTGGCATGTGTTGTAGGTCCTGTCTCGCAACGGTTGGAGCGCAGTGTGCTGGGAAAGGTCGGTTGCAACAACACCTCGTTGCTTAGCCGGAGATTTCTCGTGCTCGATATTGGTCGTGGTCACATAATAAAGAATCGAGAGACTCACTCTACTGAGTACCACACGGCGGCGGGCGTTTCCTCATGAGGGCATCTCCAGCCGATATCAGGTTGTACCAGTGGCGATTACAAGTACCCGAGGTTGGCTGTTTTCTCAGATACAAACAGATACCTTATCTACCTATCTACCTAGGTACAAACTGCATGTACATCGCACATGCACGTACACGGCCCCAGGAAACAAGCAAGCCACAAATATGCAATCGAGTTAGCGAAGCAACTGTCGCTAGTACTGGTACTGGATCGTCTGCCACCAACCCGTTTCCTGATACCTTGTGATAATCAGATTGTATCCCCCTTTTCCCTTTTTTTTTTCTTCTTCTTTTTCTTCTCTTCTTCTTCTTCTTGTGTTGCTCGGAACAAAGAATCCAGTCTTTCTGGCCGATCAGTGTGGTTTGTCGACGACAAGAACAGATAGACGATGGCGGCAAAGACAAATCGTACAGACAAGGGAAACAATAAAATAAAAAAAGAAGGGGGAGCACAGGGCTGGAGCGTAGCCAAACACTTTGTACCCCCCAGTCCTCCCCTTGATAAAACATTGGAACACGGATGCTGCTCCCCGAGGTGTGGTGATGCAGGTAGACAAGAATTAGAGACACTCGAGAAACACAATTACCCCAAGGAATTCTCTCCCTCATTCGACAGCCAACCTGTCAATCGTACACACTCCGTCGTATGCACACTGAGAGAGCAAGAGAGAAAGAGACGCGTCCGCTGCGAACTGCTTTGTAGGCAGGTACCCTGCCTGCTTACCTGCCTAACTACCTTAGGTAGGGTACACAGACACTGGTAGAATGCCTAGGTACGCACATACCATCGTATCCCTACCACGCATCTGGTGTACCTAAACTACTCAGTACATCGTATCTGTGTCTGTCCCTTGCTGGGGGGGGGAGGGGGGGGGGGGGGGGTTGTCCATCGTCCGGGAACCGTCCGGCCCTGTCTTAGCGACCTCCCGTTTCCCTCGGCCGTCCTTTCCGGAACCCGTTCCTTCTTGTCCACCCTTGTCGTGTTGCTCCGCTCATCCTTGGACATTGAGCATGGGGCATTAGGCGCTGGAAGATGGGCCTCCCCTTAACCGAGAGAATGGGCGACGGATCAGACCCCTGTCCTACTGTATACACGCCAAAGGTCACGACCGTCGTTTCTTCTTTCCTCCTGGTCCGTCTGCCATTTTGGCAGGCCCTCTTTCACTTCGCCTTGCTTCCTGGGTACCTTCCCACCTGTCTAGTATAGGTACGAAGGATAGCCATCATACTGGCCTACTGTCTACTACCCGTTACTTGTTGTAAATCTTGCACCGGACCACTGGCAAAGAGAAGAAGATGAAGATGAAGTAAAAGAAGCCAGCCTTCTCTCTCTTCGCCCGAGCATTTCTTCATGGTGCTTAAGTGACACACATTGGGTGCACCGCACGCCTTTAGCTGGTGGACCATCCGGTTACAAGGCGCCGGTAGAAGGAATATCATGGCTGGCCTTATCGTGGCGCTGTCAACTGGTCCTTCTTCTTTTGGCCGGCCTCCTCCCTTTGCCTTCGTCAAGCCTTGTTCATGCTTCCGACTGTCAGAAGTCTATCTCTGGGCACCCCGAGATGGGCATTCAGCACCAAAGGAAGAAAAAGAAACATAACATTTCGTAGACGATCCATCCTGAACTCGAGTCTCAGCGCCACGCCCACCAAGTGGCTCCTAGACAACAATCTAAACCTCCGCCTTCTCCCTTGATCTCTGTTGTGAGGCTTCCTGCACCCCTCCCCTCCCCCCAACCGTTGCGCGCCGCCCACTTCCGTCGCTTCTTCTTCCCTCGGCCACTCACCAGTTGGTCTTACAGACAAGAGAGGTCACCCGAAAAGTCTGGCCAAAGCGTTGGTCTCGAAGCCGCTAGCACTCGTTCCCAAACTTCTTTTTTTTTTTTTTTTTTTTTTGCACGGACGCCTCCCCTCGAGGGGTTTGACGCTTCCACCGCTACCATCTGACGCCGTCTACCTCCTCTCCCGTCTGTTCGTTCCAACGGTCGCCCTGAGGCATAAGGACATATATCGATCCCGCCCGTCCACGGTCTGACGCCCAAAGAAGAGTAGCAAATGATCCGAATGCTGTTGCACGACCTCTGATATTGTGGTCTCCTCTCTTTCCTTTCGTCTTCTACAGCCCCTCCCCCCCTCCATTCCTCTCTCCTCTTTCCATTGCCTCTTGGGAGTTGATGAATGGACTTCGTTGTTTCTCCCCAAGTCCCCCCCCTGGGCGGAACTCTCCGGTCTCTGATCTACCTTCTCGTTTCGATTACGTGACCATCATTCCACTTCTTCCACGAGACTGTCGCCGAGCGACCCCGTGTTGCTCAGGTTTGCTTGCTGCGCCGCAGGCAAGTTGTCTGCCCAGGAGCTCTACCATCATCACGCAACCTATTCAAAGCATCTTACGCACATACGAAACCTCGATCGATTTCCGCTCTTTCCTCATGGGCACGACCCCTTCCAAATCAACTCCGTTTACACCGCTGAAGCCTTTTGACCTTCTGACGAAATGATATTTTCCGAACACGTCAACGGACGCAACGAGGTCATGGTGGTCTCATCAGAGTCGGGTCCGCCGCGGCTCGATCTAAACCTTACTTCGGGTCGCCGAGGCACCTTTGATAGTCTCGACAGCGACTTTGACAGGCGTTTCTATCCTCGCACGGCACGCTCGTCCAACGATCTCTTCGCCCAGACTCTCGAAGGGATGGACGTGACAGGCTGTGACTCGGAATGGGGTGTTGTCCGCGCAAGAGCCCGAGAGAACAACGACAGACAGGGTCTGGCGGACCTCATCGACTTCCTCAGAACCACTTCTCCACCGTCAGACTTCCCTTCACAGTCCGTCTTCGATGAGGACATCAACGAATCACAGGAACTACCAGAGAAGTGGAGAATTCTCAAGAAGCTGCGTCGTCCGCGCACAAGGGCCAGGTCTTTGTCGCCTGCCCGTCGACCTCTGAACACGGGCTTGCCTAACTCTGCCGTTGTGTCCAAGACAAGCAGCGGCAAGTCGCATATCGCAATTTCCATTCCGTTGGAGTATTGCCACGTAGGCCCGGATTCCGATTGGGCTCTCGCCATCTTCAATGCCACGCCGCCGCTTCCACCAAGCCCCCCGGTGAGAAAGAGCGATGATGAGATCGACAACGCCGGCGCCAGGCCTTATGCCAGTGAGCGTAAAGTTACTGTCCTCAAGACTGTTAGTGAGAAGGGGTCAATCTCAACCATCAACACTGTCAACACGATAAGCACCAGAATGGGAACCAAGGGCTCAGTCTCTATCTGGCCCAAGATCACCCCAAATCCAATGAGTCCGCCCATGACACCTTACACCACGCCGCCCGGAAGTCTACGTGAGTCTTCTTCGACCAAGGACAAACATAACCGGATACCTCTAGCCGCGCTGCAGTATGCCGAGATTCCTGCAGACCCTGTTTCGACACGCAGAAGGCTAGCCAGTAGTCTCGACAAGTGCCATCACTTCGGCAGGGACGAGGGTAACCTCGCTCAGGTGGCAATCCCAAATGCGCGAAAACCTAAAGTCAAGTCGTCTCCTAAACGTCCCGGAAACATCACTCTGCCTCCGCGCAGGTCGAGCACAAAGATATCCAGCCCTCAAGCAGACCAGATTTTAAACAGCCAACACTTGATTGACGGCAGTAATGGTGGCAACGCTCAGCACCAAGGCGCAGCATCGGATGCCCCCCAGTTGAGCCCGACTACCTACTCAGAGTCGAACTCCATTAGTCCTAGTGTTACCACAGAGCTATCGGGGCCGGTGGTTTCAAGCGCCCAGTCCGCGAAGGCTTACTCAATGGGTTCAATAGTGCGCCCCGAGATGCCGTCCACAACACCTAGACAATCTTACCTTGTCCGGCCAGGAAGCAGTGATACGGCGCAGACAACCCTGGTCGGCGAGTCCGTGGCGTCTCGGAATGCCTCTACAAGAACGGCTTCCTCAAGACAGAGTCGCAGGGAGCGCGTCAGGTCCATCAAGCAGCGGGACATGGAGGCTCTCAAATGTATGACAAAACAGGTGCCGCAGGAGGAGGATGGCGAGGTGACCCCGAGGCCGATGACCTGCGAAACTGCCATCAGTTCTCTGCGTCTGCCTTCTCGTGACGGAACCTTTGGCTGTAACGACCGCTTCTCGCTTCACGAAATTGAGACGAAGCTGTCCGCCACGAACTTGGCCAACATGGCAAAGTCCCATAAAAAGTCGTCGCATCGCGTTTCCCATGGCACTGCAACCAAGATATCGGACTGGCAGGCCACGCAAGAAACTGAGACACCAGGATGGGAGACAGCGCGAGAGGAGCTAACGCCCGGCTGGGAGACTGCTCAAGAAACGCCGGCGATAGACTGGGAAAAGACGCCAATTTTGGCTGAGATGACGGAGGACCAGGTAATCTCAGCCGCCGCCAGCACTAGAACCTTTGGTAACGGTGATGCCAGGGACAGCACCCTGGGCTCCGAACCTCCCCGTCGGTGGGGGAGTCTTCACCGCGCCAGCTGGGCTAGCTCAGTACCGCTTTTGGATCGGATAGGCAGCTTTGCACCGTCCGACGAGAGCACGGCACAGGTCGCGGAGGCGGGCGGCAACCATTTGCCCCCACGCCGAGCTTCGAAGTCGCGAGCGGACTCTGCCACACCATCGCAGGCGGGTGCGGATCAGCTCTACTTGGACAGCTTCAGCTCCTGTGGTTCTGGCAATCCGGCGCATATTGACCCTGACGATGATGACCAGTCCATCGCGGGCAGCATCGCGGCGTTCCCCAAACCTGGCTCCGGTGCTGGCCCTCGCTTGAGCGCCATCATGCCCGTGGCTGAGGTGGTACCTTCGGCGCCACTCGACGAGAGATGGTCGGCTTCGGCTCTCAACTCGCCCATCACCGTGGTTGAGCTTTCCTACCCGCCCTTCGCCGATGACCTAACACCGCGACGAAGTTCGATGCCGGTGGCTCGCCTGCCCACCGCTGGCAGCCCGAACATGTCTCCGCCTGATGCCTCTAGAAACCAGAGGCAAACCAACGGTAACAATCGACGAGAATCTGTCCCCGTCGGCGGCAACACAGGAGAGACAACGGCCTTGCGTCCCCCAAACCGTTCGAATGAGGAAGACTCCGTTGGCATCGCAAACATGTCGTCTCATGAGCTCCGCAACCACTACGCCAGCCTCCGTAGCACGCGTGTCAACGATCTCGCACACGAGATGCTCTTGAATCAGGAACGTCTCGAAATGCGCATGCACCGGCAGGAGCGCAACCAGATCCTTTTCATCGAACGCCTTCAAAAGTGCATGAGCGAGCTCCAGAGCCTACCCGAAGACCCTTGCCTGGACCCTCACCCGCAAGACTGGACCCTCAACGACGACGAGGACAACATCTACGAGGGGCTGCGCATCAGCCGGGACCCGAGGCACGAGGTGCGCGCGCGCAAAACCGTCCGGCTCAATACCCCCAACCGTCCGCTGCAGCAACACCAGCCTGGTCCGCGCCACTCTTCCCGACGGATTATGGACGTCGCGGGTGTATTTGATGATTTTGCCGGCGACTTTGTCGACCCACGGCAGCCGCAGCAGCAGCAACAGGTGCCGAGGGAGCCGTCGATGTCGCATGACACGCCGCGCACGATCCGAGGCAGCAGGTTCCAGGCCGTGATGATGACACCAATGAACACGCGCGGCGGGCTGGACGCCATGGACCCTCTCATCCGGGAGCTGCAGCTGGCGGCGAGGGTGAGCTTGGAGACGACGCGGACGGAGAGGACAGAGGCGTCGCAGGTTGGCGACTATAGCTACGGCATCGTTTAGCGTGAGACGGGTTTACTCTTCCTTCACTCATTCCTGTTTGGTCCTCTTTATTTTCTTCCCCTCTTTCCTCTTTTACTTGATGCTTGAAGATGCGGGCCGTCGACCGCTGCGGTCTCTATGAGTGGCCACGGCGTTTTATGAATTGTCTAGTATGGGAGCGGTTTTCCTTTGTCGAGGCAGGAAGGCGAGGCCTGTGAAGCCGGTATTGATGTGCATATACCCAGTACTTAAAATCGAGTATTGTTCCGTTTCCATGTAGTGAGATATATGAGCATTCTGCGTTGCTCATGCGTCGGCAATGAATAGAACAAACATCATTCCCAACAAAGAATGTACCTACCACAAGTACTTGCAATGCAGAAAGCACATGCATTCACGTGAGTCAAAGCAAGGCATGAGGTGAGATGCGATCGATCTAGAGCCTCAGTGGTATTGACGACCCTAAACTGGCCGATGCATGTGAGTTGTAATTAGTGTGTGCGAAGGCGACAAAGGAATCCCGTCGCCGGGCGAAGCTTCAGCCAATGACGTCGTCGACACCCCCTGCTTTCCCTCCAAAGACTTGGGAGGGGGAAGTGGTGCGTCTCAGTGGGCTCTTCTCCATCATTCCAAAATCATGATGTCTTTGACTGACGGCTGTGGAGAAAGCCCAGCTCGACAGCCGGGTGTTTCTGGTGAGTAGTCAATTTAATGCTGGTCTGAATGTTCCGTTTGATGTAATTGGGTCCTTTTTCTCCATCCATCTTCGTTCCGTTCCGTATCTAAATAGTCTTCTGTATGCTACCCCGAGTAAACCGCCAGCGACGACAACACTAGCTGCCCATGAGCCAAGCACTGCAATCCACGTTCTGAAGCCCCGGATCTCCGAAATCGCGTACAGGGAATCAGGCAGGAAAAGAGGAGAAGAAGAGAGAGAAAAAAAAAGGGGGCCATGTCCAGCCCCTGGATCCTCGTCTCCCCCGCATCCCGCGGCATCGGCGCCCACCTGGTCGGGCACCTCCTCCGGACGACTGCCGCGCCGGTCCTCGCGACCTGCCGCTCGCCCGACACCACATCGGCCAAGCACCGCCTCCTCGAGCTCCTCGCCCTGCCCGCCGTCGAGACGGAGGACCTCGCCTCCCGCCTCAAGGTCGTGAGGCTCGACGTCACGGACGAGGCCACCGTCGCCGCCGCCGCCGCCGAGGCGCGCGCCCTGTTCCCCGACGCCACGCACCATCTCCGGCTGGCCCTCGCGACCCCGGGGATCCTGCACCCGGAGAAGAGCCCGGCGCAGGTCGAGTACGACAGGGCGCTCGAGACCTTCCGCGTCAACACGCTGGGCCAGATGATGCTGATGAAGCACTTCTCCCCCTTCCTCCCCCGCCGGACCGCCCAGCTCCTCGGCCCCTCGTCGTCATCGTCGTCATCCGGCGACGCCAGGGGCCTGCCGCCGGGCCACGCCGTCTGGGCCGCCATGTCGGCGCGCGTGGGGTCGACCTCGGATAACCACAAGGGCGGGTGGTACTCTTACCGCGCCTCCAAGGCCGGCGTCACGTCCCTGGCCAAGTCGCTGGACCTGTGGCTCCGCGCCCGCAGCGGCGACAAGGCCATCTCCGTCGCGTACCACCCGGGGACCGTGAAGACGGGGCTCTCCGAGGCCTTCTGGAACACGGTGCCCAAGGACAAGCTGTTCGAGCCCGAGTTTGCGGTGGAGAGGATGTGCAAGGTTTTGACCGAGGAGGTCGGGGTCGAGGGACGAGGCCGGTTTTGGGACTGGCAGGGCAAGGAGATCTTGCCATGAGGTCCCTTTGTTCAGTACGACGGGGAGGGACTTGTACAAATAGGGGGTTTCAAAATGCTACCCTGAAAAAGATGGCTAGCCCCTCGCGAACACTGGCAGCGCCGGCTTATCAGAGGCGGATATCATAAAAGTGATGAAACTTTAGCATCATCGTTCCATGATAACTGTCTATAAGTGTCGTGAAGAAATGGGTAGTCGTACACTGGACACCAAACATCTACGTAACTCCGTGCTGTGAAAGGAACCGCGAACACCTTTATTCTCACACCGCCCGGCTTACAAGGCTACGTCCTGGAAGGACGCTCCGTCAGGGGAGGTGCCAGTCTTCTGCTTCTTGCCTGGGTTGTCTTCTTCTCCTTTGCCATCCTCGCTGCCCGAATCCGACTCCGCCTTTGGCCGATAAGCGAGGTTCTGCTCGTCCTTGTCCTCCAGTCGCACCTTCTGCTCCTCTTGGTCTGCGATCCTCTTCTGCTCTGCCTCCTTCTCCTCGTCGCCGGAAGATTCAGCATCCTCCGCCTTGGATGCAGGATTCTCGCTTTCTCCTTCGGGCGACTTGGCAGACGTGGCGGCCACCTCGTAGTCGTTCTCTGACGGGTTGACAGCAGGGGGGGTCGGCAGCTCCTTCTGCATCTGAGGGGTCTGCTGCGGTTGGGGCGGAGTTGGCGTTTGCTGCAGCTCATCGGTCGAGGGGCCGGGCCTAAGGGCGTCGAGGTAGAACTTGGTAACACCGAGGATGCGGCCGTTCTTCTCGCACGCCTCAACCCACTCGGGCCGGACGACAGGGATGTTTGTCTCGACGGCCTTCTCCCATGCCAGCCCGCGGCCTTCGGTGGTGACGAAGTGCGTCGTATCGATACGGACACTGTCGACGATCTTGGCGCCGATGCGGTCTACGGCGGAGACCAGCGCCTCTTTCGTGGCGGCAGGCATGATGCCCGTGGTGATGGTGATGCCACTGAGGTCCGTCATCTTATGGGTACGCACGACGACCTTGTCGGAGCTGAAGGTACCGGCCGTGGTACGCAGAATAAGATGGAACGTGTACTCCGTGTCGACGGCGAGGCCACTGATCTTGGTGCTGTGCATTTGCAGCGGGCGGGGGATGCTGCCGGCCTTTTGACCATTGCGGTATAGAGAGAGGGAGATGAGGTCGGCAGTCGCGAGCTCGATCGGGTCCCACTCGAGGACGACGGAGGTCTGCGTTGCGTTGCGGCAGCGAAGGATGGGAATCGCGGGCGCACTGGCCCCGAAAGCGGAGTAGATGCGGTCCTGAAGCTCGCGGAAGGCATGTTCTGTCTTTGCCTCTGAACCCAGGTTGCGAGCGACAGTGATGTCGACGATGCTACCGGAGGAGATGTTGGGGGGGAGGAGGATAGAAGGGAACTCGATCTGAAGGGCATCGTCAGCATGGAGCGTCAAGGGGAGGTGAAGATGAGCTTGGTGGATGGGCATCGAGGCCGGGGAGGCGTCTCCTAGGGAGAGCCCCCCCTTATCCATCGATAGCATCAGATGTGCATCATGGTCAACGTACCAGACGCTTGTCCGGCGTCAGAAGCACAGTGACGCCGGCGTCGACCTTGCCGACGGTTAAGGAGACGAGCATAGCGGGCTGGAATTGCTGGTGCTGAGTGTGTTTACCGTCTTGGTGGCGTGCGTTGTTTCTGTGCCGAGCCAAGCGGTCAATTGCCTAGATCGCCCAATTGTCGATATCCAGTACGTTGTTCGCTGGTGGTGAGTCCGGCTCGTATTCGCTTCAGTTGGCTGAAGAGTGGCAGTCAGGTTCGTGTCACGGTGATGTATGTATGTAGGCGAAACACATATACTGGTTTAGAGGTGCAACGGCAGTCACATTTGATTGCTAGGTTGGCAGCTCCAAACGTCTCGGCTGACAGCTCTGCGCTAGCGATGTGATTCGTCGCCAACAACTCCAAGCATTGGCTTAGCAATAGAGCGGGTATATGGAGAGGATGCTTAGGTACGTACCCCTGCCCTGTGCTTCACCGGCCACTTATTACTCCTGCTTGGAGTACTATTTACTCGCCGAATCTGACAGTTGACTTTTTTTTAGTAGCCGTCACAAGGACTCTCTCGCAGGTGCTTGTAAAGATTGAGTGGCCTGTCGTATTGTCGAAGCCCCCTAAGGCGTTTTCCTTCTCTTTCTTAGAATGCCATTCATCACTGACTCGTACCACCCTCGCTTTTCTAAGCTGCTCAAGGAAGCTACGCTGTCGTTGTTGTCTTCTGTCACTCATATAATCATCACCCACTTATACCCTCCTTTCCCTCACCTAAACCTTCACCTCGAGGAGGGCCGGGGACCATAGCCATCGAGATGAAGACAACCTCAGCGTGCAGCTGATAGCTTAGCGAACAGATAACAATAGCTTGTCTGGGCAGAGTATGTGGCTCGCATCCTGGAACAGCATCGATAGCAACCTCCTCGAGCGTGTTCTCAATAATTGTGCACATATCCACCCGGTGGTTATCATGTCTAATAACCCATCTCCTTCGGTTCATAGGCACCCTTTGGACAATACGCTGCTACGGGCGCTGCTACTCTCGACTTTGTCATCAGAACAGAGCCCTTAGGCGGTGAGTCCGCTTCTTCTATATAAGGGTGGGTATCATTTGTGTCTTGTTACAGTGGCTCAAAGCCTTTCGTGGTTGGGGAGCCTTCTACATATCCACAAGCTGGTTGGCATCTCCTTATAGTCCAGGGCCGTTCCCATCGGCAAATGCTCATTTCCGGTGTGATCCTAAGGCCGGCGAACTTCGCCTCAGTTTGCGCTTTGAGTTTCCCCTCATAAGCATTCCTGTTTCGTACTTCCGTCTCTCCTAGACGCGATTTCTCCAAAAATGTGCTCCTTGAGCCTGCCCTTTTTCTTTCACCTTCATCTGCTCTGTCTCGTGGACGCGAATGAAGGCGTCTACGAGGGCGTCCATCGCAAGGCGAAGTTCCTTCTTCGGCAGCTTCTTGACGACATCCCTCGGAGATTTGGCGACGCAGGCGATCGTCCCTTTCAGGTCACCACGAAGAGCGGTGCCTATCCCCGTCTCGCTTTCAGGGTCTATTAGCCGACCCTGCACGTCATAGCCACGGTTCTTGAGGGCAGCGTGGAGCGCAAGCTTCATTCGATACTTGGCCATACTTACGACGGCCGGCGTGTCGGTCGAAATGCCGTAAAACCACAGCCATAGAGGTTTGTTCTTCTTGTCTTCCTCGTAGTAGTACCTCATCAGAACTGCCTTCGGGTGCTCGTACTTGTTCTCCGTAAAGTGGCCCGTGTCAAAGGCTCTCATCACGTGTCGCTTCGATATTCTGAACCGAGTCAGAGATTTTGCCTTCAGATTGTGCGGAATGTATATGATTCGGTAGTCGTTGGCGGGTGTCCCAATATCGAGCTCTTCGAAGATCTTCGTCCAGTGCGGCGACAGTTGCACCTTCTCGAGGTCGTCTAGGCTTTGGGGCTTGTTGAATTCGAATGCTTTGGGCAGTTCGGTGCTAGGACAGGCCGTCTGCCCTGAAGCATTGCGCCTTGAGCTGGAGTACCGGGCGAGTGGTAGGAAAGTGCTGCGCTGTGGCAGCTGCCGAAGGATGCGAGTGACATGTTGGAGTCGCGCCGGGTTCATAACGATGTTTCTGCTGGCGGCTCGCGAGCAGCCATAGCTTGGAGGCAAAAGATAGGCGACTGATGAAAAGCACCTAGTTTGGCATGTCAACAGCAGTAGCGACCTTCGCGGGTAGCTTATGGTCAAAAAAGGAGCGATGCATACAAATACTTACCTACCTAGGTCGGAAGCTCTCCCGAAGGCTTAGGTAACTAGTGTATCCATACTTGCCTAGGTAGGTACGTACCCTCATGACCCCACCATCGCGGGTCTCTCGCCACGAATCACAGCTAGTTTACAGGCTGCGCTCTTGTCACTGTCTGTGGCTATGCCTACTCCATACGTTACTGGGCAAGCCACACATTTTGAGCACATACTGTACGGAGTATCTGTACATCATTCTCTGTTAGGACCTACCTACCTACCCACCTACCTAGTGACTACTGTCACACCCACTTGACTCATACCGGCACCACTTTCTGCGCACAAAAGGCCGGCCTCATTCGCCCTCCTAACCAGCACAGCCCACAGGCCAAATAGTACCCCCTGTTCCATCCATTAGATCACCGAGCAGCAAAGCGCCCAGCAGAACCCGCAGAAGCCCAAAGCCATTTTGCGCTCGCGCACAATAAAGCCCCGTCAACATACCGCCCACTCTCTTCTCCCCTTCCTACTCTGACAACTTCGACTTCCGCCACCCCCCTCCTCCATCCCATACCGCTGAGAACCGGAATTCTCACGAGTAGCCAAGATGCCCAAGAACAAGGGAAAGGTCAGTCTAGAAATTCTTGCACATGATGCTCCTCCAAAGATTTTTTCCCATCTAAGCGGGTGCTGCGAAAACTGCCCCTCACCCTGCCGAGTTGGAGGACCCGCAAAGAACCCCGCCCCCTCCTTGCTGCTGCTTGGAAACAACACGACACACTTTTGATGATGAAGCCGTCGATGATGGAGGATTTTTGAATTTGATCAAACGGTCTAACAGCCACACAGGGAGGAAAGAACCGCAGACGTGGCAAGAACGAGTCCGACCACGAGAAGCGTGAGCTCACCTTCAAAGAAGATGGCCAAGGTTAGTCCCTCCAGTTCCCGAGTTCCTCTAACCATCATCACACAAAGTCGGGGAAAATTGACGCGACATTCTACCGCCGCTCGAATTCCCTTGTTCACACACCAGGCTAACTCCCCATCAAACAGAATACGCCCAGGTCGTAAAGATGCTCGGTAACGGCCGCCTCGAGGCCCAGTGTTTTGACGGCGTCAAGCGCCTTGCCAACATCCGCGGCAAGCTCCGCAAGAAGGTCTGGATCAACCAGGGAGACATCATCCTGCTCTCCCTGCGTGAGTATCAGGACGATAAGGGCGACGTCATTCTCAAGTACACCGCCGACGAGGCCCGCTCCCTCAAGGCGTACGGCGAGTTGCCCGAGTCCGCAAAGATCAACGAGACGGACACGTACGGCGCCGAGGGCGACGGCGACTGCAACTTCGAGTTCGACGACGATCGCGATTCCGAGGAGTCCGAGGACGAGGCTGCTGGTGGCGCAGGCGGCAAGAAGGACGTCGACATTGACGACATCTAAAATGTGTTGCCTCCATGTCCGTTACCTTTTTCCTCCCTCGCTCGCGCGTGTGTCGAGAAAGCCCCAAACCCTTCCCATCTCTCAACAGATCGTCTTCTGCTGCAAGGCCGAGGGTGGGAACGCTGTCTTCTCTCTCAAATCCGGCGACCGTCGTCACTGTCGACTGCTGGGTTCCGCGACAGTCAAGGTGTTTGGGGTGGTGCGTTGGACGGCCATGGTGGGAGAGACGTCATGGCTCGTCGGATCATCTGGACGATAGACTTACTTTTGATTGCGCCTCATTATTTAAATACGCCTGGCACGGTGTCTTTGGGCCACGTTCCATAAAATTCCCAAATGCCCCATGAACACTGCACGACTCTTGTGATATGATATATCAAAGTAACCTTGTATTTTATATGAACAGTTGTGAATACTGTTTGATTCCAGACTCTTCATACCCACCCGGCCGACGCGCTAGCTTCAAAAGTCACCCGGCCATGTTTACCGACTCGTCATCCATTGGATACTACCATGCAGCCGACGCCTCCGTCATCCAAAGATGATTAAAACGGAGAATACATCGGCCAGCCAATGAAACCAGTCCACCCGGTCCCCAAGTATGCAGATGTCGCTTGGAATAACTGTCGCTTGGAATAGCAGGTCGAAGCTATGGTAATTTGGTTTGTAATTTCGATAAGGCATAGGGATAATACCAAGCCTTACCCGGTGGTTCTTTCTTTCTGTCATCTCCATTACCCATGGATCCTCGGATGCTTTACCAGTCGTCGTTGTCACTTCGTTCGTCATCTGTCCACACATTAGCTTCAAAAACAACAAATACGGGTTTGACCTCGACTTACCGCTTCTGCTGACCTTCTCCTTTCTCTTTTGCAATGCAGCGGCCAGTGCGTTGGCCATGTCACCACCACCACCCGGAGCGACGCCACTGGGAGGCAAGCCACTACCATGCGGCCCCGTGTCGCTGCTGCCACCAACGGTCGCGGCACTTCTGTCACGAATTTGGCTTCTATCAACCTTCTTCAAAGCTTTGATACCGCCAGCCTTCTGAATGTCGCCTAGTACGGCCGAGCGCGAAGAATCTGGAGCAGGCACCGGGACGCTCGATGAGTAGCCAGAGTCTCTGTTGGGCATGGGAGGAGGGGGGGGCGGACCGCCCAAGGCACCTGGGGGTGGAGGAGGTGGCGGGGGAGGAATGCCCATTCCGGGAGGCGGTGGAGGTGGGGCTGGGGGTGCGTTGGACGATGGCGGTAAAGGAGGTGCTGGAGGGGGTGCTGGAGGAGCGTTCGATGACGGCAACGGCGGCGGAGAGCTGGGTAGAGGAGGTGGCGGGGGAGCACTCGATGACGGTAACGGAGGCGGAGGCGGAGGATTGCCAGCTGCGGGAGGCGGCGGCACAGGTCGTGAAGATGGTGGCGGCAACGGAGGCGCCTCGGATGCTGGACCTTTCGGGGGGAGCGGGGGGCCAACATCTGCACGGGGAGGAGGCGGCGGCGGAACAGACCCCCGGCTCGGGGTGGGTGGGGGCTGACGAGATCCGGAGAAGGCCGGCGGTACTCCAAAACGGTGACCAGCAGGCCTCTCCTCCTCTTGCATAGGCGTTTTCGGCGGTCGAGGTGGGGGAGGCGGCCCGGAATTTGCGGACCCGCGAATAGAGTTGATCGACCCCCCCAGGGAATGGGCAAGCTTGCCGGCATCTGGTAACGGCGGCGGCACAGCGAATCGGTTCTTTGGAGCCTCCGGTGCAGCAGGCTCGCTCGGGGGTGTTGGTTCTCGGTTGACAGCGGGAGGCTCTGTTTTGCCGGATCTCCTAGCTGGTGGAGGAGCAGGTGCAGCGCCACGTCTGGGTGCAGGCGGAGGGGGCGGTACCCGTGGACTGTCCGAATGCCCTCCACCTGAAGGCGGCGGCGGCGGAGGGGCGCGCGAGTTCCGAGGTTCGATGCCATTCGAATAAGATGCTGGAGGGGGAGGAGGGGGGGGAGGGGCATGGCTTCGGGCACCAGCCATCAGCTTCTCTTGCTCTTCTTTCAAGAATTCGACAATGAATTCCTGGTTCTCCTTGATGAAGTCGTCCGTCAAACCCTTGTCTCGTAGGTCTTCTCCAAAATTTTCCCGCCATTGAGGATCGAAAGCATCAAGAACAGCGAATTCCGAGGGGCTGTGGCCGTTGGCACCCCCCAGAGATGGCATTCGACCGTGGGTCAGGTGCGATCGCGGAGAGTCTGGAGGGGTGGGGGCTGAGGCGTGTCGGCTGCCGAAGAGACCTCCAAGCAAGCCGTGTTTGTGTCCTGAAGATTGGGCAGCCCCTCCAAACGGAGTCGATCTCGTAGCTCTGCTTGCGTTTTTTTCTCTGTCGTCCATCTTCTTTTTGAACTGTTTCGCTTCCTTCTCGTCGACAAAGGACAGACCAGCGAGACATTCCTCGATTTCGAAACTGTGGAAGAAGGTACGGTCTTGGTTGTAGTTCCAGTTGTCGAATATCTCTTGATCCCAAATGACACCGCGGTTTCCGGACTGCATCGATGTCAGGTCAGAATGCATTAGTTCAGAAAGCATGACTTACCGAGATATCTACCATCTTCAGCCAGTACGTGTTGCCCACGAGGTCATTCGATAGGACAATAGCACCCTGTATACCTGTGTTGGTCCATTTTCCAGGATTTGGGTACGCAACGTATAGCCTGGCGATAGCTACAGCCTGAATCTTGTTCGTCTGCTTGGGTACAAAGCGCTTGACAGTCTCCTTATCGTCGTCGCTTAACACCGACGGCATGATGGCGGATGTGAGGGGTCAGTGAAGGCGAGGAGAGTCGAAATGGTTGAGAGGGCGAGGTGCTGTGGCTCGTATGTAGTTGAATCTAGGTGGAATCGGGAATTGGGATGAGCTGGAGTTGATGGATAGGCTCGTGTGCTTGCAGGAGCCGCAGCAGCGAAGGCAACAGCCACCTTGGTCGCAACGATTTGCGTTGTGCGGGTATGTAGGCAAGTGTCAAGTGGCACTTAGTCGGTAGGTGCTGACTAGTTTAAACAGGCAAGACACCCCCTCTTTCGGGACGGCGGTTCGTAAGTTGGTCGCTTTCAGTAGCGAAGTAGACGAGGTCCAGGGAACAAGTCGACAGAGGCAGTCTGTTGGATGTTGAGGGAAGCAAGGCACAGTACGACGAGTGTCCGTGCTATGCAATCAGTAATAGTACGTGAGGCAGCCACTCTGCGGTGTCCAAAAAAAGCAAAGAGACAATAAGCTTGTGGTCAAAGATGCCAGAGCTTCCGGGTCCGGGGGCGTTTCAAGAAATGTGGACACGCATCACTCAATGGGGGAACCTAGGGATATCGTAGGAAGGCTCCGGGGAAGGCTGAGTGAGGAGAAGGTTATGCCGCGTGAGGGTAAGGCCCGGGTGGTGGTAGTGGTTGGTTGCGGTGTGTTTGTGTGTATGCGAATGGGACAATGTTACTCGCGGGAGAAGGAATGACGAACGATCGATGGACGGACTCACCCAGGTGTCAGCCAACCCAACCCACCCTTATGCAGCCCGCCCACCTCATCACTGCGTACGCCCAGCGGGGGGGACTCGTAACCAGCTCCTGGGCCGTGGCAGGTGGCTGAGTCGTTCGTTTCAGTGGAAGCCGGCTAGGATGTTTCCCTCTCTCGGGCGCTGCTCGGGCGTCAGCTCAGGCCCGGGCCTCTCCCCTGTTCCTCTTCCAGGAGACTCAACAGGGTACCTGTAGGTAGGCAGCGCTGTTCACTCGCACCAGCCACAGAATCCCGAACTTAGCACCGCCACGTGGAATGATGAGGAAGTCTGTCGTCATTGTGGACGCGTAACAGCCAACTGCAGGTGGTGTACCTAACCGTTTGGTTGACGCCCTATCCCCCAGCTCAAATTGCATGGCCTTTTTCTTGTGAAGTTGCGATAGATCTGTCTTCACGAGGCTGCAAGTTTGCAGATGTAGTATCAACTCTACTGAAAATTGCGCGATTGAGCTTGACAGGGAAGTCCAGGTCAAATCAAAAGTCTCAAGTTGTACGGGCACTTGTTCATGGATTCGTTGGCAGTATTACGACGCTATCAGCCCGCCATTTCCGAAGTCCTCGGTACCTGTCGTGTTGCCCTCCTCATTTCCGTATTCTACAAATCATGACTGGTCATACATCGTCAAGCACCTTAAAGATGCAGCCATAAAGGCAGATTGTTTATTTGTTCAAAGCCTCCGCCTTGGCCCGGCGCTCCTCCTTGGTGCCCTCCTCCTGGGCATTGAAGTCCTTGGGGATGGCAGGACCAGGGTGCGCCTGATGGGCGGCAAACTTGGGGTCAGATGCACCACTCTCGTTGATAGGCTGAGTGCTGAACTGCTTCTCCTTGTCGGAGTTCTGCTCGTAAGTCAGCTTGTTATTCCTCCGTCCTCAGCTAGTTCTGTGTATACGTACGTCACCCTGGGTGATGTTGTTGACGAGTTCCTTAACCTTGTCGGCCATCGTGAATGTGGAGTTTATAGTTTGCTTGCTGAGGTGAGTGGTATTTTCAGGTGTTTGGTTTGATTTAATTCAAATGTGTTGTCTATGCATGAGGGAACAGACAGGATGGAGCAGGGCGATGAGCTCTTTATAAACTATCTTTGTTGGTGGCTTACATGTGAGATGAGACGCTTCAGGCGGTACTTGGAGGATTGCGACGGCTGATGACGTCGTTCCGCCTTCCGAAGAAGGGGGTAAAGTGACAACCCCGAGCAGCAAATCCCCACTTACCTGGAAGGCCTCCCGAGCAAAGACAACGGCACAACGACCTAAGCCATTTCATTGGCTGCTTGTCTCGATCGGTCATGGACGGTCCTTCGAGCAGCCATTAAGCCGGATGGGAAGATGCTGGCCAGACTCCTGCGCGTCACCGGCGAGTTACGTGCATGTCATGGGGCCGCTAATACGGCGCAGGATGGGCTGAAATCTTGACAGCCGCCGGGGTTTGACAGTTACAGTACGCCGGTCGCCATGAATGCATCTGCCAGTTATCGTTGCAGGGCCGCGTCGATTCGATGGGCGTGAGCGCTAATCGTGATCATTCTTAAAGATTTCGACCATCGACATGGGAGGGGTAGTATTGTACCGTAATCTGCGATCGTCTGGCGTGTCTGTTGGGGCGGGTTGCCGCCAAAATGAATCAGCGGTGTTTGCTGCACTAGGAAAAATGTACATGATGGAAAAGTAAGAACTTGGATTATGTGAGGACGGAAGACTGCTTCATTGCCCAAGCATGGAAGTAGGTATCCAAAGGGGGCTTTGAAAGTGATTGAACAAACAGTCGTGTTGAGACGGATATCAAGCAAGGGTCATATACTGCTTTCCACACTCCGGATTATTTGGTAGTCGCTCGCTCGCCAGGAATCTGGTAAGTCTATTGACTATAGGTATTAAATAAACTCGAGAACTCACTGCAAGTTATGCCTCATTCAATTGATCCATCTTTAGGTTATACTCGCTACGAGAACAAAATCTCCCAAGGCAGAACCGTACAGTGCCAAGTGGCGAGAGCTGGCGTCCAAACCGGAGGAAGACGTATGTATGTACAGTCTTTGCACTGTATTACCCCGGGCGGTTAGTTAGGTCAGTATCTGTCCAGTCATGATGTCTTGCACGACTCAGGCAACCACCAACCTCACTAGATACTGCTGCGTCTACTCGCGCCCAGGCACGATGCACCATGTCAACCAACGCGCAGCCAGTCAAGCTCTCACTACCCCTTGTAAGTGTCGGCCCCGGGGTGATTGGTTTTCATCAAACTGACCCCGCCCAGGAATACCAGCAGAACCTCTTCCAAGAGCTGAGAAATGAAGATGAGCTGGTTGTCCTCGCCCGCGGCTTGGGGCTGATGCGCCTCGTCACGAATTTGCTCCATTCGTACGATGCAGCAGGTAACAACCTGGTTATCCTCGTCGGTGCCGATGAACGAGAGAACAACTGGATTGGAGAGGCCTTGGCTGAGCATGCCGCCATCAGCATGTCCCTCAACGCCAGGGGCCTCACAGTTGTCAACACCGACTTCACCAGCGTTGGCACTAGAGAAAGAATGTATATCCGTGGTGGAATATTCAGCATCACGTCGCGAATCTTGGTTGTCGACCTTTTGACTAACCTCATCGACGCCGAGAAGATCACAGGGCTCATCGTTCTTCACGCCGATCGCGTCGTCGCGACGTCATTAGAAGCCTTTATTCTGCGAATCTACCGGCAGAAGAACAAAGCTGGCTTTTTGAAGGCATTCTCAGATAATCCCGATCCATTTTCGATCGGGTTTTCCCCATTAACCACCATGATGAGGAACCTGTTTCTGAGAAAAGCTTCGTTATGGCCACGCTTTCACGTAACGGTTGCCCAGTCGCTAGAAGGGAAGAAGACTGCAGAGGTTATTGAATTGAATATCTCAATGAGTGAGGCTATGAGGGACATTCAGAACGCCATCATGGAATGCGTCGAGGTCAGCATCCATGAGTTGAAGAAGGGCAATAACGGCCTAGAAATGGAGGACTGGAATCTCGACAGCGCCTTGCACAAGAACTTTGACGTGATTATCAGACGGCAGCTCGACCCTAACTGGCATCGAGTGAGCTGGAAGACCCGGCAAATCGTTAACGATTTAAGTGTCCTTCGAGGCATGCTTCAGTCGGTTCTCACCCTTGATGCCGTCTCGTTCTTGCAACACCTGGACACCATTCACGCAGCACATTCCCCGCCTCCCGGGTCAACGAGGCAGAACCAGTCCCCCTGGCTATTTCTCGATGCTGCCCAAACGATATTCGAGACAGCACGACGACGAGTTTACTCCGCCAGCTCAAAAGCCGCCACGGCGGAAGCAAATATCGATTTACTCCGTCCCGTCCTCGAGGAACAGCCGAAATGGGCGTGGCTGGCGGACGTCTTGACGGAGATCGACAATAGCATGCATTTCGACCCCCCGGTCCGCGACGACTCCAACGGTACTATACTTATCATGTGCGGCGATACCAACACTTGCCGGCAACTTCGCGACTACCTGCAGACGATGCATTTCAAGCCAAAAGTCGAGAAGGACCCAACGAAAGAAGACGACGAAGAAGAAGACCAGCCGTCCGGCGCCTTCATGATGCGACGAAAACTACGCAACTATCTGAGGTGGAAGCGGGAGTTTGCTCAAGTTAACGCAACGCTCTTCTCCGAAAACCAGAAAGCCCTGAACGGTGCAACTGATCGGTCAGGCCAGCGACTTCGTGGCAAAGCGCCATCGAACAAGCGGAGGCGGGTGAGAGGCGGCGGTGTTGCCGGAACGTCTCTCGGCCGGGCCGACAATGGTAGTATCCTTCAATTCTTTGAGCGACCGGCAGAAGTCGATGACCTCATGGCCGAAGTGCAAATCACGGAAGAAGAAGCAGAGCAGAAGCCAGAAATCGTGAGCGACCCCTTAGAGAACATGGAGGACTACTATCAACTGTACGAGATGCAAGATTTGGTCGTCATACACGCGTACGATGGAGACCAGGACGAGCATGTCTTGGAAGAGGTCAAGCCGCGGTACATTATCATGTATGAACCCGATGCTGCCTTCATTCGTCGAGTCGAGGTCTACCGGTCGTCTCACAACGACAGAAATGTCCGCGTGTACTTCATGTACTACGGCGAATCAGTAGAGGAGCAACGCTACTTGTCAAGTGTGCGACGCGAGAAGGACGCATTTACGAAACTCATCAAAGAGCGGGCGTCCATGTCGCTGGTGATGACGGTAGATCCGCACGGCGCCGAGGACCCGCAGGAGGCCTTCCTGCGAACGATCAACACGCGAATCGCCGGCGGTGGGCGTCTCGCTGCCACAGCACAGCCGCCTCGCGTGGTCGTTGACGTGCGAGAATTCCGGTCGTCGCTCCCTTCACTCCTACACGGCCGATCCATGATCATCGTTCCCTGCATGCTGACAGTAGGAGACTACGTCTTATCGCCCTCCATCTGCGTTGAGCGCAAGTCCATCAGCGATCTGATCTCCTCCTTCAAGGACGGACGACTATACGCCCAGTGTGAGACCATGTTCCAGCACTACAAGAGCCCTATGCTCCTCATTGAATTCGATCAGAACAAATCCTTTACACTAGAGCCCTTCGCCGACCTGTCGGGCAGCCTCAACAGCATTGCACCTACCAATGTCTCGTCCGACTTGCAATCCAAGCTCGTTCTACTCACGCTGGCATTCCCGAAGCTGCGCATCATCTGGTCGTCCTCGCCGTACCAGACTGCCGAGATCTTTGAGTCGCTCAAGTCGCAGGAGGACGAACCAGATCCGATCGCCGCGGTTCGCGCCGGCTTGGATAGTGACATGAAGGCAGAAGACCAGGCGTTCAATTTGGAGCCACAGGAAATGCTCAGCGCCGTACCAGGGGTCAACCCAAAGAATATCATGCGATTGGTCCTGGCGACAGAGAATATACGAGAGGTTGCCAACTTGAGCGAGCGTGAGCTAGAGCCAATGGTCGGCAAAGAGGCTGGACGGCAAATATACGGGTTCTTCAACCGAAATGTGCTAGAAGATTAAATATATTCAAAGGTCATCTTATCGTGGCGAAAATAAGATTTATTTCAAGGTAGTGATGTGTTTCGCTTCGATTAGTTGCACGAGAAAACGCATCATCACTTCAGCAAGGCTAGCATAGCCCGAATTATAGTACTCACATAGGCATCTTCAATCTTGACCATTGAGAAATAGATTGCTACTGAGGCGGTACCAATGCACAGAAGCTACAAAGCGCAACTGATTAACACCATACAAATGGACATTGAACAGGTTTACCTCATATTTCTCAAGGAGCAGGAAATTATGGATATCATGTAATACCATTGAAGCTAAGCTGATTGGTATCTGGGTATCGTGGAAAGGAAAAAAGAAACTCGGGTATGCTGTCAAAGCTGATCGCGCGCGCTCGATAAAAGCAGTCGCAGGTATCCATGCCTCCTCCCCTGGCCGCCCCTCCTCTCTCTGGCGGAAAGAATTCGAATCGAATGCTCGTGAATGCTCATATGATAACTTGTGGCGTCTCCCTCATCCGACTTGTGAACGGTAGCACACTTGATTATAGGCTGCCCATTCGAAGCGTTCGCAGACGAGGGCCGGCTTAGACTCGACTTCTAGTCGTGGTCGTGTGACGCGACCGGCGACCGCCGCCGCTGCCGCGGCGTCCGCAGTAGCCGCAGGTGAGGAAGCTGATGATGATGTTGCAGAAGGAGACGATACCGCCGATGATGGCGTGGAGGATGCCGCCAATGCCCGAGATGACCGAGGTCAGGCAGTTACCGATGGTACGGAAAACGGATTGGATCTGAAGCAGACTGGGTCAGTATTTGAGGTGACATTATGACTATGGCTGCCTGTGAAAGGTGCAGAACCTACGCAAGAGACGACGGCGCCCATTTTTGCGGTTGTGTGGTGTGGTGGGTTGGGTTGGTGGTTTGTTGAGTGATGATAATTTGGATGGAGGAGTGTAGCCTCTGACGAGATTCACTGTTTGATTGCTTGCTGATTTGTTATGGTGTTGAATTAAGTGCAATACTATCGTTGGGAGAGAGAGAAAGGGCCTTATATACATTGTTCGCACTACAAATGATCAGGACCAGCCAGAGTACGCGCCACCCCTTGTGACCTACAACACGGCCTTACGTGTGGTGACACAATACCTATTCCTCCAGCCCACATTGACGATTTTTTCCCTCTGTGGGCTAACCGTTATCACACACATTAGACTACACTACTCGTCGGGTTGCTAGATTTGGACCGGAAGTAAGGTGTGTGAGTGAAGGGATCTGCTCGTGGTACACCGCATAATGACGTCAAGGTAGTAATCTCCCGTGATGCATCACTTTTTTTCCTTTCTTCCCCAGTCCTTCATCCCTTAATTCCTACCGTGTCCGTTAGCGCTGTAGTACATTGGCGTCAAGGTAAAATATTGACACTACCCTAACAGAAACAATTGAGACGAGGGTGTGACTCGACCCCGGCCCACGTGCATCGTTAGGCTGAGTCGAGGGACTCTCATCCCATCACCAGATGTTATCTTAGAGGCTTGATGGAGCCGGGACGATTGCACCGTCCCAAAGCGGTAGTGCAACGTGCGAAGGGGGGTCCTTTGTGTGTGCCCTCTCACGTTAGAGTGCAGAAGATTTCCTGCATCGACGGTGTGATTGCACGTTTCTGGCGTTCGTGTTGGATTAAAGCCCATAAGCCCAATCGATGATTGGAGACGAACGAACATGTCATGATGCTTCTGTCTGGACCAGTCTGTACAGATACGTACCGCATCAGCCCCTCCCAGCTTGGGGCCAAGAAAAGAGCGTGGCGGCTGCTGTGGTTTGTTCGTGGCTGCGTGTGGCTATCTCATTCCCCCTCCCTCTCTTCCCAAACAGGTTGCTGGGAAGAAATGACATAGCTCGTCTGGGCGAGAGGTGAGAAAAGTATGACGTACGCGGCTCGAGGAATTTCTCAGCAATCTCTCTGGGGTTTGGAGACGGCACTGCGTCACACATGCGAGAGACGACCACTGCAAGGGAGCGAACGGGTGACGGCAGCACGGATGGCGCGTCCTGGGGCGGGTAGTCTGCTGGGCGTGACCCTCCTGAGCCTCCTCAAAGGCCCCCTGGTCGCTTGCTTGGCTGGAGCTCTCTTTCGGGGAGGTTCACGAAAGGCCTAGAATGGTCCTTCGTATGGGTTGTCTTGGCGAGTGCGTGATGACATAAGTGGTATGCCCTGACTTCCCGAACGCCACGGATCGCATTGCGAGCGCGATCTCCTGTGTCTCGTCGTGGATTTCGTAAACTGCATGGCACAATACGAACAAGCATCTAGACACATATTCGGCCTGGTCCGGATTGGAAAGCAGGGCGAGTCATTGGGCCTCAGGAGAGGAACGGCATCATCACTGGTTCGTTGTCCCCATGCCTGGAATTGTCTAATTCGAGGGGATCATGAGGTCCAGGCCCTGTCTTGGCCATTTCTGGGCTGTATCTTGAGCGAAGCTTCGAGCCACGTTGATCGTCTGTTTGCAGCGTTGCAACAAGCATATTGTGAATACAGGAGCCTAGCAACCGGCTTCAGCCACCATTGACAATCAATAGAACACGTTGGAACGTTAATTTGAGTGGATAAACCGAAGGGAAATGTAGAGTGGCAGCTATCCGATGCATAGCTGGGTAATATGTTGAAAATGATGTTAAGAATTTCTACACAATAGAAAATGGATGGTTCCCCATATCTCTTGCTTCTTGGTAAGATTGATGGTTCCTGCGGTCGAACTTATTTACGTACGCAAGCCCGTTCTACTAAGAGCCTCATGCGGAGTAGGTGAGGCATCAGGCCGTTTACCGTTTACCTATTTCACGAGTACAAAAGCTCAACCGAATTGAAGATGATATGTATCGAGGGATATCAACGCAAGTTGGAATGAACTCTCTCCCCCCAGCCCGGGAAATTGGAGGAAATCATTTGGGTATTAGCTATTTAGCTTCACACTTACGGATAGTAGCGATGCTCACGAAGCTCAATTCGGCGTGGTGACTTAGTGTGGCGCAGGCTACCTAATATAGATTCATAGGCAAATTTGGGGATCCATTGTTGCTTATTGAGCTTGGGGCCAAGGCACATGCCGCTGCGGCGCTGTCGCCTGTCGGATGCCCGGAATGCCCAGGGGGCCATCCCATTGGCACCAGCTAGGCATGCTTCCAGCACATCGGTTGAGTTACGTGTTCGCCGTCCCTCGTTCGAACTCTCTTCTTTCATAATCCGACGAAAGAAAAATAGGTCCAAGGAGAAAAGACGGCATTCCCCCAAATCCATATACTGATTAGCCCGCCCAGCCATCACCGCCGAGCAACCGCGCCTTTGCGATACTGTACATATTACGGGACCCCCTTACCTGCTGAGTAATTCCGTCAGTGGACGGACTGGAATCCCCCGAATTCCTTCCTGACCATCCCCTGCTCATCCAACCAAGCTTGTCTTCTACCACTCTCTCGGTCTCTTTCATCGACCGGCGCACTCGGACCGAAGAGGGGGCGAACGTGCGGACGACGCGGCGGTCAGATAGACGATGATTGGTCGTTGACCTCACATGCGATCTCGAGCCTTTCCTTCAACGGACATTCAGAGAAAACACAGGATCACGGTGTCGGCATCCCGTTATCTATTAGCCGTGTAGACAGTTCCGCACCCCCTCCTCAGCCTCTCGTTACCGTGCTGCCGGCCATTCCGAAACCAAGCGCCGCTGGCCGACAGACAGGGCGAACAGGTCTCTTGTTCCTGTCGTTGGGCCACTCTGTGTGTCTGCACCTGCCTGCATCTGCCTTGCCTGTCCTTGCACGTAACCTGTCCATCCTTTCTATCCTCCGACGGCGCGGGCGGGCGCGGTCCTCACCTCAGACGGCAGGTATTATTAACCTGTTCCCCGATACGACCCAACCAGCCATGCCCTCCATGAAACATGGCTTCCTTAAGTAAGCCTCCATCATTTGCTCCCCCTCTCTGTCTTGTCCACACTTGTCATTCGTCCCTTGTCGTCTTTCTCGGCGTCGCTGTCCTTATGTGGTCGATCCTCTCATTCTTCTGAATCAACATTCCATTTCACCACGTGGGTTGTTGTCTGCTCACCTCGGCCTTGCATAAGGCTGAGATCTTACTGAGACAACCCCAGAGAGAGAGCTCGGTGGCTTCCCCCCCCCTTGCAGCCTTACTCGCCCGTCGCCTCCAAAACCAACTCTCTCAGCATTCCTATGTCTCTCCCTTGAGTCGCGTCTTGTTGGGGCCCGGGGCTTTCTAGTCCCCGTCTCCGTTTGCTTCTACTCTTGTTCTCGACACTTCTCTTTGTCGTCAGAAAATCGCTCGCCCAACATGAGTCCTCTCAAGAGCATGGCTAACGGGGGCTTCCTTCCCACAGTCAATAAAAACAGAAAGGTAAACGCCCACACCTATCGTCCTGTCGCGGGAAACTCAATTCAAGAAAAAAGTGGAGGGTTTGCGGCGTCGGGAGGTGGCTACTCAGCGAACGGTTTTGGGCTGACATTTTGTGACGCAGCCAAAGTTTGAGCTACACCTCAAGGTGTGAACCCGTCTCGACAGAGTTAGCTGTCTTCAGAAAACCGGGTTTTCGTTGCTGATCCATCTCCAGATTTACGACTTAAACAACGTCCCGCTAGTATCCGGAACATCAATAGTAAAATGGCATCTCTCGCACTCCATCCACGCCGAGCACCGGGGACGGACGCCGAAATGCCCCATCTCCAACCACAAGGTTGAGTACAACTACTCCAAGATGGTCAGCCACATTCGGATCAGTATCGACAAAAACAACAACTTGACCGAGTGTCCCATCGAATTCGAGGTCTTGCAGGAGTTTCCGGGCACCGGCCGCGAGGAAAAGATCTCCCTTGGCATCGTCAAGCTCAACCTCAGCGAGTACGTCGAAGAGAGTGACGGTCTCGCCCGCGAGAGCGTGAGCTTCGACCGTAGTCACTCGCGCAAGCGTAGCAGTGGCACGAGTCAAAGTCCCTTATCGCCAAGAGCCCCAATCACGGATGATCCGGACGTCGTGGATGGCATCGTCAGGCGCTACCTCATGCAGGAGAGCAAGATCAACAGTACTCTAAAGATTGGAATCCTGATGCTTCAGCTCGACGGCGACAAGAACTACTCTGCGCCCCCTCTGAGGACTGCGCCTGTCTTTGGAGGGATCGCCGGCATCGTGGCCGGTGAATCGGTTGAACAAGACGACGCTGGACGTACGTTTGTCACTTCTGAATGTGTATTTCTCTTCCATTCTGATATATACTGACGGACTACTGCAGAGCTGCCGAGCATGGCCAAATCCCGCGATGCCTCCGAGGTGCAAGACATGTACCGCCGCACCCTCGCAGCTTCCTGGTCCTGCCAGCCTGACGAACTTCCTGCTGACCAATGCATCGAAGACATCTTCTCCGGCGGCGATGGCTGGCGGACAGGCCGCCAGGGACGTACCGGCAAAAAGACGGCCACATTCGACCTTGAAAACGGTGGTTCCCTCAGTTCCGATGAGGGCACCATGGGCGGCACCCTTCGTCCTTCGGATTTCCGTAAAATGGAACGGAAGCAGCAACAAGCGCAGCAACAGCAACAGCAACAGCAGGAGCCGCCTCAGCAGGACCACCTCCACCTCCACCGCCTACACAATGGTCACCGACATCACTCCCGCAACAATAGTGGCTCCAGCGAAAGGAGCATGACGACCGTCGTTACTGGTCGCGGCGACGCTGCCAGCAGCACCGCTGGGGCGAGCAATGTTGCTCGTCGGGGGTCTCACAGTCGCTTAAGGGGCCGAGAGGGGGAAGGCGGTACCAGTCGACGCAGCTACGGCCGATCGAGGAGCCGCAGCGGCAGCATCGTGAGCCTAGCGCCGACTATGGGCAGCAGCGACCGTGGACGCGAGGCGTCGAGACGAAATAGAGAGCTTGAGGAATTCAACGTGCGAGACGATCTCGTCGCCTGGAGGTTGCCCGGTGCTGTCACATAAGCAGGGTAGCGGGACAAAGCAGATACAAAGGAGTGGTTCCCGTGACCTTGTGTTTGGGCATTTGGGTCACTATCCATGTTATAGCGAGGTGTTGATAGGGAGGCGTACATTTGCAGAAGCGATGCCCCTCTTTTTCTTTCCTTTGTCATTAGTACCGCATTCTCGGTTCCCTTCTCACAAAGTTAATAGAAACCTGTGCTTTGGTGTTGCTTGCCAACTGTTGTGGTTTATAGATTCAGTTACGCATTCCGTGCCCGGGGTTCGACAAGATGCTCGGTATAAACATCCAGTGACCCGTATCCTAGAACAACTCGAGAGAAGCTCAATGTCTCTGACTCCTTCAATGCTCTTTCAAAGTCCTCACTTTTGCTCCTACTCTATATTCCAGTCATTCATTTCCATGTCTTTTTGAATCATCCCTTGCCTTCCCCCTAAGAAATCCGTGTCTTCTAGCTTTCGATTCCTTTTCTTTTACTAATTTCGCGCCTGGCCGGCCGTCGCTGACGCGCGCGCTTTTACAAGTCGTGAAAACACCACTCCCCCGGAGGAGACCGTTCAAGGAGCCGCGATGTTGCCGCGGACACCGCCCTTGCTGCCAACCTCTCTCGCCGTTATCGTGACGCCCAAGTCGGCGGCGACGTTAATGGTGACCTCAATCTTGGCACCCTTGCTGACGCCGCGAACGGCTGCCTCGGCCAGGGTAGGGCCGACCTTCCAGATCTTCTCACGGGTCTCCTCCTCCTCCTCCTCGGAGTCGAAGTCAGAGTCGTCCTCGTCGCCGTTGGCCTCGGGCTTGGCCTTGGGCTCAGGCTTGGTGACCTTGATGTGGGCACCGCCCTCAACGATGCGGACTAGGACGTCGCCGCCCTCCTTAGGGCCGGCAACGTGGATGGTGCGGCGGGCGGGGACGGCCGTCTCGGCAGGGACGATGGGGACGAACTCGTCGTTAGCGCCGACGACGCCGATGGCGTTAGCAATGTGCTTAACAACAGTGACGGCAGCGTGCGTGCTCTGCTCGATGTCGTCGGCCTCGTATTCCTGGATCAGCGAGGCCTGAAGGGCAGCACCTCGGGCGAGGAGCTCCGAGGGGTTGATGGCGGCGGCCTGGGTGGCCGGGGCGACAATGTTGGTAGATTCGGGGAAGAGGTTGGCGAAGTTGGCAGCGACGCGCGGGGTATGGGCGGTGCCGCCGGCGAGGATAACCTCATCGATGTCGAGGACGTCGAGCTCGGCCTTCTTTACGACACCCTCAACGAGGCGGTTAAAGCCGTCAAAGACCTTGCGGCCGATCATCTCATAACGCAAACGGTTGATGGTGGAGGTGAAGTCAAAGCCCTCGGCCAAGCTCTCGACGCTGAAGCTGGCGTTGGTGCCGAGGGAGAGAGCCTTCTTGGTGGACTCGGACTCGGCCTTGAGCTTGGCCAGGGAGCGGGCGTTCTCGCGGGGGTCGGTGTTGTGCTTCTTGATAAACTCCTTGGCGAAGTGGTCCATGAGAACCTGGTCAAGGTGGCTGCCGGAGAACTCGTAGTCGTGGGCAGTAGCGAGGATGGTGTACATGCCGCCGCGGGAGGCAACAACGGCGACGTCGGAACGGGTGCCGCCCAGATCGGCAACGACGACGATCTTGTCCTCCACCTTGGCCTCAGGACGGGCATCGTAGGCGAGGACGGCGGCGACGGGGTCGGAAATGATCTGGAGCACCTCGAGATCGGCGTCGTTGGCGGCCTTGACGAGGGCCTCCTTCTGCTTCTCGGAGAAGTTGGTGGGGACGGTGATGACGGCCGACGTGACCTTCTTGCCAAGATAGTCGCTGGCGGAGCCGACGAGACGGCGGAGGTACCGTGTTGCGGCCTCGGTGACGGAGACGATGGAGGGCTCATCGGCGTCTTCCTTGTCCTTCACAGCGAAGGAGACGGTACCGTTGACATCCTGGGGGTGGACGGAAGCGTGGTTGTGGGTGGGGTCGATGGACTTGAAGCTATTGGAGCAGTGTCAGTCAGATGCGGTCAGGGAGAGGAGAACGCAGATGTAGGCAAGCCGTACTCCTGGCCAAGGAAGTCCTTGAAGTATGCGATTGTGTTGTTAGGATTCCTGATAAGGAAGTTCTTGGCCTGAGCGCCGTAGTACTCGTCTCCATCAACGTAGGAAAGGATGGTGGGAATTTGACGGTCTAGCAGGAGAAATCCCGTACTGTCAGTGCTGCGTCCTATTCAGCCACAAATGAAAGCTTCTGCCATTGAACTGACCTCCGTCCTCGTTGGCGATAACCTCGGCCTTCCCGTCGACGGTGTAGGCGATGGAGCTATTGGAGTTGCCAAAGGTGATACCAATGACGGTACGGTCGCCCGGCGCGGGCCGCGAGTCACCGTTCGCAGCCATATCTAAAGGTCGCAAAAAAGTGATGGTGTTGCTTCGGGAGATTTTATCGAGAAATAGCGACAGGTTGCAGGCTTTGATTATGTTTGGGTTTCGCGGGCTCCTGTCGAGATCTTGGAGACGAGTGTTTTCAACGGTGGTCAATGGTGGGGGTTCAAAAGTGCCAAAATTTTGGGCAAGGGAAAAAAAATTCCCAGTCGCTCTATCGCCCAGTGGGACGGACTGTCGCTTCCCCCCTCCCCCACACACACCGGGCCGTATTCCAATCAAATGGACAAGGAAGGTGCCCCGCCAAAGCTTTCAACTTTCTGCTGCAAGGCTGAATGCAGACAAAGACGGGCGCAGAAGCCGAAAAAAGGAGATTCGACCTGACCTTGGCGATTCCAATTCAACATCACATCGCCCACCGCTCAGAACGCTCACAATGGCCTCTGATGGTCCTTTTGTGCTCCCTGGCGACGAGATTGACGCGTCTCTGATCCCGTCACATCAGAAACTTCCCCTGAGACTGGGCCCCGGCCTTCGACATGTCCCTCCCAGGCAAATAGTGCCCACTATCGCCGGCAAGCTGGTTTCCGACCGCAAGAAGAACTCGATATGGGTTGAGCAGACAAGTGGACGTGTGAGCCCAGCCCATCGACCACTCAACCTTTCCATGCACATGCTAACGCGTGAAAAACAGTACATTCCCACCGTCGGCGACCTCGTCATTGGCACCGTCCAGCGCACCGCTGCCGAACTCTACTACGTCCTCCTGGCCGATTACTCAACACCCGCCATCCTGCCCCAGCTTTCTTTCGAGATGGCTACGAAGAAGACCCGCCCTCAGCTTGCCTCCGGCGCCCTAGTCTACGCTCGCGTCACGCTCGCGAACAAGCACATGGACCCCGAGCTTGAGTGCGTCTACCAGTCCACCGGCAAGGCCGACGGCCTGGGCCCCCTCGTTGGCGGCATGCTCTTCAACATCTCTCTTGGCATGGCGCGCCGCTTGCTCAAGCCCAAGACGACAGATCTTGTTGTGTTGGAGGAGCTGGGTGCCACGGGTGCGGCCTTCGAGACGGCTGTGGGTCGAAATGGCAAGATTTGGGTCAATAGCGAGAGTGCCAAAACCATCATTGCGGTTGGAAGAGCCATCCAGGAGACTGATGAGCGGGGCCTCACAGTCGATCAGCAGAAGAAGCTCGTAAGGTCGTTAATCAAAAGTCTGAGTTAAATTCACTGCACACGCCCCCCATGATGCTTTTTTGCCTTGTCCTACAATATGTACCTTGGCCAGTCTTCGGGCCTCCAAACGCCCAATTACTGCCTTTGGCAGGTTCCGACAAAAGGTTGCCTTGCTGCCTCCGATTTTCCCGATTCTGGAGTTAAACACGCTGTATATGAAGCAACCGACCGCTCTCAGGTTAAAAATATGATAAAAAAAATAATGACGCCCCTGAGCGTCGCTAATGCGGACGCAGATCACCCTTCTCGGATGCCGCCTTCGGCAACCACTCTTCCAGATCTTGTGCCGTGCTACGTCACTCTTCTTCCCGTTCGCTGACGAGCCGTGGCGGTGGTAGCTTGCAAGTCACCCGTCTGTTATTTTTAAACAGACCACTTCCCAAGCGTTATCCCGCATCTGTTGGCTCACGGGTCTTTCCCTTCGTTGACAGATATCCTACAACGTTCTTCACTCAGTTGCTTGTGTGCTCTTGTGTACACCTTCGCTCCCCGTGTCTCATGTTCCTCCCATTGCTTCGTCGACAATGTCGGGTTCAGGATCACACACTGGTGTAACTTGGTGTATATTCATCATGTGCCGCCTCCAGTTGTCCTTTCGCGGGAAGGATTTACCTCCGGCCTTGGAATAGGGGCAGGTGCTGACAGTACAATGGAACTTCTTTGTTTTCCTGTGCTTGTCGTTGATATGGCGATCTAAGTGCGTCTTGGTACCAAACCTCTTGCCGCAATTCGGGTGACTACACTCATGGGGCCGCTCGTGGTACCGTTTGTGGTGGCTAGGGCTATTAGCTTTGCAAACAAATTGGCCGTGGGGCGCAACCTACTTTAGTTTATGTACTTGATCGAAGAACCTGCCGCATTCATCACAGATAAATGTTCGAGGTGACGGTTGCAATCCCGGGTATGGCGAAGTGCTATTACGAATGTCGGAGCTGCCATCTGATCTTGGAGATGGACTGCTGTCGATTTGTGTATTTGGAGTGCTTTGATAGGATGGTCCAGAGCTAGCGTGTCCAAGCATCGGTGGGGAGTGTTCGGACGGATCAGTCATGTCTCCGTCGAGATAGTGTTGGCTGTGGTCAGGCAAAAGGTGGGTAGAGTCGGCATGGTGTGCACCATCGCTCATTTGAACGTCCTGAGTGATCCCGTTCGCGTTGCTGCCGTCTGTACTATTCCATCCGTTCACTTGAGTGTGCCCATTCTCGTCCACCTTTGATGCTTCATTGAAATTTTGCTGATGTTGCTCCTGTTCGAATAATTCCTCAGGAGGCGATTGAGGCGTAGGAGCTTGTGACGGCTGTGGCGAATTCGGAGCCGGCTTGGTGATGGTGGGTGCTGGTCTGGACGGTGAATTGGCCATCTGATATAGCTGTTGGTTTGTATGCCAGTGGTGCTCTGTTGGATTAGACGGGGCCATAATATCCATTGGGTTCACAGTGCCTGGCGCAGGTACAACAGGTGGCAAGATAGGGGGCGATTCGATTCGTTTGGTAGCTCTTTTCGCGTCCAGCTCTTGGGCGTGATCAAGCTCCTCTGACTCCGACATGGGGCTAACAGGAAGGTGGATGGGCGAGTCTAACTGCCGGGTTGATACCGCTCCAGGACCTCGCTCGCGGAACGATGCTCCTGTGAGTTCGGTAGGAGAGTCAGATAGCACTTCGCTGAGAACTGGCTGCGAGGGTTGTGCAGGGGGACCTTTTGTGCGGGTCAAGACGGAGTCCTTAGTACTGATGCGGCGCATTATGTTCGCTAGGTTGAGCTTCAGTGAGCTTCCCTGAGAGCTTGAACGTCTTGAAGGCGGTGAAATGGTCTGTGGTTCACCGGCGGGAGGCGTGACCATGCCAAAGGCCTCGGAGGGGATAGTTGGACTGTAGTAGGTTGCGCTATGCCCATGATTGGCATCGGCGTAGTCCATTCCATCAGCGCGAGTGGCAACCAGCTCAACACCCGCAGGTGTCCACGGGTAAGATGCCTCGCTCTTCCACGTAGGTGCGCGTCCAAAAGAATACTCGGTAGTGCCGCGTCTCGTCGTCGTACTCGGTTGGGTACTGTCGCTGGTGAAGCCACGCTGGTAATGACTGGCCAGCTCATCGCTCGGAGGGCGATCAACGCCGTTGTGAGAATATAAGGCCTTGTCTTTGGTGGGCTGTTTTTCCGTGCCTCGTAAGGTGTCCGTCTTATGGCCTAACGAGTCTTTAGATGATAGATGGCTGTTGACTCCGGGTCCGGGCGCCGGCGCCTGTCCTGAGGGACCCATCGGCCCGGGGACGAAAGCCGTCTCCGTGTCAAGACGTTGGGGCGGTCCATGCTTCTTGGTTCTCCTCCGACGGGCAAAGAAGGGATAGGCGCAAACGAGAGCGAGAAAGACGGCGACAATGACACCAACAACGACACCAGCGACTCCTCCTCCAGACAATGAGACCGAGCGAGTCTCGAGGGTCGCGCGGCTAGAGAGGAGCAACATCTCTCTTGGCTTCAATCGGGCCATGTCAGTCGAAGTGTCTAAGAATGATGGTGAGCTGTCGTCAGTGTCGTCAAGGTCTGATTGGGCAGTAATACCCTCAGACAAGGCTGTGGGAGGAGCCATTCTCGGCACCACACGTCAGCACTTGCTGCACCACATGAACCGCCCAGACCTGAGACACTCGGATGACGACGGCGCTGGCGATGGGAGATGAGAAGACGAGCAATCGGTGCTACGTGGCTGGTAGTATTCTATTGAGATGATATGGTGGATGGATGAGCAGTCGCCGTGATGGCGATGAGCCCACGAGAGAGAGTAAGCGGGTGAAATGCAGCCGGAAGCCAGCTCAGTAACGGGGACCGTTGGATTATTAGGCCAGTACAAGCAGGTGGTTCAGCCTCACCAGAGGCAGGTGCGCTTAGCAGCCAGCAGGTGGGCGCAGGCGGTACGAGGGAAGTTGGGAGTGGATCAAGGTTGGACTGGGTTGCCTCCCGCCTCCATGTTGCCCTGCAGATTAGGAGAGTACATGTGGCTCATGGGGGAGGTCAGGCGTGTGGAGGGGTGGGAAATGCTGGCAGAGAGAGAAAATTACGGGCTAGCGCAGGTATCTCGCTATCGGTGAGCAGCCCCCCATAATATCGCCGGTTTTATCAGTCTCGGCCAATCGTGTCCTCGGACTACTTCACTGCCCCGCCACACGGGCTCTTCACTAGGTACCCTTGGTCGTCTCCGTGTCTTGGTGGCAGGGACTAACTGGAAAGTGAACCGTTGGGTCCCACACTGCGTTTCCTGATTGAGTGCTAATCATTCACGTCACTGCTCATTGACTGGTTCCTAGTGTAGGTAGTACACCTATGCCCGCAGCCAACGAAGGGGAATCCCATAACGCATCTTTTGGCTGGGTACCAGCCACCCGCCGCTAGATGGGAAAAACACAGAAAACCCTTAGCGCTGGGGTAGAGTGAGGAACCTTCAGGTCGACAAGGAGGCGTGGGCGGAGATGATCCCAAACCGACAAACCATCAAAACCGACATGCTGACACAGGAATCCGCAGTCCGCACACAAATCGCTCCAGGAGAATGGCAAACTTCCGCGCCGCATCCGACGGCATAGTGTAAGTTGTATTGCCTCCACAGTAATTCTAGGTTTAGGCTCGAGCCAACAGTCGCCCAGTTTATGACAGTGGCGCCCAGAGCTGGTACAGTCACATGACAGAAGTCTGGGCTCACTCCGCCAGTGGGAGGGTAGTGGTTGAGCCCAGACTTTTGTCAAGTGACTGTACGGATACTTGCACATCTGCTTCAACGCTGGGGGAAAGTATGTAGGTACATGCACTACCTAATGGTACCTAACTGTACAAGGCGTTTAGGGACTTGCTCCTAATGGACCTACCTAGTGAAGGGAGGTAACTGCTGTACCCCTGCTTGCGGGTCCTGGCCGTTTGGGGCTAAAATAGCCACAAGACCCGGCCCAGCGGTAGGCTTCCGCCGACGAAACAACGGACACAACATGACATCTTGTGCAGCAAGGGTATTCAGAATAGACTTGTATTACTACGATGCTCGAAATTTCATATCTAGGTATGCAGCCAAACCCATCCCGATCCCTAATTCTTCTTACTCCGGTTATCAGAGCCGATCCCAATGCCTTGACCAGGCTCTGCTTCACCAAGACAAAGAGCCGATGTCGAAATTGGCAACTTCTGGAAACCCCACATCACTCCACCTTCTCGACGTCCTCCCTGCAACAACACGGGTGACGAGGTCCGGGTCCATGACAGCAACCAACTATGTAGCTGCCGACAGTCCGTGCATTAAATCATCTCGAGAACATTGCTAAGTTTCCGAAAGCCACTAGCTTTGTTTGGGAACAGACACTGTATCTCCACGTCTTAGTGTCCGCAGCCTTTTCCATCGTCGCCGTCTGCTATGCCAGTATCATCACGTCCGTCATAGCAAGTGGAATAATGTCAAGGACAGGCTGGTATGCCACCTTCATAGTGCAGAAAGCCCGTTACCAATTCGTGGGCATGCAATGTGTTAATTATCCCGATCGGTGGCTGGTGTTTCTCATGCCGCCGTCTCCAGTCTCTAGTTTCCGATGTGCTCTTCTTTGAAGCTGCTCTGCTATATAATCCCTTGAGCGTCCTGGATTGTCTTGGTCTTCCACTGAAACAAATGCAGAGAGACAACCATGTCATCAGTCGTGCTGATTGTATCATCAGAAGTTGAAAGCTTTCAGGCAGCCCACCATCCCTGGTCCGCAGCTGCCTCAAGCCTTCAGCAACACAAAAATCACAAGTATATCTGCTGCCTTGCAAGAAACATGGCCTTTTTCCTTCCCTTTCCCGCCCATAGCATGAGTTCAAGCTTTCCTCAGACCTTCTTCACTTACTTACCACTCCCCATCTCACCCCTGGGGAACTCTATGTCTTCCTACCTTTCTGACTTTTTCCATTGGACCTCACAATCTAAGTATCTCTTTATTGCATCTCAAATTCACACCGATAGCCCTTGATCTAAAAGCATTAGGAGGTCATAAGGCAGCATCTGGACAGTGAGTACTTGGTACTTGTCTACTTGCAAAGTGGCTATCCTACTTCCCTTTTCAGTGGGAAAAAGGTGAATCACCGCCTACCTACCTAGGTGATGAACCAACCACATTCATCCGAGGAAAGAGGCACTCGTCTTCCCCTTTGGCACCTTCCTTCTTCCATAACCCTTTTTGTCAGCAGACTCCGCAACTTCCCCTTTCCCATCAATAGATCGAGCAACAACTTCTTTCTATCCAACCTCTGCCCACCAACATCTTGACTCTCTGACAGAACTCTTGACAGCAAATCAAGGTCAACTGCACTACCTTTTGTTAACACACGGATCTTGCTATACGTACTCTTAGTACACATCTCCAAGAGTACAAAACGGCTCCTAGAGATAAAAACCAAGCATACCTTCCCTCACCAGGTGTATTAGCGTAAGTCTTCCGACCTTATTGTTTTTGTCACCTATTTCTCGTTCTGACAACATACAAACAGATGCTTCTCTCCACCTGGAATGTAGGCTACGGGCCTATCGACGGAAGCCCAGTCTTTGGCAACAGCTCTTCAACGCCGTATTCTCCTGTTTTTGAGACTACAATCAAGAAAAACGAGGACATAAGCAAAGATGAGTCCATTTGTCCCGCCCTAAAACGGCCTGTATGCATCCCATCTCCGTCTCCTATTTCTACGAACAGTTTTGACAGGTTCAGCAGTTACACGACCGAGGATGTGGGTTTCGTATGGTTCATTCGTTCCGTAGCAAGCAAGAATTTGCTCGCGTCCACGGTGTTGGCACCAAGGCCGAAATGGCAAACGAAGTTTCCGCAATTGAGCAATTTAACCAAACGACCTGCATCAGATACGCTTGGGTAATTGCCTCAATGCCTGGTCCCTATTCCCTAATTTCTTCGGACCTTCAAAAGAAATGGATCGTGTTCGTTGAACTACCAAAAAAGCCGGAACGGTGTTTTCCAGAGGAGGGAAACCGGTGCCGAATTGCCTTCATGCAAGATTTCACCCTCGATGGAATCACCCAAGAAGAAGATATGCTGGTAGCTGAGCGGATTCCGAACCCATACGATGATATGGCAGAAACACACCCGTACTCATATTATGCGGTCTTCACTGTGACTACGGAGTACCTTGTGCACCCAGTCACCAAAGAGCAATTTCAGCCGCTGTCGTCGATCATGATCGCCCAACCCACTGACACCAACTCCCCGCCTACCCCTTTGACTATGCACAATGCAGTCGAGTGCAGACTCATAGTCGATTCGAATCCAGTCACGTATGAGGCTGAGTTATTGGCATTGTCTATCTTGACGGAGCCGAAAAAGGAGTCGAATGCTCTGCCAGCAACAACCCTCGGGACATTTGAGTATCTGCTGGACTTCCGCAAAGAACCCAGCTTCAGGGTCGACCTGTTCGAGAAAATACCGCACATGAATAATCCGAGCGAACACCCAAACAACTTCTTGAAGACGGTATACAGTCGGCTGAACCGTGACCACAAGTATGTTTACGACCAGCTTCGACAAATACCAGCCGGACTTGCTCTTATCCTTGGATGTCCAGGTGCTGGTAAAACAGCGTTGAACGCATTCATCGCTGCTATGGCGCTGTCGCAGCCTGTCAAGGAACTCCGGCGTGATGGCAAACAAAGACGCAGGCCAGTCAAGATTCTTTACTTGTTGGATGTCAACTATCCGTGTGACGATGCTGCCAACAGGGTGTATAGCATGTTGCAGGAGGCCGGAATTCACAAGTCAGTTGTTCGGGTTCGTGGTTGCGCCCGTGAGATGAGAAACAGCGCAAAGCTCCATCCAGAGCCGCGAAACTTGAAGGAAGATCACACTCCAGATTTTACTGCCGGCTTTCTCAAGCAAGCACGTCTTTTTGGTGGCTTTCAGAAAGCTCACCGCGATGACAGTCGGGCACCAACGTTGGATGAGGTGGCTTGGGACAAGTACGAGGCTGACAAGACCAAGCACATCGCCCTGACAAAGATCTTGGACAAGCTGAACGAGGGTGTACCCAAGACAGACCAGACAGCGAGAGAACTGAGGAAATGCGTCGCGAGACTTTACTTCTCTGTGATAGAGGAAGCCGACTTCATCGCGACCACCCCGGTCGGCGCAGCTGGCTATTTAAGCAAAAGATTTCGTCCCGATATTGTATTTCTGGACGAAGCGGCACATGCAAGAGAGCTGACGGCTATGATTCCTATTGCTCTATACTCGCCGTACACATTTATTTTGACGGGTGATACTCGCCAAACTCGTCCATTTGTCGAGGGAGTCAATGCTTCAGACAAATGCGGTCAGGAAAACATCTACGCGAGACAGCTGATGCTCAGCACAATGGAAAGAGCGGACCTAGCCGGAGCCCTTGACAGCAAACTCCATATCAGTCACCGTAAGTTCAAGATTTTGTGTCTACCTTCTTCAGATTCCAACCGCTTACCATGCACAAGGAATGTACGGAAACCTACAGGAACTTGCATCAGAGCTGTTCTACGATGGACTGCTAACGTCAGGCCTACCCGAATCCGAGCGATTTCCTGAAGCTGTCCGACACATTCAAGGGTGGCTATCGAGGATCACTGGTGGTATGGAATGTACGGTTCCTCGAATCCTTCTAAGTTGCCGAAGCTCGGCGGAGGCTAGTGACAAAGCCAGTTTCTACAATCCCATCCACGAGGCTTTTATTCAGCAGCGATGCCACGAATTACTTGGAGATCCGAACTTCCGACGAATCGATCAGCCCGAGAAGCCTGGCCGGATCTTGATCATCACGCCTTACAGGGCTGCTTTGGTCCGGTACAAGCGATTTATCAAAGCTCTTCCGCTCAAAGTCCGAGACAGACTCGGGGTCGAACTGAAAGTTGCAATCATAGTAGAACATCCCAACTCTTGGCAAGGTCATGAAGCGGACTTTGTATTTGTTGATACTGTCCGAACGAAAAGTGCAGGATTCTTGAACGACCCCAAGAGACTCTGTGTCATGCTCACGCGCGCCAGAATTGGCGAAATGGTGCTCATGCATGAGGGCATCACAAAAAGATGGGTAGGAAGGGAACTTGTTGAGGCTGAGTGGACGATGAAGGTGTATGAGCACTGTCGTCGGAACGGCCAGCTTTATCAAATTGATTGAGACGCATCCTATGACACGAGGTATTTGTTTGTGGGTTTGGACAGTGCTTTACCGGGAAAGTCGTCTAGTTGCAGCGGCAGAAGTTACTGTGAAAGGATAGGTACACCGGGATACGGACTTGAGAGAAACAACAAACAACTAAGTACCAATTTGATTTCCGAGTCAGAGACTCGTGTGGTTCTTTCTCTCAATTCGACTGCCATTTCTTCCTCGCATCTGTTCGTGGGTCTCACGTGTCGCTTTTTGACCATATTATCCCGCATTCTCTCTACTGACCATAATCTCTGCATTGTCTCGATGCTCATCCATGTTACATCCTCAAGGTATTCCGCTTTAATAGGTCAGCTGGGAAGGATATTGAGAGATGTCTACATAACGGAAACCATAAGGTGGGACTGGTGCGATGGAATCCCAGTTGCTGTTTGGGGTATGGAGATGGAGGAGGCGAGCAAGTTCGAGCACGACCAGAAGAGTAGACATTTACAATATGATTCTATCGCGGAGATCTGTTGGTTCTCTTACCTTATTTCACGAGGGGCATTGTCCTTTTCCCTTGTTGATTTGTCGTTCTTGGCCCACCAAGACTATCCTGTGTGAAGATTCAACGGCGAGGAACATGAAGAAGCTAGGATGTCAAGCGTCGACGAAATACAGCGAAGAACTCGAATTAATGGCAGAGAGGTCTTTTCTTCCTCGAAATCTTGATGAATTCCGGCTCAGGTGGCTGTGTATCCCGGATGCCGTAGCCAAACCTGCAACCGCAAATGCAGGTCAAGAGACTGCCGCATGAAAGCAGGTTCTGCCTTTCCCAACCTGCATCTCACTATCGAAGACCGTGATCAGTAGCACAATATCAAGTTCAAGTCAGTCTCCTGGCTTTCTTCTCACTTCTAGAGTCGGGTAGCAGGAAATCCCCACCATTGTCCGGGTTCGGCCTGAACCACCAGTCAGATGCCGCTCTCTTGTGCCACCGCTTATGCCGCCTCTCAGCCGATAGCCCGATGTAGTCATCGCTATACTCACCGAACCCAATGGTAAGGCACGCGTCCCCCTAAGGGTTATGAGCTAGTCCCGCGGCCCCCTTATAAGCCAGGCAAGTCCCAGTCTGACAGCCTTCATTTTGGCAGGATCTTGCTTCCGAGGTTTCTTTGCAAGACTTGGAAGGTGGGTAGCTTCTCATTCTGATTGCCAGAAGAAAAGAAAAGTCGGAGCAACTGTCGGTTGCTGCAATAGACAGATAATGGCGACGGCGACGGTGACAAGCCCTTTGTCGTCACCTGCTTCGCCGTCGACAACCAAGAATGTTTCGGGCGGAAATGAGAAAACCGTACCAGCCGGATGCTTTGATATCTGCAGTAAGCACTCCTTTGGCTGTAAACACCAGCGCCGTAATTCGACCTTGGAAGTTCTAACTAGACGTCTATTGCCAGACAATGTCTATGTGGAAGCCAGCAGCATCGGCAAGGTTCTCCAGATGTGCGACACAAACTCGGACTTTTGGCGGGGCTATCGGGAGTGCATCTCTTGCATCAGGGCTGAGGCCATCGACGCGGAGACGACAATCGAGACATACATCGATCCCGAATTCAAGCAGTTCTTGGATTACTGTGCATCGCAACCGCTGCAACCGAGCTATCCCTCTACTCTCATGACGATCAGGACGGTGGTTCAGTTCGTTGATATAACCGCCATCGACGGGAAAGTCCGCCCGGGCATGCTGAGGACATGGGTAGTGACCGAACTGAAGGCCGAGTTTACGGGCCTGCCGACAGCCACCTCGAACACCCTCTCCCTGCAGACGACGATGCCAACCGAGACGCTGCCCGCAGGCACGTCTGCGACCGCGACGCAGGAACCTTCGCCAGAACCAAACGAGGCATGGATAGCCGGCTCCGTGATCGGCGTCGTGACCGCGATCCTGCTAGTCCTTGCCGGACTGTGGTTCTTCCGACGGCACAGTAGACGGGTGCTTGATCAGTTTGCTGTCGAGGCCAATGGTTATGGAAAGGAGGAGTTCATAAAGGCGCAGCTCCACTCGGACTGGATTTCACGCGGGCATGCCGCGGAGCTCGAGTGTTCTTGGCCCAAAACAATGCCCGCGGTAAGTGCCAATGAGATCCCTGCACAAGAGATGCCAGTCTCAAACAGCCGACATGTGGAAGGGGTCACGGGGTAAACCGGCTGAATCTGTTCTTTTCTGTTGCCTATTTCACTCAAGGGTTTGCAGTTAGTTGTCATTCTCACTTGTGAGCACAACAGGGGCAAGTCAACACATAATATAATAGCATTCTTCTCAACTGCCCTCTGGCGGTGGTATCACGTCGCTTTCCCTGCAAGAACTGGCGACTCAACCAATCACCCCGCGCCTCGCCCGGCTCGATCCGGTGAACTGCAGGTTCTCATTGCCAGTAACACCCGTCAGCACGTTTCCAATGCCCTGGACCTCGCCGTTGCCACCCTGCATGATGGTGGCGTAGTTGTTCGCGACCAGCTGGATCCCTGACACGAAGCCCTTCTCGTCAAAGGCGCAGTGCCCGCCGTTGGGCGAGTTGTTGACCGTCTGCTTGGCGTTTACCTGGTCAGCGCTGAGCCCGGCGCCGGTGGCGATCTTCTCGTATGCCTTGATGGACGCCGGGATCGCCTTCTGCAGGCTCGAGAGCTCCTGGAGGGTGCTCTGGAAGTGGATGCGAGTGCCGGCGACGGCTTGCGCGTCCTGGACGTCGACCTGGGGCGGGAGGCCGCCGCAGTTTAGCAACACACCGTTGCCAGCGAAGTTTTGGATGTGGGCGGGCATGAAGAAGCCCGAGAGCATCAGCGAGCCGCCAGAAACTCCGGTGAAGAACACATTGGACTGGTTGAAGGCCATCACCTGCGGAAGGGTCTTCTGGATGAGGTCGTTGACGGCCTGGGAGTGGGCGACGCCATCTGTGCGCTGGAGGCCCTGGCCGCCACCCCAGAAGAGGTTCGGGTCCGGCGCGAGGATGGCGACGCCGGCGAGGTTCTGCTGCACGCCCTGGTTGGGCATGTCGAAGAAGGACTGGCCGCCGTCGCCGTGGAGGAGGACATTGATGCCGAGGGGGCCTTGGGCCCCGGCCTGAGCGGCAGCGCCAGGGACGCCGCTCGCCGCGGTGAATTGGTCGGCAGGGCCGCTGATCTTGAACCGGAGGTCGAGGCCGCTGGGGGTTTCTCGTTAGTTGGCATATACGAGTGAGATGAAGTGGGGGCCTTACTTGACGTTCGCGGTCATGTCGAGGATCACGGACCCGTCGGTCGCTTGTGAGATACCCTGGGGCACCTGAGCGGCCTGCTGTTGCGCCGTCTGTCTGTTGGCGCGGCCATTTCCGTTTCCTTTCCTGTTCTGCGGCGCGCCTTGGACGACGCTCAGCAGACTGAGAACGACCGCGAGAGCGGCGGTAGGTGAGCGGACGGTCAACATCCTGGTCGAGAGGGGCGAGGGAGAGAAAAGAGGCTGATTCAAACAGGAGTATTAAAAAGAACGAAGAGAAATAATCTGCTGCCAAGCTCGCGGCGCACAAATATCAAATCCTTGGTGTTCTTGGTAGGTGAAAGTAAATCGGAGTTTCCCAGAAACCCGGGGAAATCAAGAATCAGAAGAAAAGAAGCCCAAAAGGGGGCAGGATGGGGTGGCAGCTCAAGCTCATCTTTGAAGGACGCCGAACGACTGCTGCTTGAGAGCATCTGCCCATCTCATCATAGTCATGAGTCCGTATTGTCGCATCCGAAATGGGACAACAGGGTCGTTCGGTGATGGGCCAGTCTTGCTTCTCAACGCATGGCCAACCGCCCCGCCGCCTTCAGACTGGAGACAAAGGGAGTGGGGGAAAGAAGGCTATCCATACAGGCCGGGTGCGAAGCGAAGCATCTCAAATCGACGGACGAAGGTGATAAGCTCGTGCTGTCCCTGTTTCGCCCGGACTCCGTTATGTGAGAGAGTTGGGACAAGTTAGTATGTGTCTAAGCGTCTGTTGCTCGTTGGGGTTGAGGACGGGAAATCCAGTCAGCTGGCTGAGGAGGCTCTGTAGTAGTCAGCAAGATGGGTCTAGCTGGGAAGCCGCGGGCATGGATTGGCCCCTCGGGGGAAATATTGGATCGCCACTGGAGGTGCTGGGCGGGCGCTGGCAGCAAGGGCGTCAGGCTTGACGACTGTTTCACTTGGCGCGTCTCTTCCAGCTCCGGCGCGTTTGAGGTTATCGAGACCGACCCCGGACGCTGAGGTATACTTCCCTTCCCTGCGCCTCTAAGCACCCGCTCGGGCGGTCGCTTTCAGGTCCCCTGGTCCGCGGGGGGCGGTTTGAATATCCAGATTAGGTAGTCGGGAATAACCCATCATGTCCACAAATGGCACCGGGCTGTTTCGTCATAGCAAAGTTCTTCAACTAGGTATGATAAAGCCTTAACTTGGCATTTGTCTTCTGTTTTTTTCTTTCCCGACTTGAGGTGAGCGAGCCTCTTGGCCGTTTGGGGGTTCCGTGACACCGGGTCGACTTTAGATGGTGCTCGCTCCCAAGTTGGTGGGCCAAGAAATGCTTATGAGCACAAAGCATTAAGGCTCGTGGGGATTCTTCCGGGGGAGGGGCTCGGTGAGTCATGGACGATGGAATGCAGGCGCGGGGTTGTTTGTAATTCTCCAAAGTTTGGGCGATTCTGAAGCCCATCAAAGCCTACCTAGGTATTGTTCCAGACTTCGGGTGGAAAACGGTGTGGCACGTCATTTTAAAGCTGTTCGCTTTTTGGTACAAAAACTAAACTTCCACGGTAAAATGATATTTAATACTAGAATACCTTGTCTCGTTTCGGCATGAAGCCGACCGACCCCACTGCGCTGGACGCCACAGGGGGTTCAGACGGTACTTGGTTTCGAGCCCCGTCACTCTGATCAGCAGAACCTATCAACGACATTCGACAGATGGAAATCGCTAAATATAATCTGGTTCGTAGCACACGTACATTTACCCAAGGTCCATCCTCTAATGCCAGCACCACATCCATCATACACCGTCTTAACACGCCAGCCAGAGTCTGGCAAGGAACCGATGGGCATGCCTTGCGCTCAAAGCTTAGCACCACTAGCCCTCCTGGCTTCCTTCTCGCGGTCACGGAGAAGACGACGGAGGATCTTGCCGCTGGGACTCTTGGGGATGACATCGACGAACTCGACGCCGCCCTTGAGCCACTTGTGCCGCGCCTTGTGCTCCTCGACGTACTTGCAGATGTCGGCCGCGACCTCGGCCTCGGGCCTGGACGCGTGCCCGGTGGCGCGAACGACATAGGCCTTGGGCACCTCGCCGGCGCGCTCGTCGGGTACCTGGATGACGGCCGTGTCGGACACAGCCGGGTGGGTGAGGATGTGTGCCTCGAGCTCGGCAGGCGCGACCTGGTGGCCCTTGACTTTGATGAGTTCCTTGATGCGGTCAACGATGACGAGGTGCTCGTTGCCGGCGGCCGACTTGCGCACCAGGACCTCGTCGCCGGTACGGATCCAACGGCCGTCGTCGTACCACACAAATGTTTCGGCGTTGGCGCGCTCATTGTGGAGGTAGCCCAGAACCACCGAGGGTGATTGTACAAGGAGCTCGCCAGGCTTGTTGTACTCAGTGATCTCCTCGCCGGTCGTAGGATCGACGATCTTGCCGCGGGCACCCGGCACGAGGGAGCCCGACGATCCAACGTCGATGTCGATCTCGGATGTCGTGCAAACGACCGTGCTGGTTTCGGTCATGCCTGACGCGTCTTAGTTATATCACACGGCAACTCTCCAAAACATCAAAACTTACCGTAGCCTTGGCCAACGTGCCACTTGGGGTACTGCTTTTTCAGGTCCTCCACCGTCTCTGCTCCGAGAGGCGCTGCACCAGTGTAGACGAAGCGCACGCATGTGAGATCATACTTCTTGCAAAGCTCCGGATTGCGGATGACTTGGATGATAATTGGCGGAACCTATGCGAGTCAGAACAGGCTTGTTGTCCACAGCTTCGAGACGTGAGCTTACCACTGCAAGGCAGTTGATCTTGAAGCGTTGGACAGTCTCCAAGAATTGCTTAAGCTCAAACTTGGGCAGCACAATGACGCTGTCACCGCGCCAGGTTCCACAGTGTGCAATGACAACCAGACCGTATATATGACTGAAGGGTAACAAACCCAGGACTGCTTGTGTCTTGATGCCCAACTCTTTCCTCGGGACGATTTCGTATGTTGTGAATTGAAGGACGTTGGCGATTACGTTTCTATGAGAAATCATGACGGCTTTCTATAGTCAACTGTTAGGCTTTGACTTCCTCGATCATTGCGGCCGGGTTTGACTCACAGGTAAACCGGAAGTGCCACTCGAGTAGCACAAATAGGCAACTTGGCGTGCGCCTTGTCCCTTGACCCATTTCAAGGGTTCCACTTCAGGCAGAGATTTTCCCTCCTCGACCAAGTCGTCGAGTGTGATATAGGGCGTCTTCTGGCTGACGCCGGGTACTGGCAGCAAGAAAATGCGGTCATTAGGAAGGTTGACAGCTTTCGCGGCCTTGAGAGCAGTCTCCAACAAGGGAATGCAGGTGAAGAGAGCCTTGGCGTTGGAGGAGCGCAGCTGATGCTCGAGTTCTTGAGCCGAGTACGCGGCACTGGCGGGGGTGACAATGCCTGACAGGCGATGGATTGCATGGGTGAAGGGAATGTAATCAATCTGCACAGAGTTTAGCTAGTTGCGAAAGAGTACCACATAGTGTTGAACATCAAGTCACATACCGTGTTGAGCGAGAAGAGCGCGATGACCTTATCCCACTCTGTGCCCTCGTTGGGCGCGAAATCGAGCTTCTTTGAGAGTGCCCTGGCCATGTAGTCTGTTCGCTGCTTCACCTCGGACGCTGTGTACGACTTGCCCGATAGGCCACAAGTGTACGGGTTTCTTGCTTCCGCAATAGGATAGCGACCGTACTTTTCATTGCTCATGAACTCAGCAATGGTGATGGTATCCGGAGGGTCTGCGATATCTCGGTGAGCAGAGCTCGCCCAGAAGATTGCACAAAGCTCCAGGATCGAGGGTGCATCTTACCTATGGGCAACTGAGGAACCCATTTCGGCGATGTGAAGACCATCGTGCGTGATACAATCGAGGCTGGAGGACTGGAGGACTGGAGGAATGAGGGTGGTCGTCACCTCAGCGCGAGTCTGGATGAGGTGTCGTAGCAGCGGTCTGTCGTTACCTGAGGGAGGGTAGATGTCAAAACGTCGCGACAACGAGAAACAAGGAACGGGGGGTGGCTTGGACTTTTGAATGAGGTCAAGTTGCCAACAACCGTCGGCTCAGAAGCGTCCGGGGGGGGGACTGAACGGAGTTCACATCCTCTCCGTGCATTGGGTCTCTGTGCCCTTGGTGACGGACCCCCTGTGCCCCTCACGACCGAAGCAGCAATCCAGCTTGAAGTTTACAGAGTACTTAGCTTCCCCCCCCACTTCTCCGCAGTTATCCATGTTGCACCTCGGCAGAATGACTAGAAAGCACGGCATCTCGCTGTCTCACCGAATAGATACTGGGGCGTTCCGAGTCATTGGCCGCCCAGATCGTAGCCATCCAGAGGTTATTGGCACACTAACTGCGGGCTGGCCATCAATGGGATCTAGATGGGCCCCGACCCCACTTCCCTGGGCTTCCCGTGGTACTAGTAATGATCCACGTCGGTTACCCAGGGGCTTCAGGGCCCTGAATTTGGCCGAGCAGCCGCCAGTTTTACCGGCTGAAGGCCGCCCCTTAGCCGGCCGGCTGCTGGACCTTGGTAAACAATCAGCGAGGTTTGTAGCCCAGTGTCGTCGTTTGTTGTCAAATGAGGTCAGCAAGCGGGTACCGAGCTTTTCCAACTAGTCATCGGAATTGACTTCTTCCCTAGTTCGCATCGAGTATGCAAGGTCTGCTTTGTGGCTGCTTTAACATAAGCCGAAGGTGAGCCAAGGTGAACACCGTTGAGTAAAGGTGAGTTGAGGTGAGCAGAGGTGAGTAGAAGTTGGGCCGAAGAAACCGAGCTTGGCCCTCGGCAGAGCATGCATACATGCTCAAGGATGATGTCACACGCTTTGTGCATGTAGCGTTTCAATCCTTCACCTGCAACTGTCTTTCTTTGTCCCAAGTTAATCAGAGATTAATCAGTTGATTACTGTGTAGTGTAGACATTTAAAGCAACAGGGAGATAGTTGCCCTTCAACCTGGATGAGACGTACTCCGTCGCCTCCGTCTTGGTGACAAACAGTAAATGCCAGCTGTGAAGCTCGCACCAGCTGGCAGCAACTGGTAATCTCCATACACCAGTGTTCTTCTGGTAGTTTAAACGCATCTGTCACTAGTTCCCGCTCTGGCTTTATGGTTCTTGTTGTGGAAGCTGAATGTAACTAAACAGTAACTGGTCCTATTTGAACAACCTGGCGTCCCAATGATTCCATCATGCTATCAACGGTTACACCTCCCTGTTGTGCAAAAAAATGAAAAATAAATTAATAACAATACTGTAGTTGAAATACGTAGGCGTGGACCTGGCTTTGGCTCTCGCCCGTCGATATCGTAGATGCCAGCAACGAGATTCTCCATGCGTCTCATGCCTGCTCCAGTGCCCATCTTGCCTCCCAGGGTCAGATATTCCAAAGCCGTTGGAGGCATTACACTATGTCCTTATGCCCGGATAGGCCTGTATCGTCAGCAGCGATGCGCCCTATTTTGCTTTTCGTAGTTAGAAAAACGATAATCATCATATTCTCAAGCATCTCCTGAGGGCTATCATCGAACTCGTCAAGCCATCCTGCACAGGCCCCCAGGCCTCAGCTTTAGACTCATGTGGGCCTCTCCAGCTTTTACTCGAGATGGAACAAGTACCAAGTGGGAAGCACGATGCCTTGACGCCCGGCGCGGGCGGCCATATGGGAGACACTCTCACCTGCAGTGTTCCGTGTAAAGAGATAGCTCCGAAGCACCTCTTAAGCCAGCGTTCAGAATTCAGACCTCTTTCAAAGTTGTCATACATAACAGTGTATTTCCCGTTGTCTATCGATTGAAACAGCGATCTTCCCTACTGTATTTCGATAGCCCTAATACCCGTCTGCAGCAGAATGTCCTCACTTGGGGATTATATTGTCCCCAAAGCTAACATAAAACCTGCCGAGACCACTATCGTACCTATTGCTTTATGAGTCACTATTGGTGCTAGATACAGCGAAAGACCTTACACTTGCCTAATATATATAATAATACACTAAACCATCCATCTTGAGCCTCAATCACTGTTAGTACCTACATCCATCAACAACTCCGCATGCAACTTTGACAACCCAATCCAGTCTACACCACTAGCAATCAAGTGAATTTGTCTTCTATGAGTCGTTCTTGCCTGTCTTGCCTGTCTTTCTCTGATCTCGAACCATAGATCAACACTTACCCGCTCTATTGAAGGCTTCCTACCTTTGCTACTCCAACTTTCATTTCTCTTCTAAACACTACTGCCAACAAGAAGCCAAGCTCGCTGGCATTTGAGTAAATCTGACTCCTGCAAGTCGACCTTGCCTCTATTGTTCTTACCTAGAACAACAAATCCACTCCTACCGCCGCTTTACTATTTCTCTCCTAGACATCAACCGCTAACAGCAAAATTGGCACCTAAAAGTTCAGTCACTACAATCAGAGGGCCCCCTCTAGCCTAAGGTCAAAGTTTAACAACAAAAGCTGATTTGCCACCTATTACATACCCAGACAGACACACTTTCTCAGCGCAGTTCCCAGAGAGGTAAGTTGAGATCGCATGCTGAGTGCTCTTCCTTCTTTTATGCGGAGTGAACTGTGCAACCTTTCTTATCACTTTAAGTAAGTCAACTACTTCATAAGTCTCTGTCTTAGATTAACACTCATCACCTTTAACATAACAACACACACACATGACCTTCACCATCTACAAATCAGCCTCTTGTCTTCTATCTTTAGGGTAATACACAGCATCACAACAGCTCATATCTCATTTTAGCTAATCAAACTATAGGGGCCACATACCTCTTCTCTTTAAGAGTTGTGTGTGTCTAGAAAGAGTTACTCTATCTATCCTTAATGTCACATTTCACCAGCAGTTATATCCCGCCCTAGTTTATCAAGCAGACTATTTATATTCACTGAATCACCTTGATCCCTTCAAACATATAGCTCGGTCTATACTTTGTTTTCTGCCCTTTATCACATGGCCCTTAAGACGTACTGCATTCTAAGCACTTTCTTCTAACTATCTACAGGCTGCTACTCTTTCTAACGTTACTAACATAAGCTGACCAGAAACAACAGAAGACAAAGAGAGTACTTCTATTGCTACAATTGGTTACAGGTACGTTCATTTATTTTAACTCTTCTGTCATTCGATACCCTCGTCGATTCCTCCTTTGATACCTACTTTGATACTTCGATCAGATCATTCAATTGTTCGATCATTCGCTCCTGCCTCGTAGTTGGCAGTGCACTACAGACTAGAACTCTCCAAGAAGCCAGTCTTTTACCTCAATGACCTCCTTTCTTTCCAGCTACTTCCCTGGGTGGTAGGTTAGCTATACCGGCTGGTTGCACTTTCCATATCTTCTGGAGACTGACGGCACTCACCATCCTAGAACATTCGACCCTCTGCTCTTTCTCTCTTCCCTCCCCATACCTACGGGCGCACCTCCCTCTTTGGCACACAACACTCCTATGCAATTGTTCCTCTCCCCTCTCTTGTCGCATCCATCCTGCCATACACAATCTCTCCTTCTTCAATACAAAGAACCCTTTCTTTCTCTTCCTCCTTCCTCTCCCACTCACTCAAAAACACATCACAATTGATCCAAGTCCTCCGAACGATTTCCTCTCTCGTGCGCATCATTTTCCTTGTATCTAACACCACGAAGCAGGCGCGATCATTTTTTTCCCGACTTACACCTTCGCACCTTCCATTTACCTATCCTCGCCATTTTCTCCAACCTCTTTCAACACTCAGTCACACTCATGGCTGCAACCAGTTCAACCCTGCCTGCTCCCATTGGAAGCCCTCCGGTGTGGGCTGAAAACCGCCAAGCGCTTTGCGATGCCCTTCCGTACTTCAAGGCGCATGAAGGAAGCATTTACACAAAGGACAAGCTCATCAAAGGCATGCTTCTCAACGCATTCTCTAGTGTGCGAGACTATCTGGGAGCAGAAGTCATTATCACCACACTGTTGGTTGCCATGTTCCTCCTTTTCAGCTTCATAACCACTAATTATTGCTACCTATGACAGTGGTGGCGGCAAAGAGAAAGACAGTCAGGGAAATCTGGTCCGTGTCAAGCAAGTACGCCCCTTTGTGCTCGAATCTTGCCATACGGCCATGAAAAGTGGAACGCCCATTGGAATGATCCTAGGTAATATCATGCATATGTCCTTTTACCTCAAGGCTTGAGCTCACTATCAACCAGGCAAACACTACCCGGGCTTGTCTGTTGAGATGAAGCACGCCTTCAACGTCCTTGCTTTCTTCAGCATCACAGATATATGGTCTGAGAAGGATGAGAGAGGCTTTCCTATTCATAAGATTCGTCTTGAAAAGACTGATCGCTCTGTACCGTCTTGGTGGCAGTCGAAGTCTGAAGTACAGGACATTGTCAAGCTGGAGGAGTTTCCTACACACCAAGCCAGCTGCTCCAAGTGCGGGATCCCATCCAAGCAGACATTCAAACAGAACTGGACTTGTCTGAATGCTAAGTGTGAAGAATGCTTCGTCTTTCCTCCAGTTGTTGACATCTTGGAGCTGACCACTTCTTCCACACACGCCTCCTCTCTTGCATGGTGTGTTGACTGTCATCAGGGAAGCAAGACAGTCTTCTCCTGTGGTTGGGTCTGCCTCAACCATAAATGCGGCAAATTCTTCGCTTTTACTGCTGGAATCGATGTCAACCAGCTCACCTACTCAGAGGACTTTCTTCTGGAACGAACATCTCACCAGGTTCCCCAACAGCCTCTGCAGCCGCCTATTCCGGACATTACCATGCCAGGCTTTCTGGGCACAGAGAAAGCCATGCGTGATGGAATCATCTGCCCTGAGTGCCACCGCTGTGCAAGACGAGTGGATTGGACAAAGTGGACTTACGAGGACCCTCTTTGCCACTTCACTCTGTTTGCCCCACCCCTGCCTCTCTCCTTGGAAGAGGTTCATGCTGAGGAAGCCCAGCAAAGACAGAAGAAGACCTTTGAGTCTAAGATCTTGGATGAAAATATCCTAGAGGCCAGAAGCGAGTCGAATGGCTATACTGTTGAACAGTATCTCCTTCCGGATCCGCTCAATGTAAGTGCCATCATTGGATCAGTCACTGTCTTTCGAGCGACTCGAGCTATCAATGCTATCGAGGGCGCTCCCGATCAGATGTGGGGTCTCCTCCAGCACGATACCGCCCAAGACTTTGGCTTCCGAAGACAGCCTGCTATCCATCCTGGACGTATGTACTGCCTTGCTTCTCTTCACTGATTTATGTGACTGACATGCCTTAGTGCCTACTGAGAAGTTGACCCGCAACTTTCTCCAGAATTGGGGCGCCCCGTACAAGTTCGCTGTCAATGTGCATTCGAGGCCATTCTCAGAGGCTCCAGACTCTTTGATTGGAGCGCTCAAGAGGATGCAATGGGCTGGTCAGAAATCAGTCGACATGACTAGCGATACCGTGGACGCTTATGCACAGCTGCCCAACTACAGCGAGATGGCTCGATGCGATACGCTCACCGAGGACTTCGTTGACTTCAACGAGCTTCTTTCCATCGGCTACATGGAGGAAGACAAGATCAGTGTGAGTTAGGGTACCGCCTTGCCTCTTGATTATATACTTATTGACCTTACTGAAGTACCACGACGACGGAGAAGACACTCTGGGACCTACTGTGGCCACTCTCTCGCTCGGAAGTCCATCACTGATGTCCTTCAAAATGAAGAAATCTTATGCTGGTAAGGACAAGAAGGTCCTCCAACTTACAATGTTCCATGGTGATTTGGTGGTCATGCATGGTACCCGAATTCACCAGGCGTACTTGGTATGTGTCCCCCCTTTTGTCTTGGAACCACTGGTTAACACTTAGCAGCACAAGGTTGTACCCAAAGGCAAACGTCGTTTTGCCTTGACCTGCCGAAAGATCGTCCTGGAGAATATCAAAGACGACGATGTTCGAGCTGAGGCTGTCCAGAACAGCATTATTCCAGAGGTCTCAAAGCTCTGGGACTACCCAAAGGTCGAAGATAGTGAAAGTTGTGAAACGAATGCTCGCTTGTTTAAGCGTGCCAGTGATGATGCGCAGACCACGTCTCGCACAACGAAGCGAAGCAAGACTAACACTTAAGCATCCGGCATCAAGTTCCAAGATCTGCAAAATCTGCATGAAATTATACCGGACTTGGGGTCGTCAAAGACATGAATATATGATAGGGGGGTAGAATGGTACTGGAACGGGGTGTCTTCTGCCGGGGGGTTCTTCTGATTTCTGGGACAGCGTTTCATAGACGATGCGCAGCGGGGTTTCGATCTCTGATATTTCGTTCTTCACGGCGAAATCATTCACTTCAAGCGGGTTTGATGCGGGAGATATTTCGGAGATGGCTTTTCTTTTTAGACTTGCTTTATAACGGCTTGGCTCGGGTCTGCTGCTTCCGCAGCCACTTCATTTGACATTGGCCGTATGTCCATAGCTCAGATAGTCCATAGGGAGGATTTTTAGCAGCTTTCATATAGCGTTTCGAGCTGCCTTTGACGTGATTGACCGAGAGCGTTGAACACTTGACCGGGACCGCTTGTCGCACGAAATGCAAGCAGGTAAGCCATATTATGTGGATCTGGGATGAGCACAAGACATACTGGTACCGTCGATATCTAGATGTGGAAGAGGATGCCAAGCGGTAAGCTAAGCAATGGGAGACATGTCTCTACCTCGGACTTTGCGGCACGAAAGAGGGGTTCTTCCGTCATTTCGGACAAGCAGCCGGCGCCCAAGGCGGTTCTGGCCAAAACGGCCCCATGGGCCGTCCGTCCCCCAAGGCCCGGCCAGTCCATCGCCGACGCGGCACCCCCTCTCCCCTAACCCCATTCGTCAAACGGGGAGCGAGAGAACAAAATATCTTCCAGGACGGTAGACCTGGATCCGGGGGGAGGCGCCGGGCGCCGCGGTGATCATTTGTTCCAGATCGCCGGGGCTGGTGGAGTGAAGGTACCTAGGAGAGCACGCAGGGTGGGCATGGTACTTGGGTAGACGGCGCTGCGAAGAAGGCACACCGCCGGATGGGGGTTGGGACGTGTCTCGGCCCACGAGCCCAAAACAGCCCAGCTCTTCGCCCGCCATGATGTCATTCGCAAAACAAAACCACCAAAAACGCAGGAGCAGCGTGCGCTTTCGGACACAGCGTCTACATGAGACGGCTTCTCATCAGGTCTTGATGAACGAAGAGAGGGGGGGGGGGGGGGGGGTTCTATTATGCGTAAACACATACGAGCGAGCATGAGCGGGAATATGTTGAGCTTGAGAGTTAGGCATATCTTTTATTTCCCCTTTATTTTTCTTCGGTTCGACTTAGAAAAAGCAAAACCCAAAATGAATAAAGAGTTATAGCCATTGGGTATCCTACTTCATTGGTATCGTAACGGGTCGTAAAATAGCGTCTAGCTAGATCCTAGCCCTTCCCAGCTGTCGAGGTATCACCACTCATGTAAAAAGTAAAAGCTGTGACTGGTTGGCTGGCAGTCATGAAAACTTCTATCTGCATCCGCAGATGCCTTGGTGCGCTCTCTCTTTTGGAGAACATGTCTCGCAATGCAAAAATGCGTGAAGAAACAAAAAGAAGAAGAGAAAGAAAGAAAAGAAAAGAAAAAAAATCATGTCCCCGCCCAAGCACTTGGTATTCTTTTCGGGTATCCTCGTTCTTTTGTTGTCGATAGCATCACATCCATTCCTTGCCAATCTGGCGTCTCAAAAAACGGCCGCAAACGTCATTAAGCCACCTAGTAATAGACATAGGAGCCGCCCCTCGGTGAGGGATGACGCCGCGGAGGGGGGATCGGAGGGCGCCGCGGATGAGGGGCTGACGCCCGTGTTCCTCGAGGGGGTCGAGGAGCCGCCGTTCGATAACCCACCAGCGGGGTAGGACGAGGTAGGCGAGGCGCCGTTGGCTGTGGACGGCTGGGGGCAAAGTGTTAATGCGGTACAAGAAGACAACAGAGTAACATAGATCGGGGTCGGGGCCGGGGCCGGGCTGTTATCCAAAATCTTGGTAACGGTTGCCGGGTCGACAGTGGGCGCAAATATCGGGATGGCAGGAGCTGGAGAAGCAGGTGGACTCACTGCAGAAGCCGAAAGGGTTTCTTCGCCGTCCGGCGTAGTGGGACCTTGGCAGAGTCCTATGACGCCGCTGGGTATAGCATCGCTACCCTTGCCAACGGCCACAATCTTCTCCTGGTTGCAGGTGCTTGCCTGCGCCATGTGGACGAATTGGTTGTCCCAGTCGAAGACGAAGTAGCCGGCTCGCATCATGCTGTCACCGAGGATCTGCTGGTCGGTGGTGGTGACAAGACCGATGTAGCATTGGTCATCGGAAGGACCCAGGTCGAGGATGAAGTCACTCAGCGGCACGCGGATGGTCTTTCTGCCAAACGTGAAGGTGACGTACGTATCGCTATCACTATTGCGCAGGGAACAGGCCGCAGTCCAGTAACCGTCGCTGCTGCTCGTGGCCTTGAGGTCTGACAAAATGGGGCGCGCGAGGGAAGGGTGCAGGCGCGTGAGTGTTGTGCCGGAGTCGATCATGACGTTTCTGTCCTCTGGGGCCAGGTTGTAGGTCTTGGCGGAGTTGGACAACTTCATACCGACTCCGGTAAGCTCGACAGCGAGACTTTGGCGGTGTTAGCACAGACAGGTCTCATTCGGAAGGAGGATGAGATGATGGACCCTGAGATGACTATACTTACCGGGGCTCGCCCTTGGCGCCATTGACCATGGGAACTCGTAGGAGCTCACCAATGAACTTGCCGGTGTCGACACCGCCGTAGATGAGAGCGCCTGAGTCTGAAGACGCATGACGTAGATCCAATGAGAAGATGCGGCTCCCGATGATACCCTGATCAGCCAGACTGTTGAGAACCAGGCTGTACGGTTGGCCGGCGGCGAAGCCAGCCTTCAGGTCGGGGGCCAGGCCCATGATGCCAGTAGCGATGCCATCGCTCTTAGTGACGACTCCGAACGTCTGGTTGGACAAGATGCCATTACCCATTGTGATGCTATCTGAGTAGTAGGCGATCTCGGCGCTCGTCTGAGTGTTGGGAGCTGAGGGATCGCCGTAGTTGAGTCTACGAGTGCCAGTGGGGCCGCTCGGCGGGGTGCGACTGTTCCGCGGGTTGTACTGGCCGGCAGCGCTGCATTGCTTGGCCTGGGCGGCCGAGGGCGCCGTGGCGCAGTCGGGGTTGACCCAAAGCTCAGAAGAACCCGTGTCGAGGAGAACGGTCACCTGCTGTCCGGGTGTGCCAATGATGACTATTTGTTTTGAGTCGTCGTCAGTCGAGCCCATACGGAAGGAAGGAGCAGAGGGCAGGATGGCTTCTCACCGTCAGTGGAGTAATAAAACTCCCGATTCTTAAGGACGACCTCGATTGCGTCTCTCTTGGTGAGATGGTCCAGGTTGAGTCTGGTCTGTCTGACCGGCATGGCGATGTAGCCTTTACCCTCGGTAGCGCTGGGTAAAGACAAGGCAGTGGCTGAGCTCACTATACCCCCTACAACGGCAGCGATACCACCTGTCCTCATCTTGGGCGATTATGAATTTGGTTTTTTTGCCGTGAACAAATTCAAAGACGAAGATGGTAGAAAAGTGAGATTCGTAATAAATGGGTGTAAAAAAAGTGAACGGAGTGACCCAATAATCGAAGCAAATGCAAAGAGAGATGAGGCTCTGTAGATTGGGGAACATCGGTAGATAAGCAGGAGGAGAAGGCGAAGTAAGAAAAGAGCTACTAAGGATAGATCTTCAGCTTCTAGAGCGACGGAGTTCATGGGCCCGGTCTGGGGTGTTGGGTGGCTTCGGGTTGCGAGAGCTGGGCCATTTGGAGAAAACAAGTCAAAGCCATACAGGCTTTGCTGCATGCACTCGTGCTAGTCGTCGATGGCCTTGGTCGTAGTTGAAAGAAAACAGAGAGAAACATGTCTCTCCTCCATCTGCCGTCCCATGCTTCACCGTCTGTTTGCGGTTATGTTCCAAGACGCAGGCTTTGGGCCCCGACCTCTGGTTCCTGTGCCAGATCTTCGGACCATACCTCGACCCAGACACTGCCTGCACGGTCAAAGACCCGGATATTCTTGAGATTACCTCTATTGGAACATTTCCATTTCCGGGTTGGTGAAGTCGTACCAAGGGAGCCGGTTTGTGTAGCACAGAATCCGATTCCCGCATGCGATATCTCCCCTGGGCTCAATGCTTCCGTCCCATATGTTTGCCCACGTGAGGTTCTGGCCAAAGACCTACAGCACTGGTCAAGTCTGAAGGCAAACGGCCTAATAAGGACTGTTGTGGCAGCTAATATCACCCGCTGAGAAAGAATTTCCATGCTCTAGTTACGTTTTTCTATCAACGGGCTCGGAGTACTTTCTCATGGTATCCGAGACATACACTCGAAGATGGCGACCAACGGCCGGACGCTGCTTGCTTTGGCTGCGCTGGTCCCTTGGACTGCACTATAACACATGGCATCGAGACTTTGGATGAGCCAGAAACGAAGCTGTCGATGGAAACTTCCGAGCCTGAAAGCAAAGGAATTCTCAAGAACAGCCATGGGCCTTGTGAGACTAATACCTGGGAAGTTAGAGACTTTGATAGCTGTATACCATTAAAGAAAATTTCAAAGACTAGCTGTTGACCACTTGCTACGGGCTCAGCTTGGGGCCCTCCCCTCTTGACTAGATTATAAAGTATAGCTTCGTCTCCTGTATCCCGGCACGAAGTCGCCGCTCAGCAAGGTCTATCAAGTTTGACAGGGAACGTTACTTGGCAATCAAATCAAAAGCTTCAAGGTGGAAAAAAAGATTAAAGTGGAAGGGAGAGGGTCATAAGACGAGGCAATGTGCAGGAAAACCGATGTTGGTAGGTTGGCCCCCTTGACTTCATCTCCAATACTCGGTGAGCCTCGGTGAGCGATGTCTCCAGCTTCGAGTCTGTGATCGGCGAGCAGGCTCCACCAACAAGGGTAATCGGCCTGGGGTGCGTTGCAACTGGACTGCCAATCAGCAGGTGACAAACCAACCACCCTCTTGAGGAACGGACGTCGCTGAACTGTTACGTCACATCACATTCAAACACTTGTTTGACGTATGTGACACGCAGCCCTTTGAGTCCTCGAGGGATTCAAGGTAATATCGTATAGCCATCCTAGTAGACCGAATGACAATGATCGATTGCTATGGACCTTGTGTACGTGAAAAAGAAAAACGAAAAAAAAAAGTCACCCGCGACGCCTCGTACGTGAGCTTCTCCAATGATGCAACGGGAAGGGCAGTTTACTTCGTGGTATTGTTGCTGGCTTCGTCATAGTTGAGACCAGTAGGGCATGAAGATCAAATTTGACTGAGACTCCCCAAAGCGAGGGCGGAAGGTGTTGTCCTAGTCCGGTCGTGAACGTTAAAATGGGTACGGTTCTGTTCGTGGTGTGGATGGATAAGCTTTATAGACAAGGTGAGAGGGTTCTTCTGTTGATTAGACGTTGATAGCCACGCCCCATCAACGTCGTAATCTGAGCATCATCAGCGAGTCGGCAGAAGCCGCTGAAAGCTTTGAGAAGTTCACCAGGGACTAGCCGATTTGGACTCGCTCCACGTCCAAGGACCGTATGAGATCCCTACAGCTCGATGAAGGGGACGAGGCCTTGAGGTGGGCAGATTAGTTGGGTGTATTGCGACGAGACTGGTTGGTGACGGCTGAAGCCACGAGACTGCGTATCATGATGTGGCAAAGTTCCGGAATCCAATATTGCCCCGAGGACTACCAAAATGGGTTGTATCGGGGTTGTCGAGTCCAAGGACGCCGGATGTTGCGGGAGGTGCAGAGGAGTGGAACGTAGCGTGGTTGAATCGCAATGTGATTGGTCGCAAGTACGGTGTTAAATACCTTTCCCGGGTCAGCCGTTCTGGCTGTCAAGCAGTCCGTGATGTTGGTGTTGACACTCGCTTACTCGCAAGTGACAGCACGGGGTGGTGTGGGAGAGTGTCCTAGGCCGAGCGGCGTCCCATGTAAAGAACAGCGGTGGTTCCCTGTGGCTATCCGCTACAGAAATTGTTCCGAGTAGAGTCATGAGATCCGAAATTCGGGCTCGAGATGGATGGTGTTGGCTCAGTTGGCAAAGCTCGAAGGGGCTGGGATGGAAAGACTTCACATGCCAAGGCGAAAGCCAGATCAAGTGGGCTGAATCCCACAAGGGACCGAGACTGGCAGATACCCGCAAAGCTTCAATCACAAGGACGAGCGGTTAGGACGGACGGCAGGCGTTTGTTGGGAAAAGAATAAAGGCTTAGTAGGACAGTTGAGAACCTGTGCGCACAGCAAGTAGATGGGATGCAATGCTGGCGACATTGGATGGGATGGCGGTGAGTGCCGCTGTGGTAGACAATTGGATAAAAGTTGAGAGTGAGACGCAGGCAGGATGCAGATGACAAAAAGAAAGACCACAGTGGGACAGTACTTTTGGAAGGAAGAAATGCTTCCGTAGGTACCTCGGCTGGTATCTTAGCTACCTATTTCAGGTGGCTAAGATACCTAGCTCACGCATACCGTATACGGAGTAGAGGTCTTCCATCCCTAACAGCGGCCGCCGCCGCATGCTTGTGGATTAGGATGGGCCTGTGTGCATCGAGTCCGAGCACCTGTTGGAACTCTCCGAACGGGCGGGATCATCCCAGCTGCGCTTTCCGTTCCAGACATACCTTGTGGACCACATTTCTCGCCTCCAAAACACCAGCAAGAGAATAGCCGGGAGGACCAAAATAGACGGAAGGGGAAGATGGATGTTTGTTTGGTCCCAAACACCTAGATGGGATCCCTCGGCACCATGTAACCATGTAGACGGCCTGCCACAGAGAGCAGAAGGGGAAAAGGGATAGGTAGTGAAACATGCGCCCAATGACAAGTGCGTCCTGCACCACAAGCTGGAGGAACAGCTGTCCGTTCTGGTGGCTTTCATACAGTGCCATGTTCGTCGCTGGTAGTACCTTGGCCAGTCCTCAATGGTATTTGATGTCTGGTGTCCATTGAGTTCTACAATCCTATCATTGTGCCAAGAACATAAGGGATAAAATAAAAGGATGCATCTACTGAGCCACCAAAGACTGGTCAGGGCAGATTGCCATTCCGCGCTCGACAGCAGCCTAAACCGGCGAAGTTACTTCGCTATGTTGATCAGCACCAGGCTGGCTTGCTCAGTACTGGACAATATGTACTGTATGGTCCTGCCGGCCAACCAGCCAGCCCCCCTTTGCCCCTCGATAGGTAGGTGAGCCTGGTAATGGCGAATTGCTGGCGCCAAAGGGGAGAGGCAACGTTATACATCTCACCTGACGTACCCCCCCCCCCCCCCTTTGGCTGACCTGACCTAGGCCCACTTTGCTGACCAAGAGATGGTGAAGACAAGCCCCCTTGCGCTTGTGGATTAGAGCAACGAACGCATCACCCGCTGGGAGCCGGGACGCCGGACCTGGATGGCCCCCCCTTGCCCCCGAGATTACCATCTCGCCATTCACACAGGCGCTTGTCCGTCTTCGGGTCGCAATCTCATCTCCAAATCGCGTCCCCCCTCTTGCACATGTCTCCCATCCCCTGGTACATTGAGGGCATGCATTTTTGTGGTGCTGTTGTCCGAACATGTGTTCAAAATGTAACAGTCGGTTCTCCATCGTTTCCACTCAAGCTTTTGATTATACATAGGTAGAAGGGGGAGAAACTTCATCTGTAAATAGGTAGACTGGATACGCTCGGACAGGTTGCCGAGAGTCTCTCTATTACTATACGATGGACCCATCGGGTAATTGCCCAGTGCGGGACAGTCGGGCTCAAATGATGACGAAGAGGCAGTCCGGAGCAAGACGACAAGGTGGTTCGGTGCAGAAAGCAATTTCATGTCGAGCGTCCGTGTCCGCGTCCGCCGACGAGGAACCCTTCCCAACTCTCATTGCATGCTACTATGTACAGTAGGTACCTACAGACAATGGTGCAAAGCACAGCACATGGGAGGTATCCCAGCGCGCAAGGTACCGCATTTGATTCCCACAGGCGAGCCATGTGTCTATCTGTTACTTTTACCAACGCGCCGTGCTTACCCCCTCCAGTCCACTTGGCCTGACCGGGCCTGGACTTGAATCTACGTAGTATGCCTGTTGGCCTGTCTCTTCTAGGTTGTCTGCCACACCCCAAATTATCGTCCGCTGGCTTGTTCAGTGCGCCTGCTTCCCTCTCCCAAATTTGTCCAATGCCTCACTCCTTCTTTGCTTTTCGTGATCTATGCCGATGACGACGACGTCCGCTTCCTCGTATCTGTTTGACCTGACGCGCGAACGAACGCCTCCTGTTGCCTCTTCTCTCCAAAACCCTCGATGCTTTTTCCTTCTCACCTCCTAACACTACCATCCACGAGGTAGTCTCCCGACGTCTCCCCTCGCTCATTGGGCTCCGATCCCACCGGCGTCATGAACGCGATTCAGCAAAAATGTCGTCCGAAGCACCAAGTGCTGGTGCTCAAGTGCTACCCGCGAACAAATAAAGGTGCTGTCGATGTGAAGCCGAACTCGAGCGAGTTAAGCTACCTGCTGTTCTACGCCACCTCCCGCCGCTCCAAGATCCAAAAGATTGGCTCCTTCCTCGAGAAGAAGACCGCCAGCGATGTCTGGCGCCTGCGCATCGGGTTTGTTGATCCTCCCCCAGACGTCGTTGGGCGAATGCGTCGCTGACCAGAGCCTGTCCAGAAATGTCCAAGTCACCCTCCGGATTCTCACGGCACTAATCGAGAAAGCACCCAAGGACTTGCCGCTTGTGGCTCCGAATGTGCTCAAAATCCTCGATCTCATCCTTGGATCAAAGGACATAACCATGGTGGAGTCCTCCATTCCTACGTTCGAGGCCTTTTGCGAAAATCACGACGCCTCTACTTCCTTTGCCGACCAGGCGTACCTTGCCCAATACGAATCGATCGTCCGCACCTACGCCTCGCTCTCGTCGACCCGTGAAAACCCAGGGAAAGGAGCTTCGAGCAAGCCTGTGCTGATGCGATGGAGAAACGCAGGCCTCGAGGCCATCAGGAGCGTGTCCTCTTCAGAGGCCCTGTCTACCGTCACCGGTCGTCAGTTTGACGTGATCGTTCCCGTGATTTTGGATAATCTCTGGTGGGGCGACGAAGAGTTGCTCGACACGCTTCTGTCGCGCATCCAGATGGAAGAGAAGGTACTGACCGAGAAGCTTCGCCGTAGGACGAGTGTCGCAACTGTCGAAAGCGGCGGCACTGGCGGCGAAGCCAACCCTATTGCACTGACAGGCACCGCATTCGACGTGGATAAGCTGGCAGAAGAGGACATCGGGGTTCTTGCCATGCAGTGCTTGAAGCAGATCTTCGTCGTACCCAACAGGCCACAGATTCATTCCGCCACCGGCTCCCTTTTGCACTTCATTGAGAGTCGCGTTGCGAACGGCGACACGGTCGTCAAGACGGACGAAAAGTCTGGTAAGGACTACGGGTGGGCAATCAGCATTTACAGCGCCATTGCGCGATGGGCGCCCGTGCAAGATCGCTATGTCATCCTGGTGACCGCCATGGATCATCTCTTGAAAGCGCCCGTCAAGGACGACAACCTGAAGCTGCATCTCACATTTGCGGCCATGATTGGATCCTTGCTGCGCTCTGATATCAACCTGATCGGGCTGAGCGCCATGGACGTTCTGCTGGGGCTCATTCAGCACATGAAGAAGCTGATCCAACTCCCTGGTGGCTTTGGTAGAGTAGAAGGGGATGCCGAGGAGACTCCTTCCAGTCCGCAGGGCTCCGGGGACGTCTTCGCACAACGGAAGGAGCTTCTTGAGAGAATCCAGATCTGCATTGGAGACCTCGCAACACACGTCTATTACGCAGACCAGATCTCGGACATGATATCGACCATCCTCCTCCGCCTCAAGCCCTCAAAATCCTCGAGCACCACCTCCTCACCTCGGGCGGACGATGCCGAGCAGCCATCCTCGGACGATTTGAGCTCTAGCCAGCCTCAGCTGGAAACCATTCTTTCCCGTAATGTAGGCAAAACTGCCGCTCTGAAAGCCATCAAGAACATTCTCCTTGTTGCGAACCCGCGGGCGCAGATGTCTGGCAACTTGAACCTTTCACGAAATAGAGTCCCGATTCAAGTATGGGAAAATACACATTGGCTCCTGCGGGATCCGGACGGCGAGGTCAGGAAAGCCTACGCTGATGCGCTTTTGACCTGGCTTGACCGCGAAACGACGCCGTCAGACTCGAAGGCGCGGGACGAAGGCGCACAACATTACCGCTCCTCATGGAACAAAAACGGCCGCGAGCTTCAGCCAGCCAACGTCGCTCAACGTGCCGCCTCGAACGTCTCAACCCGCGAGAAGCCGTCGCGGCAGCGGTCGCACTTCCTGCAGCTCCTTCACATTGCAATCTACGACAACGCACTACAATACGTCGACTACGACCCGGACATTGTGCTCCTTCACGTGCTGCTCACCAAGCTGGTGTACCAGCTGGGTATCAACGCAGTCAAATACGGGTTACCCATGGTGTTCCGCCTTCAGGAGGATATCCCGGATGCGGAGCTTCCAGTGCAAAAGGTCCGACTTGGCAGTCTCTGCCATGGATACTTCTGGGCAGTGACTGAAAAGTTCGACATTGAGAACTCTGCCGTCGGGCGCGCAATCACCAACGAAGTCATTCGAAGACGCAGCAAGCATTTCTGGACCGAGGGCGTGGCTATCCCGCCTCCGGGACTGGATCTCGTTGGTACCCCTGGGATTCCTAAGTTGCAGACAAGGCTGCCTTCCACCGAGGTCGAAAGCGAAGCGCTACTGCCTTTTGATGACCGGGAATCACTTGTCGAGAGCATCTGTGTGAGTTATGCAGACACAAGCATCTCACCGCCGAACAGTCCTCCTCAGTCACCTGGTCGTAATTTCTCACACCCTATTCTCAACACCTCAATCACCAGCGCACCTGCAGCGCCAGGGACAGAGCTGCCTGCCTCTTTTCGAGAGCACATGCTTACGGACTGGTCAAGGGATGCTGCAATGTTAGCACTGCAGGCAGGAAGCAAATCGGAATCTTTGGCTGGCTCGAAAAATGGCACTATGGGGACCAACCGACACCACCTCACGGTCAACGGCGCTAACGGCCACGGGCAAGCGGGCGAGTCGTCGCCGCTTGGCAGCCAACGCAATCTTCGTCCTAATTCGTCCCAGGTGCTTGGGGGCTTGTCTCCCATGAGGCAGCTGCGCAAGTCCAGTGTTCGGAGCGGTGTTTCGCCCTCGCCCTCGGACTCTAGCCGGGGCGTGGTTGCGTCTGTCGATCAGCTGAAGATGGTATTATCAGGGCAAGCACCGGCAACACCCATTGGCACCTCAGCCGGGCTGCATCACGACAGCGATAGTGATAGTATGGTCAGCTACGACTTTACGCCATCGGAACTCAGCTTCAACCCGGGTGCACCACAAACAGAAAATGGCGACGGGGCTTCTCTAGGGCGGCCACGGTCTTCATCTCAGTCACGCAAGGGCGGGCCTCTGAATTCGAACCCTTTGTACGAACACAACGAGGACGAGCAGGTGCCGCCTGTCCCGCCACTGCCCATTAATATCGGCGGACTGGCATCCTCGATTTCTATTCAAGATTATGCGGTCAAGCCAGCGAAACGGAACTTGAGCAGCCGCGGTGGCGATAGTGTATACCATGGATCGGCAAGAGGGGATGGGAACTTTCCGATGGTCTCGGGCGGGGGGATGGATTTGCACGAACTTCTCAACGGAATCGACAGCAAGGCGGGAGAGCTTAGCCTGGGAAACGTCACGAAGCCGCCATACTAACGTAATGGACCTAGGCGGTGTATTCAAATTTTGTATTGCTACAGCCAGGAGTAGATGTATAGCGAGGCGCAAAGCCGAGGGTTTGCACTTGTAACAAGCAGCCTTTTCTTCGAGATCTATATAGCAAATTGCCGCCAATGGCGACCCTGTGTTCAATTATTGTACCTAGGTACTTGCTCGTCACCGAGTACACATAAGGGTGTGTCCCTTGCTTCCAGCCAATCGGTTCATGTGTTTTTATGGGGGCCAACTGCAAAGCTCCCGAAAATTAATCGACTTCCTTTGTAGCTCCAATAGCTCCTTCCAATCCACTACTGCAACCTCTCTGTAGTCATTTACACGCAAAAGTCGACACGGAAGAAAAAAAATGAAGCGCTCGACCCGCATACCTCTCCGACTCTTTGCGGCGTCGTCGCCGATGACGACAGCGGCCGGCTGGCCGTGCTTCGCTGCCGCTGCCGCCGCCGCCTCCAGAACCATCTCGACTACAACGCTCAAGCCTGCCGAGGTCGCGCCCGTCGTTGGCACCGGTCCGCCACCTGAACCCCCCGTCCCGGATCTTGCCGCAGAAGATCGGGCGGCGGCTGCGCGCGCGCGCGTCGAGAGGAGGAAAAGACAAGCAGAGATGTTGAAGCACGCCAAGATCATCCGCACATCGGCGGAGGCGAAGGCAAGCAAGCCGGGCGCTCTGAAGAGGAGGTTCTGGAACGATGTCAACGTGCAAGAGGTCGATGGTGAGCTTCGCCGCGTCAACTATGGTGTCCCGTGTTTTGTAGACTGGGTTTCGAGCTAACCAAGCACCTCGACAGGCGCTCTCCAAGTCCACCTCGACAACCGTCCCCTCCGCCACCCCAACACCAAGGAGATCATGCGTCTGCCGGTCTCCAAGCAGCACCTCGCCTCCGCCCTGGCGATCGAATGGGACTTCATCACCTCGGCCCAGCAGGCAACCAAGCAGCACATGATCCCCCTTACCTCCCTGACCTGCCGCGCCCTCGACATCGCCGAGGACGATGCTGCCTCCGGCGCGATCCGCCAGTCCATCGCCACGACGCTGATGCGCTACCTCGACACCGACTCCCTGCTGTGCTGGGCGCCCCCGGCTGGCCCGCTGGACACGCGCAATGATGCGGGTGAGTCTTTGAGAGACGTCCAGAAGCGCACGGCTGAGGAGGTCATCGGCTTCCTCACGGCGCGGGTGTGGCCGGGCATCGAGATCCACCCGGTCCTGGACGGGCATAGCATCGTGCCCAGGGCGCAGGCGGAGGGCGTGCGAGAAGTAGTGCAGGGGTGGGTCATGGGACTTGACCCATGGGAGCTGACTGGTCTCGAGAGGGCTGTCTTGGCGGGCAAGAGCCTCATCACCGCGGCGCGCTTGGTGACGGAGTGGAGCGAGGGCCCCGTCGGGGAGTGCCGCGACCCGGAGAGCCCGAGGAAGTTTGGCATCGAGGAGGCGGCGACAGCGGCGAGCCTGGAAGTCTCGTGGCAGATTGGGTCCTGGGGCGAGGTGGAGGACACGCACGATGTGGAGAAGGAGGACCTAAGGAGGCAGTTGGGGAGCGTCGTGCTGCTGGTCTCGGGCACGAACCGCAAGTGAAAGAGAGATACGAGTGGCAACGGAAGATACTCCGTGGTACTGTATAGATGGAGTGACCGAGATTTGTACATCAAACGGCATACATGGTCCCAAGGACTTCATGGTGCCCATGTAAGAGTAATAGCTTAAGACAATGTGGTCAGTCATGTCGCCCTGCGTGTTTGCCGCCTCAAGCGAAGCGTCTGAGCTCGTTCGAGAGGCGTCGTCCACAATGTACGCAGTATGCTTGGTATACCCACTGAAGCGACAGTGTGGCTCCTGCCAGGACCGGTACTTATCAGCCAACTAACAATCCTGGGCATAGGAGTTTCTCTCCTCGGCGGCGCCTCATGTCGCCGCCATCTGGGACGGCGACCACGCGTACCGAGCGAGGGATAAGTGGAAGAGACGGAGGGTTTCCCTTTCGCTCCACCGCCGCACGCCCGTGGTCCGCGTGTTGCGGGTCTAGTAGCCACTGAGTTGCTGAAGGAGAACGATACGGGCGAAACGGAGGGGCTTAAGGCCCGAGGTGAGGTGAGGTTGAGGAATCAACAAAAGTCGGGACGCTGAAGACGACCGGCCATCTGCTCGTCACCCAGAGGCTCATGGAAGAGCGCCACCGGTGGCGAGTGCCCATGGTGGCGTGTAGTAAGGTATAGGCAAAGGCAAAAGTGCAAGGGAAAGTCCGATGCTCTCGATGGAAAGCCTTTCTGCCAAGCTCGCCGGTTAAGGGGCCACTCTACCTACACAGGTTATCACTTGGACAGCCGGCGTTCAAACCACAATGTTGATTGAAAAAGCCCTTCCGCCCCTTTCCCCCCTTCCCCCCAATCACAAAGCACAGGCGGTTCTTATTGTCATTAGCATAGTTTGCACCAAGCCATCAATATATCATCATGAAGGTTTTTTTATACACAGAAACGGAACACAACGCGTCACAGAACAGGTAGGCGTGTCGGGTAACAATCGTCTCATCATTGTCCACTCTCTCATCGTCCGTGCCGCCAGCTATCCTCGTCAAGCCGCTGGCATATCGGACTCGGAGGACTGTAGCAAGATTACCAAGGGAATTTGTTGTCAAAACCGCAAGGAAAAGAGTAGATTCCTCCCTTATCGGTCCCTTGTTGTCATATCCTTTCCCCTCTTGAGTCAGCTCCGCTCCGCTCGCCGTGTGGATCATCAATATGCCCCGCGCACCTCATCTGCTTTTTCCTCTAAGGTCGTATTTCGTAACGGGAACACCGAAGTGTATGGCGTCGAAATCAAGCTTTCTCGAAAAAGTGAAAAAAAGAGACAAAAAAGCCTTCTGAAAAAGAAAACAAAAATCGGCGGTAATTGTACATTATCTTAAAGAAAACGGAGTTGGGCACATGCGCTCAAACTCGGCGGTGTCCATCGACCCCATCATGAATAAAAATAACCATTGTGCCCCTGTTTGCTCTTATACACATACGGCTAAGAACAAACAGGGAGCGGCCATGTTGCGTAGTGTATCATCAGAAAAGAATCCATGAACTCGGTAAGGCAAAAACAAAAGCGCAAAAAAAGAAAGAAAAAAAAATCAAGGGCGGGGGATTAAATGAAGGCTGTTTCGTCATGAATACGTAGAATCATTGCGAAACGAAGAGCCAAGTCAACGCGTCGAAGTCGGATTCCCGTAATCCGAAAACTCCTTCCACCTGCGCGAACTGCTGCTGCCCGGGGGGCAGTCAAACAAAGAATGTACAATAAATAGTGGCAAAAGCCTCGCAGTCGTCATGTAGAAAAGCGAGAGTTCATGCGTCGCAGAACGCCAGACTAAGGCCGGTCAGGTCGGCTTTTCGTCTTCGCTCGATCGTTCTCTGTTTGCTCGTCTACGTCAAGTCGCTTACGCCAGTCAGCCAGGCTCTCGCTGAGGCCCATCCCGACATCTTCATCCTTGCGTGTTGGGGTTACGGCGCCCTCAAAGTCGAAGGTGTTGCTTAGGCGATAGTTTTTGTTGGTGGCTTCCCAATGGGTTCGTAGCGTTTCCAGCTCGTTTGCCAGGTTGTCCAATGCTGTGCTATTGCGCCCATCGACTCCGCCCGAGGCGGCTCCATATGTGCTATCCATATCCGAGCTATCCTGGCGTTGGTGGCCCGTGTTTGTTCCGTTGGTGCCCCTCTCCGTCAGCTCGGACATCATGCTCGGTGCTTGTCTGCTCTGTCGACGGTAGCTGTCGACCGAGGTTTCAACTTGGTCTAGCAAGAGAGAGACCTTCTCCTCAGCATCCTGGGCTCGGCGCTCTAGAAGAATGTTTTCCTGTTGAAGCTCCTCTAAGTCACGGTGGTTGGCGGCAAGCTTGCGGGAAGCCTCTTCAGCGTCCTCAAGAGCGTTTTCGCGTTGCTTCTTGCTCTCCTCAAGTTCCTTTCTGACAGCCTTCAGCTGCTTCTCGAGCTGTTCGGTAGAGGCCTCTAATTCTTCCTCGAGAGCTTCTATCTTTGTTTGCAAGATGTGGCGTTCGCTTTCCCAGTTGGCAGATGCCGCTCCGGTATTGGCAGCAGCAGACGCCTCGACGCGCTCTTCGAGATCTTCGATCTCAGACTTGAGTTTAGCGTTCTCTGTCTTGTATCTGGAGAGTTGCTCCTTCAGCTGCTTGAGCATCTTCTCGGTGCCCTTAACGTAATGCACAGCAGACTGATAGTCGTTCTCGAGCTGGGTAAGTTTCTCGCGATAAGCGGCTTCGCTGGCCTCTTGCTGAGCCGCACTGCGCTGAGCGTTCTCTTCATGGGCGGACAGGGCAGCGTTGAGTTGATCCTCGAGATCCCGGATGCGTACTTGATCTGGGGTGTTGACGCGAGGGCTGCCAATGCTACGTGTCCGCGACATACCGGTGGGGCTTATCCCGCGCTCGACTAGAATGTCTTTCAAGGTGTTGTGCTGCACAGTCATCGCGTTGGTCTCTAGCTGCTGGTTCTGAAGCTGGTGCTTCAAATCCGAGTTCTTAGCCTGCAAAGATTGAGTGTCGCGCAGGGCCGCCTGGAGTTGTCTTCTGATTGCCACGCCCTCACGGCTGGATTGCTCCTGGTACACCTCCAAGCCAGCAATGCGCTCCTCTGCAGTGCGGAGTTTGTCAGCAGCAGCATCGGCTTCCTGCTGGTATTTTTTGACCAGAGCTTTGGCTGCGTCGAGTTGGCCTTGCAGCGCCTTGAGCCTTTCACTATCGGTCTTGCTATCGGATCCAACGTCTCTCGACGCGGCAACCTTATTGAAGCTGGCAAGCACCGCCTGCTGGTGGAGTTTAGCCTCCTTTGCATGCTTCTCAGCAATCTCTTCAGAATCGCGCAATCGCTGAGTCGCCGCAACAAGCTCTGCAGTTCGTGCTTCATGCTCCGCCTTCAGCTTGTTAAGCTTCAACTCGATCTTCTCCCTCTGCGAACGCTCCTCTTCGAGTTTACTTTCTAGGAGCGCCTTCATCTCGGCAGAAGCCGAGATGGCCTCGCGCAGGGAGTCAAAAGCATCATCCTGCTCTTTGCAGTTCCCAACGGATTGGTTGTACTTGGCCTCAAAATCTTCCTTCTCAACCTTTAACAGTTGGACGGCGGCCACAGCCTCCGTGTACTGAATCGCCTGCTCTCTTGCCTCTTTCTGAACCATGTGCAGTTCGGCCTTGAGTTGTTCGAGCTCTGTAGAGGTCGTCGTTTTGTAGGACTCCAGTTCGCTCATACGCTTCTGGGAGGCATTGGTGGTGTCGTCGGCCAGTTGGCGGGCGCGCCGCTCGGCATCGAGTTCCGATTTCATTATCTCGAGCTGTGCCTGCAGGTCTTTCTGGTAGTTAAGAGCATGAGCCAGTTTCTTGCTAATCTCCGTGGAACGGTCGTCAACATCGCGTTCGCCGTCCAGTTGAGGAGTGCTTGCAACGCTACCGCTACCGCCGACTTGAGCGGCGAGTCTTGCCTTCGCATACACCGCTTCTTGGATGGCAGCGTCTCGTTGCTTCTCAGCTTCTGCAATCTGCTTCGCAGCGAGTACAGCTTGCTTGTCGACAGAGGCCTGAACATTTGCAAGCTCGGTTCTCATGGCTAGCAGTGCCTCGATCAGAGGCTTATCTTCATCGTCGAAGGTCTCGGCAGCTCTGCTGTCCAGAACGGGGCTAAGACTCGCGTTGGGAACATATCCAGCCTTGCGGGCTAGCTCAAGCTCTGAAGCATACCAAGCGTTGCGATTTCTGGCTATATCCAGCTCCTTCAGCAAGGCAACAGTCTGTGAGTTGCGGCCCGAGGACCTTCTGGACATTGGGTTGCTAGCTTGGCGCGTAGGAGGCGGTGGTGAAGCGGGACGGGTAGCTTGTTGCTGTTGTACTGGAGGTTGCGGTAGTTGCTGTTGGGGCATCGGCTGTTGCGGCGGTGGCGCCTGCACTGGAGGTGGCGGCTGTACTTGCTGTGCTGACATTGCTTTCAAAGATGGCTCGGTCGTACTGTCCACAGAGCTCTGAGACCTGTTCCCCTGTCTCGACCGGGTTTTGGGAGTCTCAAGAGGCACATAATCGGATTTAGAGCCAGATGCTGTCCTTCCAGCTTGTTGAGGAGTCCGTCTGCCGTTTGTGACCGGGCTCTCGGCATCCTTGGAAGCTGGTTCTCTGACTTCTCGAATTACTGGTGACTGACCTGCAGCGATTTTGGGTGAGCCGCCTACGGAACCATCTCTCTCTGATGACTGGCCGCGAACTCTGCCAAGGTTGCCAGTCTGTACTGAAGGCTTTGCAGGTGTTGGGCCTTGAGGAGGCGGCCCAGCGGGAGGTGATGACGCTGCGGACATTGGGACCTTCGAAGCGCTGACGGTTACGGGGCTTGCGTCACTGCCATTGGGCGATCCTCGAACGGGGTTCGAAGGACCATTACTGGTTGCTGAGCCGTCGCGAGGCGCCCCAACAGGCCTCCTCTGATCAGGAGGGCCAGTAGAACCATCTCGGGACAGCAAGTTCCTTGTCTCAGCGGCGACGCTGGGTCGTCTTGCTTGAGTTACCCGTTGCTGCCCCCCAGGCTGCTGTGCGGGTGGGGCGTCATTCGGGTAGCGGATCTTTGTAGTATCGAGCATGTAGACTATTCCGAGATCACCGACGCTGGCGGGGGATGAGCTTGGTTCACCTCCAACGACCACCACAGCCTTGCCGACGGTTGTCATGCTGTGGCCAGACCGAGGAGAGGGTGACGGCCCCATGTTCTGGAAAGTGTACCAGCGGCGCGAGGTGATTCTGAAAGCGGCCAAATCTCCCAAGTCGACACCCTCCTCCGTACGGCCGCCAAAGATGTACATCACGTCGTCGACTATGGCTGCGGCATGTCCTTCGCGGGGTACAGGAATGTAACCGATGCAGTCTAGTTGTGCCCACTCGTTTATGGCAGGGTCATAGCTCCAGACGTCGTTGAACCATTGGTAGCCGTTCGTACCACCGAAGCTAGGGCGAGGTCAGCATCTGCGTTTCCCAGGGTTCTCAATAAGATACCTACAGGTACATCTTGTCGTTGAATGTGACGACAGAATGGTTTGTTCGAGCGGCGGGGATCTTGCCGACGGCGGGTCCACCGCTGTCGGTATTCTGAATAAGCATCTCCCAACGATTGTTGGGCATCTGCAGCTGGTTCAGGTCAAAGGCTGCGAGGTCGTTCATGAAGTAACCTTCTATCTGCCCACCAAATATGTAGATTTTGGACCCAAGGATGTTCAGAGAGTGGCCGTAGCGACCAGACGGTCTAGTCCCGGCAGGCAAGGCTCTCGACCACTGTCTCGTAGCTATTCTTGGATCAGTTACCGCCCCCAGCACCTGAACAGCGAAAGCCGCGATGCAGAAAGAAAACTTACAAGTGTTGAGAAGGTACAACGTCTCATCTAGAACATCCGTCTCGTCAACCTTGGTATCGCCACCGTAGACGATAAAGGCATTGCCAACGAGTAAACTTGCGTGGCCAACACGTGGGCCTGGTCCCTCAGCAGTCGTTGCCAGGGGGTAGCAGGCCATATTCTGACCGGCCTCAATCATCCACAAGTCGCCCTTGACCGTTGAGCTGTTGATCAAACCTCCCATCACGTAAATGTCGCCTTCCTTGGATGATACAGAGTTGACGGCGGCTCCATATCTGGGAAAGGGGCTCGGGTGTGAGGATGTGTAAGTCAATCGCCGTTGCGACCAAGGGTATAGCGACGCGTTGGGGTTTGTCACTTGTTGTTGAGGAGGCATTTGATTTTGAGAGGAGACGGGGGGGGCATTGCGAAGCTGCGAAACGGTCAGCTTTCTTCAGCGAAGATGTTCCGTCGCATCGAGTCGGTCGGACTTACAGGTAAATCGCTCGGTGGTTGCGACGCAGTTTGGTCTAAGCTGGTAGCTCGTTGGCG